CGAAGGAGGACACACCCCCTTCATGGCAAACCCCCTGATGTAAAATTTTCATTGATAGCGGCGCGCCACAAAAAGTGGGTCACTTTTAAAACAACATTTCTTCAAACGAAAAAACAGTGTTTGGTGCCTAAATTTCGGCATTTTTTTCACTGTTTGAGGCCTCAAAAGGTGGGGGCCAAAAGCCGGTCAAAACACGTCTATATGAGGAAAAAGGTTAACAAAAATGATGAAATCTCTTGGGAATTATCCAAAATAGTTTTTCCTGTTAACGTGACCCTAACATAGTTTTGGTGGAAAATTTTTGTTTTTTTTTACATCTTTTATTTTTTTAATTAACCTTTTATCCCTGAGCATATTGCGAAGAATGGCCCATTTTCATTGAAAAGTCACCTTTGCAACAAGTTTTAAACTGCTATGGAAACTATGAAAAATGATTTCAATACTAATGAAACTTGGCACAAATTTTTGACTAGATCTTAGTCTCTGTAACAGCATGTCAATTGTCAAATTCCTTGTTATTATGGCAACGGGGGACGTCTCAAATTGCCAAATATATTATTTTGCATTTTTTTTCCCCCCTTTCAAACTGTTTTTCAAAGTGCTGAAATTTTCCTAAATAATTTGAGTTTAAGAGTAAAAGGTTTATCCTTGGGTTATAGTTACCCTAAGATTGCCCTGAGGCATTTTTAGCCTGTCACATTTAAAAAATTTTTTTGGGCGAAGGGGGAAATACCCCCCCCCCTTAATTCCCCCAAACAAAAGGGGGAAAAACCCTCCTTCTGGCAACCTTGGGGCGGCAAAAAAAATTTGGCCCCTTTTTAACAACATTTTCAAACAAAAACCAGTTTTTGGGGGCCCAAAATGGAAATTTTTTCATTTTTTGAGGTTCAAAAAAGGGAAAAAACCCCGTGAAAACAGGGTTTTAAAAGGGGAAAGGGGGTTTAAAATATTGGGGCGATTTTGAAACCCCGTTTCCTGTCCCCCTAAACTTTTTTAAAACAATTGAAAAATTTTCAAAAAGGGGCAATGGGGGCAAAACCCTTGTGTCCTTGCTCGGTTATTGTCAACGCCTTTAAAGGTTTAAAATTTTAAACCCTTTTCAGGGGCCCTTTTAAATCGAATACCCCAAACTTTTAAGTTGTGTCTCTTAAAAAAGGGCTCAATTTAAACAAAAACGGGAAAATTTTGCGAATTCTAAAAGGCCGCTGTGAGGCTATTTATGGTCCCCCCTTTAAAAAGGTTAAAAGGTTAAAATTTGTGTTGCAAAAAATTCCTTTTTTCCTTTTCCCTGTGATACAGTTTTTCTAACCTGGTGTTTTTAAAAATTTTCCCCTTCAAAAAGGAAAAGTACAAAAATTTCCCATTGTAAAGGTTTTAAAGTTTAGGTCCCCCTTAAAGGCAAAAATTAAAATTTTTGTTTTCCCTGCCATTTAAAGTTTTATTTTTTAAATTTTTTTCTTTCAAAAAACCAAAAATTGTTTTTAATTGCAGTATTGTAACAATATCCTTACATACAGATATTGTGATAGTATTTGTCAACTTTTGAAGAAGTTCTAGTTTACCAAATTTTGGTCCTCTCTTTGATATTATCCGACCAAAATACAAACAGCTTTTTACGTTTCTTGAGCCAATTAGGTGTTATAAAATAATACAATTTGTTGTAGCAACAAGTATTGCTTTAATTTTATAATAAGTTATTGGAACTAGCGCTCGTTACATTAAGTTTGTACGAATACCAATCCATTATTCATTATTCAGGGATTATGTTTTAACTGAAATTATTTAAAGTTAAAATGATGTTAGGCAAACATAATTTCTTTGTACTACTTTTCAGAGTTTTTCAGGGTCTTTCTTTTGGGAATGGGGGGGGGGCAGAAAACAGAGGTTTAGACCCAAGTCAATTATTTCAAGACGGAACCCAATATCTAATGGAAAAAGCTCGCTATAGACAGATTTCTCCTGAAAACCATCATGCAGTTTACAGGATAATATTTATTTGAACGACCAAGTCAATGCAGGTAAATCAGTAAATTAGTATTTATGAAATGATAATAATTTTCCTCTACTTAATTTAAATGATAATTTATCGTCTCTATATGAACAAGAAAATGTAGCCCATTTTATCCAAAGAAAGCGTAAATAATAACTCGCATTAATTTTATTTTATCAAATAATTGAGACTTTTGTTATTTAGTATGGCCATTTGAACAGTTTTATATTTGATTAAACGTATATTTCATCAGTTACAGCTTTACACCCCTTTCAGCCTTTTAAGATTGTTTTGAGTTTTTTTAATGATGTATTTTACATATTTACATTACACAACACAACTTTTTCTTACAGGTTGGCTCAACATGTTGATACATTTGCTTCGCTGTTGGCCTATGGCTGCCTGCCGATTGTCAGATGAGTGTTTAAATTCTAGAATGTTGTATAGATCCACCAACATCAATCGCCGTTTTAAATTTCAATTTAAATTTGATCCATGTAACTACAAATATAAAAAAAACATCGAAAAACTAACTTTTGAAAATAGCCTGTTTGATGTTGATCTTTCCACCGAGCAAACATTTTCGTTACATGGAGTTGTAACAATTAGGTAAAAGTTTATACTCGTTTTTATTTATAAAATCAATACAATTTACATCTATTAGATTTAAATCAACCCGTAATTTGCCCATTTTATTTATCATCAGGTTGACATAGATCAATATTAAATTTTTTTTCTTAAGTCTCGATATTGAAGTGTACAAATGCATGTTGCCTATAATATGTTACCGCCTATATGACTGAAATTACTGTTGGGAAAAGGCGTAAAATGAATTAAACAAACAAATATAATATATATCCAACATCCTAGTTTACGTGTTGCTCATACCACGTGACTTTTGTGATCTTCGTGAGGGCAGAATTAAGGGTAAGGTAGTATATTCTACATGGAATGAATTGAAGAGCTCGCTCATTTATAGGGGGGGGGGATTCATTAGTTCTTTGGTAAAGTAAATTTATGAATGATCAAATATGCAGTTTCACGTAAGGATAAAAAACTAAGTTTTCTATTAAAATACATGTATATTAATAATGTTATTTTTATTAACTCGAACAAGTTTATTTTAAAGTCATCGAAGAAAATTAATGCTATCTGGACCGTTAATTGTATTTTGCAGATCAAAAAATGAAAGGCCATGTGGTTTATACACCTAAGATCAAATCCTAGAGTTGAATCGCTTTCATTATTTTTCTATCATATTGATTTGAATATGACGTCGTTCAATATCATTGAATTCACATTAAATTATTTTGTGCTGATTTGACTTTTCAGTTACCGAATAGAAGATTTCGCAGTCGATAATGTTTACAAAGTCAATCTTGGAATAAAAATATGCCTTGACGGCGTCACATGCCCAGTTGACCTGCAGGTTTTAGACAATGCTTTGATAACAAAACCAACATGTTTCACAAAACTGAAACAAGACTACAAAATAAAAGGTATTTTTAAATTTTCATACCGATTATGGTAATTTCCTTATAGAATATTTTTGAATATCGACTTACAATATGAGTTCATACTTATGACAGCAGATATGATATTGTCTGTTTGTTATTCGTCTATATCAAAATCACTTGACTTTACAAATGGCGTTCTCGTTTTAAGTTTGTATGCTTTAGTTAAACGCCCTTTAGGAACTGCGTTTCATAGAACGTCCTAAGTGTGACATAAAACCAACTTAGGACTAACTTAAGACCGTTTCAATAAACATTTTAATCTTCTGTCAAATACCGCAGCTATAAATCAATTCATGCGAAAAGTTAAGAAATACAATGACTGATCCTTTTATTTGCAATGTGTAAATGTCTATCAACATTGCTATTCAGAATCTAAAGGTGTAATAACATTTTCTTTGAAACGCAAAATTGTCTCAGTTTTGGTCTTAAGACTGATGTCAGACTTAGGACTTTCTATGAAATGCAGCCCAGACACATTTTATTGTTTACTTAGTTTCCTGCTAGAGTTTCCGTTAAAGAGCCATCTTATTGGCAATACAGCTAAAACAATTATTTTGCTTTTAATGATTCTTCTCTATTAGTACTGTTATAGTGATAAAGTAGTTGTGATGATAGTCAAAATTCCAATGTGTTGCCTTTATGATATATAACTACATATTTAGAACTACTATTTACTGGTAATTATTTTTGTAAGCATCTAATATGTTTAAATCTATTATTATAACATTACTAAAACCCATGTTGTCTCTTCTTGGAAATGCCTTAAATGGCAATTACGATAAAGGTAATTATCGGTCACCAAGGTGTGATGTTCATTGTATAATGATCGGAAATTATTTTCAGAATTTTCGCTGATAAATGGATGGATAGATATAACACAAGTTTCTCAAAGAACATTCAGCTTATGCTAATGAGTGACCTCGGTATCACAGAGTATCTTAATAACGACGAATGTACAATTGGTCAGGTCGGCGGAATAAAGGTAAAAAGATAATTCAAAATATCTTCTTCAGAAATAATGTAAAGAACCATTTAACAATTAATGTATAAGCATACGTTTATAACTTATGGCACAAATTTATTTAATTAATGTATGTTTATTCGTTTATTCAGAGAATACTGTATCAAGAATTTGTGCTGAAATTGCTAGCTTATCCAGAATTTTTTATGTAAGCGTTTGTAGCTTAAATGGTGCTACCCTAAAGTTTTCATCGGACATATTTATCATGAATATCATTAATTACAAAAAGAAATACGACATATATACTTTTGAGAAGGTTCATATCTTACATACATAATTAATAGCATTCTGTGCGTTTTATTTATTTTATTTATTTATAACACTTTTAGACTTGATAATAACCCCAACTGCAATTAGAATTGAAGTAACCGATTCTCAATTGGCAAATGTAAAAATACATTTGATGCTGATGTTAATTAATAAGTTTGATTTTTAACATCGATTAGGAATTGTTATATTTTAGATGAGTGTGCACTGAGTTTGTCTTTACCTGAGCAGCAGCTGTTCGACATGTCCTGTTCGTTATCAGCGAAATGTACAGAGTTTTCTTGTTGCATACCAGTACCGTTTATCAACAAAAATGTTGGAATCGATGTAAATGTGGATCCATGTGCATTGACGATGGACATAAGCGTCGAACGGCTAAGATACTCTGTCAGTTTGATTGACTACAATTTTGGAAGGCAAGAAAACGTTTGGATTTCGGGAGTTTTACGACTTACGTAAGTAATTTATGATAATTATCTATCAATTGATACATGTATTCTATCATCAGAAACGTGTATGCTTTTTGCATGATGCAATTTTAAAAATTTGACGTTTTAAAAAAGCAGAATACTTTTAAAAAAGTGAGTTATGTTCTATATAATTTTAAATTCTATTTTTTATATTTAAAGAAATGAAACGTGTTTATAATGCAATTTAGACATTTAATAATAAATGGAAATGGCTTCTGTATTAACTCTGTACGATCCAAGCCCTATCGATACATACGATACACAATACAGCAGCGTTTACGTTTTACCATCTCGAAATAAAAGTATAAATAATGGATTAATTTCTTACGCCAGCGAGCTTTAATTTTTCTCTAGGTTCACAATCCATGACATTGTTCAGAAAAATGAATATTTAGTGTCCGTGAACTTCGAAGAATGTTGGGAATATAACGACGTTTGCTCGAAAGAATACAGTTTATTAACAAACCAACGGTTACCAAAGCAAATTTGCAACAGTACAAGCGGCTTTAACATTCAAGGTAGAGACATTTTGACATTTAAGTGCATCTGAGAAGGACATTATTTGTTCATTAGTTAAAGAAGTAATTCCACTTTATACGGTACTATACATATATGATATAAACTGATAGTTAATTTAAAGTGTACAAAGCTAAGCACCTGCTGTCTATATAGACTATATAGTTTATATTCATTTTCTGCTTGTTTTATTTGTACTCATAATAATTCCAAAATACCGGTATTAAATTAATATGCCAATGGCGCACGCTTGAAACGTAATAGTCTGTTCTGTTTATGTGTGTTAATAAGAGAAATATTCTATCGTAAATCTCTTTCGAGAATATTCCATAAAATTTTTGAAAACAACATTTTTTTTTCCTGTTTTTAAATCTAATAAAGAATGTCATGTGATATAGTTTTTAAACCCTTTTATGCAATTTTAGTGTTCTCTATCGAAATGATATATATGTACAGCGCAACATACAGTGGCATATGATGTTATGTCCGTCATGTAAGGCCAATTCGGGACTACCATCGAGAGCAACGCTAGCACAGTTTAAAATACATCCTTTGTTTATTATGTCTGTTGATTGGAAAAAATAACATATGTTCAAATGTTGCAAACACACTCAATAATTTTAGAGTTTTTCCTTATATAACGTGAAACCAATACTTGAAAGGTCAAGATAAATAATTGTTTCTGTATCATGTTTTCCTATTCGTTTTCTTTATTCTAAATTTTCCCCTTTACGTGGATGTTAAAATGGAAATTATACAGGTGATACACTTAAAAAGGAAAACATAAAGAAATCGTCTTTTAGAGGAATTAAAGGGCTTGTTTCTTTCTTGAAAGAAAAAGACTGTCACTTGAACAAAATACGTTTAGCGCAAAAAGTTGGTTAAAGGTTTTATTTCCCTTTTTTTTATATTTATTTTATTTAATTTTTTTAGTGATTTTTTTTCTTTTTAAAAATTTAACGCATTTTCTGTGAAAAACATTATTTTATTTTTCCTTTACTTAGAGTTCCCCTTTTCCCCCGTTTGGGCCCGAATTACCGACGGAAAAAGGTAAAAGGGCGCTGTTTTGCAGCTATCATTTTCTGGTTCTAGGATCCCGATAGGCTACACCAAATTTTGTTTTTAGGTCAAGATTTTAGGGTCCATGCTCAAGAGTTTTAACAGTTTTAAAAAGAAAAGAATGCGAAAGGAAAAAAGCTTTTTATAAAGGGGTTTGGGTTATTTGATGGTTTTGGCTTTTTTGGAAAAGCAATCTGAGGTATACTTTACTGGAAAATCTCAAAGTAAAATACAGACCTTGTTTAAAAAGTTTTCGAAAAGGGGGCTGATTAAATTTTAGCTCGAATTGTTCGTGTTCTTTCAAAGATTTTTTGTTTTATCGGAAGATAAAAATATTTCAAGATATTCAGATAAAAGTTTTTTTGATATAAAATTCTATTTTTTTTGAATAAGCGTGCCTTGTAGTTGTTCAACCCTTAAAACCCTTTTTATTTTTTGGTTTAATGACAATATTTTTTTTAAAAATCAAGTTTTTGATTTTTTCGAAGAACCCAAAATTAAACCCTTTTGAAATTGACCCATCACCTATTTTTTTCCCACGAAATCTTCTTGCACTGACTATACGGTGTTCAATAAAACCAAGATTCGTAAAATCCAATGTGACTGGGGGATTGAACACTGCTACAGAAGATGGTAATTGGCTATACTGTTTCAGGGCATCACTGATCAGTTTCAATGTTATTATTTCAAATATAAAAGAAACCACTGAAGTGCTAAACCATGCATAACTGTGGAGGAGTAAAGAAATTCGTTATGAAAAGAATAAAAACGCATGTTTTCATCATGTTAAGTTACGTTATACTTTCACTAAAATTAAATTTGCCATACAATTCAACGCAATACTTAGTTTAACTAGTCTAAGAGCTTTATTTTACTGGAATTTATGTATAATTTAAATATACCAGTAATTGAAATTATCTGTTCATTTCAGTGTTTTCAATTTCTAATTGGATGGAAAATTTCAATGTTGATGACACTCGAAATCTTCCAGCTTATGCAGTTGACATACTTTTCAACGAAATGGGTGTTGCCGATTTTCTCTCGCAAAGCCAGTGCATAGTCAATCAATATCCTTTCAGTATAGAAGGTGGAATCGAGAACGGTGAAATTAATAAATTCATTTGAAATAATAAAATGCAAATGTTTGCCCTTTTCATACAGAAGTAAATTGGCTAAAATAAATTATTGCATTCGTTTTTTTGTATTTTTTATCAAATGAAAATATGTTAACGAACAATTTAATACATTTTAGAAGGACGGAATTGAAACCGTAGACATCTTTTTAATATTCTTAACAGCCGTATGCAAAATATAGAAATATTTAGTTCTTCCACCTTATTGTTGAATATGAATAATAAATAAATAAATAAATTGTTAGATGACTTATAAGTTTCCGTTGTACATGTTCACAGAATGTAGCGGGTATTTGCTGGATGGAAGTGACCTTGGCCCTGTGTCCTGTCATATGAGCTCTACATGCATGTCATTAGAATGTTGCATCAACACTACTGCTCTTCCCCGAAGTATACACGCATTCTTCCAGATAAATGCTTGTGATGAAAAGCTTACCGTTGGAATAGAAAAGTTTACATTTGAAATGAGCCTTGTTGATTATGACTTTGGAACAAAGGAACACTTTTGGTTAAATGCTATATTCCGTATCGAGTAAGTTTTATGTTTGAATTGAACATACCTTATGATCTTTTTTTCTTTAAAAATAATATATACATAAATAGGCATGTTCTAGACAAATATTGTATTCTATTGACGTAGATTGTCAAATTATAATCAAAATATGCGTTACCTTTAAACATTTTTACTTGTTATTTCATTATTTTAGTTTCCGAATATTCGACCTTAAAGAAAAAGAAAGCTATGTTGTTGATCTTGAAGTCAGTATTTGCCTTGAAAGTGGGTCAGAATGCACCGTGAAGCAATCCATATTGTCTGATGCTGTACTTCCAAAGCCACAATGTTCATTTCAAGAAGGTTTTAATATTAACAGTAAGTACTTTATAAAGTATAACAGCCGGTTACTGTAAACGTTATGCAGATGATAAATTGCTATGTTTATATAAGTGACAGTAAAAATGCATGCATATTAGGCAAAAAAATATGTGTTCATTTCATTATCTTATCTAGATTTTGCTTTAAATTTTTAAAGGTAATATCCGTAAAATTAATCAAACGTATTTTTGAATATAATGATATTATTCAATACACAATATTTCTGACTTAAAACACAAAATATGGTCTTTTCACATAATTTTTTGTTACTGTCTTAATTTGTCTGAAAAAATATCTGTAATAGATCCGCAAAGTTTCTTTAAGTTATAACTCCTTGTATTACGTAAAATGGTCAGGCTGTTTATTCATTCTTTTATAACCTTTTTCTAACAGTTTTGTTAATTTATTCCTTTTTTAAAGATTTTTCTATAACCGAATGGATGCATGAAAAAGGCTATGAGCTGCAAGATGAATTGTCAGAATTGGATTTGTCATTTTTGATGGCTGATCTTGGCCTACCTAGGTTTCTTCAGAGCACTGAGTGTGAACTCTCGGATTCTGTCAAGGATAACAAGACATGTGAGTTTATAATTATAAAATATTGGTGATAATTGATTATAAGTGGCCATTTTTTCTTTTACGTAACATCGATGTTGTTACGTATTTTATTAGTCAATAAGTGTGTAAATCATTATGAAGCATAGTACGCTTATCATTTGCACAAAAATTTGGTTATATAACGTTGGTTTTGATCGTGTTTTAGTTCCTAATTAAATTTGTGCGAAATCATATTGACATTATAAAACCCAACGAATGCACTAAATGTTTCTGTGTATACTGTTCGTCAACAAAAGTTTTATGTCATAAGTTTCCGCAAATGCAACATTGAGGCCATGTGGCAAAATTAAAACACGATCAATGAATATATCTGGAGAAGACATGAAACTGCTTTGGTGTACAGTCTACATAGGATAAACAGGTGCTAAGTTATATCTTCAGGAACGACCGCCTCCGTGGTCGAGGGGTTTGAGTCGATGACAGTACTACTGATGACTTCTAATCCAGTTACCTCTCTGGCGTGGGTTCGATCCCCGGGAGATGCTTTGGTAGTTTAGCACGGAGGAAGGTAGTCTAGTACTGGTGTAACTCTCCAGGAACGATGGAAACTACCCGCCCATATGACTAAAATACTGTTGGGAAAAGGCGTAAAATGAAACAAACAAACAAACAAAATTCTTCAGGAAAACCTGAATCAGCGGTCACCTGTATTCAGCAGTAACATGGCTTAAACCGCCAAGGAAAAAATATTTAAAACTTACACTTTTTTCTCAGATAACTTGTTTTAAGCAACCGCCTTTCTAAAGCAGACAATAAGTAGTTGGGCTTACCTCAAGAAGCGGCTAAGTAAATTGTATCATTATATACCATGTAACGTATATAACCAGGATATCCTTCACACCCATGCACCCGAAATGTATGATCTTTTTATGAATAAAAAATCAACCGATTACTACCGATCTCTTCGACAGATTTGCACGTGCCCTACGTGTTCGAGCGAAAGAAGTTCGACAATATATTTTTGTAATCAATTACAGCAAAAGTTGTTGCAAAATTTCCACTAGGACTCCAACTTTGATAAGAAAAATGTATGCAGTAATTTTCCGAAATATGGAAATTGCTATACGTCACGTGATGCTACATTGGATTTAATAGAGAAAGGAACAAGGTCGATAAACGGCATAAACCTTACGGTGACTCACATATCTTATTAAAGACTTATTTTCTATCGTCATATCATTGTCATAGAACTTTATACGTTTCTATGACAAAAACTGATACCTTTTAGAAATTAAAATACCCGTTGAATACATAAAGACGACACCCACCTCATTAAATTTAGATAAGGGTAGTGCATACTACCTACTATTTTGCTGATAACCATTTACATGCATACCGATAGCATAGTTACTTAATGTTCTCTAAAACTGCCAGGAATAATGCATATATGACGAAATCATGCTTGAGTATTAAATTCAAAGCGTATTTTTATCCTGTAAGTAAATGCTCTACATCAAGTATGTTTACAGTCATTCCAATAAAATAAAAAAACACACACACACACACACAAAGACCAAAACAAACACAAAAAAAACCCACAAGAAACGGAGGTAAGAAAAATATCTCTTGAACTGAAAAACACGATCAAAACCAACGTTATATAACCAAATTATTTTGCAAATGATAAGCGTACTATGCTTCATAATGATTTACACACTTATTGACTAATAAAAATACGCTTAAACGTGCCGTGATTAAGCACAAAACACACTGGCAGAAACAAAAGTTATCATAAGAACTCCAGGACATATTTTGAGTTATCGCAAGAACTCCGTAACATTTGAAAAGTCGGGTATAAATTTATTAGCCCGGGCTTTATGTTTGCATCTCTCCATAATTATTAGGTACATGTAATTAAGTATAGCAACGAAGAAGATCACAAATGAAAAGGTCAATATGTACGAATTAGCAAGTAATTTGGTAATTTTTCTCAAAACTACCAGATTTTTTTAAAAAGGCGACAAAATATGGACTTAACGATTTTTTCTGAAACAAAATACAATATGTAGGGCAAGCTTAATTATCAAAGTTTCATTTAGCACCTCAAACTCCCCATTTAAAGTTAAAAATAACCATTTTTTACGCGAGTTCTCCAAGTATATAGAAAAGTTTTCCACAAAAATCCGTAACGTTTTCCAGGAACTCCGTGACAGTTATCATAAGAACTCCAAACAAGTTATCATAAGAACTCCATCTTTCGTGTAACTCTTCCTCCCCCGTGATTAATAGTTACAAGCATATAAAACTTATAATAATATAAACAAATAAATTCGATTGAGGAACTTTTTTGTTTTCAGTATGTTCCTTAAATCAACTCCTAGTAAATCTTCCAGAAGACCTAACATGTAACCTTCCGACATGCAATGACGTGAAATGCTGTCTGTATGTAAAACCACTGCGAAGAAATTTCATGATTCTATTAAGTATTGACCCTTGTCGGCAAGTTCTCTCAATTGAGATAGAAAATATGAAAGTGCAACTTGCCTTCAATGACTTAAAATGGAATGAAGAGCAGTCGATATTTTTGAAGGGTGTCCTACGAGTCGCGTAAGTGTTAATAATATTTATTATTCTGTCGATATTGAATCAAACGTTTTAATGTAATTTATTATTTTCTTATCTGTTTCGTCCTTTAAATGATATTTCAGTAAAAGTAGTTTCTACAAATTGTGATTCAATTGGATATATTATTTCTTTACTAAGGACACGAAGCATGGAAAACATGTTTCTCGGTGACAATTGTATCTTGGTTATATTTTTAATGACATGTGTTTTTAATATTTTTCTTTTTTTATAATCTTATGTTTTATAGATTTACATTAGAAAACCTAAATGGACAAAATGCATTTGTGCTGTCACTTGCTATAGATGCATGTCTTGAATTTAACACGGAGTGCTATTTCAAAAGTACAATCTTCGACAAGGCAATATTTCATAAAAGATTTTGTGAATTTTCAACGTCGGAAGCTTTCCCAATTACAGGTACATTGATTTTGTCTTAGAGCTATATTTTAAGAAGCACCTTATATTAAAGTTTCCAATGTCAATATAAGCATACATTTACGATTCAGCAGGTGGATTAAATGATTCTATTTACTGGTTGGAATTGTGTACACTAGATCGAAATATTTATATGCATTTGCTGAAATACAGATTTTGTTATTGGAGAACATAACGTAACAATGGCAAATTTATATTCGGTACATTGTCGTTTTTATCTTTGCTGCGAACATTATTTTATATCATTTTCAATGAGTCATTTGCAGGCTTTTATGAACTAAATCTGTTGTAGTATCAGATCTTGTGTGTACAATTTAGTTCCGGTCAGAAACCCAAGTTATCGTATACAATGTTACTTCGGAGGACCGATTATGTTGTATCATTGTGTTGGTCATTTATGGATGTCCAAATTACATTAAACTTATTATTTGTTTTACAGATTTTTCTCTTTTGGAGTGGAAGCTGAATAATGAACTTCATACAGATTTGCCACTGGAAAATTTATTTTCTGATTTATTGCTTGAGGAATTGGGTATTTCCATGTACATAAATGATCCGCCATGTCAAATGAATCGGAACGAATTAAACTCTGGCTGGACAAATAGTAAGTGAATGCTTTTGGAATGATAATTTCGATGTTCATTAACAGCATAATTATATTATCAATAAAAGATAATGGTTAATTTTAAAAATATATCGTATATAATTTGATGCATCAACATATTGGTATATAATTCAAGTCCTACCTTTTAGAGCATTTATATAATTATGATTTGTTTCCAGGCTGTCCATACACATTAATGAACACATTACCAACAAACATGGTGTGCTCTTTAGACAACAGATGCCTACAGCTAGAATGCTGTGTATATGTCACTGCAATAAACAGAAATATAAAAGTCCAATACGACATCGATATTTGTGGGTCAACGGTTGAAGTCGGTGTAGAACAACTTGTCATGAAAAGAAACTTCCTTGATTTTTCCTGGGGTAGTTTCTGTTCTGAAACTCTTTACGTTTACTTAAAGAAATTTTGTTAATAATCTTCCATAATTACGCTTAGTTATTACTAACAAGTTATGTGTTAGATTAACACTTTTCAAAGCATTTTTGGGATCATGGCTATAGAAAGTCTTACATAAAAATGATGAATAAAAATATATTTTAATACAATTGTTCAAGAGTTAACATTATTATTGCAGGTGAAACAAAGAGGATAAACTTCGGTGGCATTGTTCGTTTTGAGTAAGTTTACATTAAGGAATCATTTCTTCTAGTCGTAAAGTTTACCCTGTCGCTGGGACAGTAACGATGAAATAAATCGGCACAGAAACACGTACTAGATAACAGTTAGATATTGTGTATTTTAATGTAACTCTATCTCTACATTATATGTTACATTAATAGTGGTGTATATGAATCATTAAATCGTTTATATTGGTTAATGCATTAAGGGTGGAATAGGGGCAGGGTAATTTTCTCATGTGCACATTAGAGGTACAGGAAATTGCCAAGTTAGCATCAGCTCCAGAGTGTCTACAAAAGATAACGTAGAGCAATGGAACTGTCAGACGTTAATGGACGAAGGAGCCTACCGTATTTAACATTTGTTGTAACAGTGCGTGGATCACAAAGACAAAAACATATACTTTGTTTTATGCAATACTATTCCGTTAGCAAACCAACATATTGAAAAGAATAGCCTGTACTTTAGTGAAACCGGTATATACTCCATACAAGTAATTTTGTTTGGCTGTTTTAAATATCATTTTGTCTTCTGTAATAACGACGTACAATTATGCTCATAGCAAGCTAATTATATATTTTTCAATCTACAGATTTTGTCCATCTCTCGACACTGCACAAAATATTCAGTGTACATTTCCTCTGTCAGCTATTTATCTTGCTTGCGTAAATTTTGTCAATTTTATGTTCTCAAAGTAAGTATCTCCTAGGAAAGGAGAGAACGGACGAATAAGTGCAGCAATATTTAGGTTTTAGCAATTGTATAAAAAACTAAAAAGGTTAAACGAATCTATCTATTGTGATGTATAAATGTCCTTATTTTTACAGTTTTTCATTTTCTTATCTTGATAATGGTGATCAACTAATGACAAGTGCAACGATTAGCCTGTGTTTTGAATCTTCATCACCATGCGATTTGCAGACAACTTTACTTGATGGACTTATTTTTCCAAAACAAATATGTAAATGGGATAAAGGCTTTGCTTTAAATGGTATTCATTTTTATTGTTAACATAGAAAAAAAAGAAATTATAAAATTATAATTATCATCGGACAATTCCTAACATATATGCATAGTCCGAAAAATACTATCATTTGAAAAGCATAAGAACTTGTCTTTTATTAAGAGAAATTATATGAAATTTCCAATGATTAAGTCCTATCATTAAAATTACTAAATGAACATACTCTTTCAGTATTGTATTTTCCTATATTGAGAGGAAATATTTAATATATTGTTTACTATGATAATACCTCGTTAATACGCAGAAACAAGAACGGACTTGTCTTGTGCCGTGTAGCTGTTACCTTACTTCACTTCACTATTATTTTTTCTGGTTCCTTTGAACATTTGATTCAAGCTTATTTAGGGTTGACAACTGTTTACTCTAAAGCCCGTGCTAGGGGGCTTGAGGGGTGTATTGCATTTTTACCAGTTTCTCTCATGAAAAGACTCAATCAAACTGATCCGAATTTTGTAAATAATTTTGTTATTTCATTGCTTCAAAGGGATCGCCCATTCTCAAGAGATAAATACAAATAACATACGTACTTTCAGATTTCTCTTTGCAACAATGGATGTCACAGGAAGGATTGATTCAAGGCATGCCGTGGACAGAATACTATACTGCTAAACTGTTAAACTTACTTAACGTTTCTCCGTTTCTGCTTGAAGACACCTGCACCGACAGCGAAGGAAATGAATCATGGGTGTCTGGTAATATGTCTATGCTTTAACTGTTATTATTATACCTTAAAAAATACATATTCAATAAATGTTTCACAGTTTGCTCTTAATTATTTTGTCTTTTATAACAAGTTAAGATTTAAAAATACTTTCAACTTCATGTAAAATAATGAATTCTGCTTAAGCCAGTGTTATTTGGCAAATACAGTAGCTTGTATTTACCAATACTGTCCATGAACAAGCTTAAGCAATCCGAGCGACATTTCAATTTCGCCGTTTTATGCGTTCTTTAGGGATTCCGTTTTTCACTCTCAATTTTATGGTCACATCGGCCAAAGTGTCACCCAGTAAAATCAATCTGAGATGTTATATTTACTACCCTCGGCGAACGTTCGGCTTAACATTATTGTTATGTTTGTTAATTTTTTTATTTATTCTATTTGTCTTTTTTCTAGTTGGGTTGTGCCAGTTTTTGTTACTTGAATACTTTGTTATCATCCGTAGGATATGTGTTGCCAGCTTTTTGCAAAGCTGATCTGTATTATAAGGCTTTATATCTTCCGATCTTATTTTGAAATTAGTTTCGCTCATTGTTTTCTAATAAGGGCATACGCATGTTTGCACGGGGAAGCCATTCGTCATTTTTCATGGAATAGCAATAACGTGTCTCATTGAAGGTTCCATGGTAGCCTTTGTATAATTCGATCTGCTGATGTTCAGTTATTCCATTTTAAATGTTGATTTCTGCTTAAGCCGGGGAGGGGATGGGCTGTAGTTAGAATTTACCAGTATTGTTTATAAACAGGCTCAGTAAAACTTGCAATATGTTCAATTTTTGGCTTTTTTTGGTGTTCTCGAGGATGAAGTTTTTTGGATTATTTTGGATAATTCCAGGTTGTTCGAAGGAAATAGGAAATGGTCTTCTACAGCTTCCAGAAAATATACACTGTTTAATTGGACAGAGCTGCACTGATGTTGAATGTTGTATTTGGGTAGACCAATTTAACAGATCATTGAAATTACAAGCAAACATCGATACTTGTGCACATGAAATTACTCTTTCTATAGAAAGATATCAATATAGAAAACACCTGTTCAATTACACATGGGGAGATATTGAAAACATATGGCTTTTTGGTGTTGTTCGAATGAGGTAATGCCACCACTTTTACTGGTATTTATATATACATTTTATAGAATTTATAATATATCTAATTCAAATTATTTGAAGTATTTTAATTCCTTTTGTCTCTGCATTAATTACTAAAAAGAGCATTTGAATGCGCCAGAAAAATGTACCAATCAGTTTCAACTCAGTACATAGTATGTACCAGTAATTCGTAAGCCTTAACCTTATTCTAAAAACTTACATTGTTTCTTACAGTCTATCAGTATATAACTTGGGTGGAGAAGGAAAATATATTCTTAACATGAATGTTAGTGTGTGCCTTGAATCAGATTCAAACTGTCAAACTGATGTACAAGTTCTAAGCGACGCAGTTCTCCCAAAACTTGAATGTGACTGGAATTCTGAGTTCGTTGATCCGAGTAAGTTTTTTAAGCTTATTACATATGATTTATTGCTCTCCTTGAAAGGTGTTCATGAGAAAATGCACAACGTACCTTTGTCATTTTTCATTTACAGATTTTGACATAGATGATTGGCTTGAAAAGCATGGAATATCATCAGGACATAGTCTTACACAATCTGAAACCACAATACTTTACAACGACCTTAATTTATCTCCTTATATAGGAGATGAATGTTTGATCAGTGGAAACGAATTAAACATTTCAGATATAGGCTGGGGTACAGGTAATTATATCTTTTTTTCTGTTGTTTTTTGTCTTTTATTTAAACGTCCTTACTAAATTTATGTATATTTCATGTAAATATTTTTTGCAATCACATCTTTTGTAATCAAGTGTTACGAAAATGACTTCATGGCAAGATTTATATTAAATGACACCTTAATTCGTAAATTATGTTTCTTTTCAGAATGTCCTTTTGAAACGGAATTACATGAGCTTCCAGGATCAACAGTATGCAGTATCCCGTCGTTGTGCACTGGTGTAGACTGTTGTACAAAAGTTGAGCTACTTGGTCGAAATATACACTCGCATTTGTATTTATTTACATGCTTGAATCGGCTTGATATCGGCATTGAAAACATGAAATACACAATTGATTTAAATGACTTTGAGTTTGGAATCGAAAAAACCGTCAGTCTTCAGGGTGTATTTAAACTAAGGTAAACATGGAAAAAGAACTCACAAAGTATCATAATAATACAAAGAATACGATGATTTGATTTTTATTACTTTCTTAAAAATAATATTTTAACATGAATTAATAGCAAAGTGAGTGGCGCCTACTCAACATTCAAATATTATAGATAAAACATTGTAATGATACATATATAATAGATCAATAATATGTTGTTTAATATTTCTACAGGTTCGTGATCGACGATTTAAAGAATGAAGGTGTCTTACTGTTGACGTTAGACATACAAATTTGCTTCTCCACCAAGACCGTGTGTTCGGAAAATATTGAAATATTTAAAAATACAAAGCTAAGCAAACCCATTTGTGACATGAGCACAGGATTCAAAATTAAAGGTACCTAATGTTTTATACTTGGTTGTTATTTTGACCGTTCTTTCAAAGTATTAATATGTATCCTAACTCTAATACTGAAAAATTTTAGCACGATGAAATTTGCAATTTTTATCATCCTCTATCTTTAATTTCTACAAATGTATTATGATATATGATTTTCCTTGTAGCAGGTTTGTGTAGATCAAAAATGTCTTGTAAACGTAATATCCATAATATTTCAGATTTTTCCATGGACGGATGGCTAATGGAAAGAGGACTTGTAGCCGGATCTATTGGAACTCTTCCTCTTTCAATTTTATATGAGGAACTTGGAATTTCAACATATCTACAAGAAAATATTTGCAAAATTCCTATAAGCAATGGAACATGGGAAAGTGGTATTAACAATTATACATATGTAATAGTAGCTTGAATGAAAGAATCAGGATAAAAAATAGGATAAAGAAAATACCATATAATTATATAGATTATATATAAAACTTTACATTTAACGATGTAAAAGATTTCTTTAATTTTTTGTTTTTGTTATTTATTTTAACAATTATTTAACTCAAGAATATCAGCATAAGATAAGATTTAAGCACACACCAAAACTTTGATCATTTGTAAAAGAATTTCATTTTATAGAATGCCAACTCATTGAGGATCTACCAGATCTGTCAGACAACGTGTTTTGCTCTCTTAAAAAATCTTGCAACACCATAGAGTGTTGTCTAAAATCTGATATGCTGCAGAGAAACTTTGCATTCAGCGTTAAAGTAGATCAATGTGAAATGAAACTTACGATGACTATAGAGAAACTGGAATTTGAACTTTCTCTTTTTGATTATGATTGGGGTAAGTGATTATCAAAATTATAATCTACTGTTTTTTTCCATTTGATTTATTTCAATACAATAAGGAACTTAACATTAGGCAATATTTGTAATACACAAAGTTTAAAAAGTTCTAAAGATTGACGTAATCTCAAACGTTAATAGAATAATATATAATACACTATTGTATATAAATTATACTAGTTTAATTTTTATTCAATAAATGTGCTTGACATGTAACATCCATTATGTGTCGTTGTAGGATCAGAAAATATCATTGACCTGTTTGGTGTACTCAGAATCAGGTACTTTTTTCAAAATTATTTATAATAAATGTTTAATTATCCTACTTAAAAGTCATCCTCAGAAATTCACTACCTTATGTTAAAGCTGTTAAACATTTATCTATCCTGAAAGTAATATTTAGGTCGATTCATATACATATAAAGTCATGAAACAATATATGCGGCAACATCTTTGTTGGAATCTATTTAATTGCAATTCCTTTATCAGTTGAGTTGCAACACTTTGCAATTATCGACGGATTACCTAGTTCGGAAAATGAATCATTCATGGATACAGTATTTAGCTATAACCATCCAAACTTAAAAAAATGCTATTCATAACAAACCTTAAATGTTATATTATTACAAAACAGTCGTGTTGTTCTTTTGTGCACAAGTTAATCTTGTGTTATTTACATATTATTTCAGGCTTTCAGTTGAAGACTTATCTAACGCTAGAATGTACCTCCTAAATTTGGAAATAGCAGCATGTCTAGAAGCAAATGACGAGTGTGAAACTGTTGTTACTGTTTTCAACAATACTCTTCTAAACAAACTACCTTGCCAACTAGATTCCGGATTTATTTTTCAAAGTAGGATATTTTTGATTATATTACAGTAATTCAGCATTTTCTTTAAAAAAAACGAGTCCTTCTCCTCTAACAAAAATGCTGCTTTTATTATAAATATTGCAATTAAATTGAAACAACTGAAGTCCACGATGTTTACATTTATACATACCCTTCAACGATTGTTTCCTTTTTGAAAAGATGAAACTTGATATTAAACTTATTTAAATTAACGTTTCGAGTCAGTCAGACGTAACCAACGAACTTGTACCTTAATAAGGCACAGGCAGGCAAAATTGTTAATTTGTTGCATACGGTACCCTTGTATGCACTACTTAGATAAGATAAATACTCATTGTTGTTGTCTGTGCTTCTAAATTTGGAAATAGCAGCATGTCTAGAAGCAAATGACCAGTGTGAAACTGTTGTTACTGTTTTCAACAATACTCTTCTAAACAAACTACCTTGCCAACTAGATTCCGGATTTATTTTTCAAAGTAGGATATTTTTGCATATATTACAGTAATTCAGCATTCTCTACAATGGCATAGAGACATATAAAACTGTTATTGCTGCAACCTTTGTCACTTGTTATTCTCGCCATTCTTTTTTCAAATTCCAGATTTCTCACTAACGTCCTGGCTTACCTCAAAAGGCTATGAATTCAACAGTTATTTAGGGTTTGATGTCACTTCTGAGTTACTTGAGGTTTTAGGTATCGTTGGATATCTTAAAGATGAACAATGTGATAGAAAATCTTCAGCATTTAGCCCATCAGCATATGGATGGAAGAAAAGTACGTAGCGCTTTATGATCAAAGATTCGTCAGAGAAATAAGCAAATTTACGCCTGTAGAATAAACTGGGACCTCCTTTAAGCAAACATTTTGTTGTCAATTTTTGATAATAAGTAAAAAAATATACTTCCCTAATTGATAAAAATGACATGGAATCAATGTAAAGATTGTTGAGGTTTAGTGATTCTGTCTATTAATAAACTGTGCTTTGTTATATTATCAAGGTTGTCAGCTTAGTGTAGACGTAGATCCTCTATCAAATATCATGACATGCAACCTTGGAGAATCTTGCTCATCAGTAGACTGTTGCATTGACGTGTACCTGTTTGAACGGTCATTTAACGTTCAGTTTAATCTTGACCCTTGCACAAACATTCTCGAAGTAAGCATCGAAAAATTGGCGTTTGATGTACCACTCTCCGATATCGCATACGGTAAGTAGAACATTGCAATACCAGATTATAATTTGATCAATTTCATAACAGTTATGATAAGGAAAACAAAACACTTTTTAAAGGTATCAGTTGTGTTGTTAACAATAACGAAAGGTAATGATTTAAGTTTGCATAAATAATGCAGTATTGTAAAAAATGCTTATTTTGAATTAAAAGGCAGGCCCTAAAATATGAAAGTTTTGTTTTATATTGTAGATCGTATAGTCATTTTATGATAATAATTTACTGTTTATAATCAATAAACGCTTGATATTTTAGGAACTCCGTCAAGATTCTGCCTTTACGGAATGGTTTGCATCGAGTAAGTATTAGTTAATACACCTTGTTTTTTTTGTCAACTTTTTAGTTCATAGATATTACGGATACTTGACGTTTATGTTTGACGACAATATTTTGCTAATTTGATATTATGATTTTAAGATGTTAATAATTTGATTACGACTTAACTCATTTTTCAACATTTAGTTAAAATTGGAATTCTAATTCGATCATTATCTTTTTTCAAAAGGTGTTAAATTGAAATACAAAATATCTGCGCATGCTTGGGACTTGCTCTTTGTGGTTCAAAGCTGAAAAATATATTTTTTTTTGTTTTTGTTTTTTGATAATGTGAAAGTTTGTAGGAAAAAAATTATTGAAATTCAAACGAAATAAGACATACGAGTGTTTTTGTTTCTTTCAGGTATTCTATAAAGGATATGATTTGGTCAGGAATCTACATTGTCGATCTTAACATCAGCATTTGTTTTGAATCTTCAAGTCCGTGTGATATTCAAAGCCAAATTTTCAAATCTGCAATATTGCCTAAAAAGATATGTGGATGGGTTAATGATAACGATATACAAAGTAAAAGTTTTTTCATTAAAATATAAATTCCTTTGTGCCAGCATTTTTTGTGAGGAATACAAATAAAATTCATTGTAATACAATACCTTAAGAATGGTTTATTTCTTACACGTTCATTTTGATTACTTTATAAATAAATTTACATTTTGCCATCATCATTCTTCCAATGAACGATAAATAACAGACGTGGCCTATGGAAATTTCTGTCATTATCCATCAGCCTTTGTTTGTGACGTTCCATTTATAAAATGAGTGGGGCAGTCTTTTTATATTTTAGGCAAATTTATATTTTATCCTCAACATTTTGCAATATCAATGGTTGGTCAATTATTGTTAATAGTCAAAATTTGAAATATATGTTCATTTCGGTTCAACTTGACAGAGAAAAATGAAGCAAAATGTCACTTTATTACTTTCTCATTAAATTGCTCATTTTTATTCAGATTTCACGTTAGCCAGCTGGTTTAATAATCGAGGTATCCCGGACATGGCGAATCTTCCATCGTACTTGGCTAACACACTTGAAAATGATATTGGTCTCTCAATGTTTCTTAACCAAGAACAGTGCAAAAGAGGTGTAGCTCCCTATCTGTCGAATTATTCTGGTTGTGCATCAGGTAAATCAGGTCGTAAAAAGAATTAAGGCTTTAATTACACTTCAATATGGATAAGATTTTCGATAACGTGAATAGTTTAATATATATCCTAAAATAAATAGTTTATAAGAAATATTCATAACGCTTGTTTCGTTCCTTTTTTGCATGTAAACAATTTTTTATACATTATTAACATTATAATTAATATTATTATTATTATTACTGCAACACACATTTTGGTACCTTTTTTACAATCCATCATATTAATTTAGTATATAATAAATATAAATGATTTTCTCTTCAGATTGTCCGCTGGAAATACATACTTCAGTAGGAGATGCACATGTGTCATGCTATATTCCCGACTTCTGTACTGCTGTTGATATTTGTACATATATCCCGCTTATCAATCGAAATGTTCACACTTTTCTTCGGCTAAGGCCTTGTGATTCTCTCCTTGAGATTGGAATTGAACAATATCAATTTACGGTCGGGTTAAATGACTTCGAGTTCGGTAATTTTTGCAAGTATATTATTTAACAACTTTTATCTGTTAATATAAATAATTAAATGCTATCAACATGTTTAAATGACAAAATTAGTAATAATGTTTTCTCATGCACATTTAGAAATTATCTTCTCAGTTAATAACTAGTATTTGTAATTATAAAGGATAACTTTATACATTGTGTACACTGCGACATTCTTATTTGTTAAAGGTGAACGCAAGACATTGCTACTAAAAGACGTTTTCAAACTGGAGTAAGTAAAATCTTTTGGTTTTTTCCTTTAGATTGCATGAGTTTATTTATCTTACATTGAGTGGCAGCTGATGTCTTCCTTCATCAGTTAAGTTTTGAAGTCGCGTAAACAGAGATGAAGTAACATAAAACCTTACAAAACACACATTAAAAAAAGAATATTAACATTACCTTTATTCATGTAAGTATTAATAATATTGATGCATATTTATGCTTCTTTTGTAACACTCAAATTGGTGGCAAGTGAACTTCTCTGTAATTAAAAATACATCACCATAAAAACCATACATGTATATGTGGTTAATTATTTAATGATATTTTTTATTTCAGTCTACGTATAGACGATTTAAATTTCCAAGACGTTTATGTTGTTGACCTTAAGTTCAGTACTTGCTTTGTTGATTCAAGCTGTGAGGAATCTTACACTATTTTCGATCGCACAGTATTGACAAAAATACCATGTGCATGGGACATGAGTTTTAAAAATGAAAGTAAGCAACCATAGTATACTTAACGATAGAACGATTTTAGTGCTTTGGTATTTAAAAGTGTTTGTCTTTCGTTGTTTCGTTTATGTAATCAATGTCGACGAAATAAAACGCTAAAACAGTGTTACCAATGTTCATTGTCAATTAAAGTAAAGTTAATTTTTGTTTCAATTAATGATACTTTGTCTTTATCATATCAGATTTATCTCTTAATGAATGGATGATTGATCGAGGGATTACAAGAGAACAGTTTACAGATGTGCAGCGCAATGAATTGTTCGAAGTTCTTGGTTTGGCAGCATATTTGGACAACAGCAAATGCTATCTTACGGACGTACCATTCTCGCCGTCAAATGATGGTTGGAATTCGGGTATGATATGATATATTGATATTTAGATCTATGTGTAATGTGTCGACACAGATGAAGTATTACGATAAATACCATAATTATCATATTTGTCTTGCATTCCAAGCAATTAACTTCATGTTTCTGGATATTAGTAAACGTTATTCATTATATTTATTATGTTCAGTATTATAGAAAAAGACTGTTTTATACGATTCATTTTCGAATTTAAGATTGCCCAGTGGATATAACGTTGCCGTCCCTTCCAAGTGGTATCGGCTGTTATGTGTCTGATACTTGCACCGCCGTTCGATGTTGCCTGGAAATAGATATTATTTCGACTTCAATGTCTTTCTCTATAAATATGGATGGGTGTGAAAAGCAAATGACAGTTGGAATAGAGCAACTGACCTCAACAATAGATATTGATGAATACAACTTTGGTAAGATAAAGGAAATTATTTCCTGATTACCTTTTTGCATTGTTTAAGTAGCATTTTGTAACATACAATAAAGAACGGCTAATACAACACTTATCAAGTGATTTTATCAATTTCAACTTAAAAGAAACAAAACGTAATATACTGTAAAGAAATAGAAACACTGACAATACAAAAAGCAACAGCAGCAATACTCAAAACAATGTTTTTTCCCTAAATATTTTAGGTTCTTGGGAACGATTCTACTTGTTAGGAGTCTACAGAATAGAGTAAGTATCGTTTTATAAGGGCATTTATTATCATAATGTCAAATTTCTTGTATTTAAAAGACTAGTTTGCAAAGATTTGTTCTGTAATTGTGCCCTGAATGTACACGTCCTATTAATCTAGTTGCATTTATTTTACTACGCTTAGTTCTTATAAACAAATGTCGTATGTGTAGCTAATGTTTGTATATATTGTTTGACTATTTGCTTGAACTTTGAAAGATCCTCGAAGCATTCACTTAGAACAGGGTCACAAAATATTTGCTCAAATATTTTATTTTTTATTAAAGTTACATGATCGAATACTTGTATGGGAGTCGTAAATTCATAATTGATATGAACGTCAGCGCCTGTTTCGAAAGTCACGGAGAATGTGAAACAACAATACCAGTTTTGCGAAAAACAATATTGCCTAAAGTAAATTGTGATTGGTACAACGGATTTAGTAATGAAGGTAAGCATGTAAAGTTTGCTTTTCAATCGTTTTATTTCAAACTGTTGAAAACTGAAGAATAATTGAATTGTACATAGTACATACATTATATTAAATAACTGATCTTAATTAGGATCGATAAGAAATTTGAATGCGAGAACAAGCTAACTAACGGTGGCTGATTTCTTTCCAGCATATGCTGTGGAATCATACAAGAACGCTAACGTTAGTTCAATGTAGTTGTTAAGTTACTCCTTGATATTAAATATGGGACGATTTTTAAAAATAATTACAGGTGTACGTGACCTTCATATACTTTAATCGTATTCATATTATCTTAAAACTAATGTTCGAATAATATTTCGAATATTCAATATTTTACATTTGCAGACTTTGCGTTCGAGGAATGGAAACACATAAACAGTGTCAGCCAGAGCGAACCTTTAACTCGAGACCAATTTGATTTACTTGCCAACAATCTAGGCATAAGCCAATATCTCCTTGAGAATGAATGTGTTTTACCTTCAAACAGAAGTAATAGTGGATGGGATAACTGTACGTTTTAACCACTTTCTTTCTTTCGTCGCTGTTGCATATATTAGTAAGCTCTTATAAAATAAGAACTGTCTTTGAAATTACGGGAAAAACAGTTGCATAAAAACCCTAAAAATGTGAAACTGATGAAAATGTGTTTCCCGTTATCAGAATTAATTAAATAAAGTAAGGCAAAAGTTATAAGGAATAAAGTTCTAATGACAGTTTTATTCGTTAATCAAAACATATTTAAGCTAATCAAAGCTAAATGTCAATTCTATTATCTGTTAGCGTAATTAAACAAGAAAACGTAAAGCACTTGTCTAATAGATGCACATATAAAGGAATAGAAACGTTTTGTTTTTTGTTGTTTTTTTTTGAAAGAGTGTGTATCACAATTTCTATTTTCTTTTTTTACAACACAAAGTTATTGGTTATTGTAGTTTTTTTTAAAAATCCTAAAAAAGAGCACACGGCTTTCTCAATATAATACAACCATGAATAAATTATTGAAGTGTGCCTGTTTCGATGCACAAATATATTTCATTCTTGTTTTCATATGGCTTTATTGATTTCCGTCAAGAGAACGTGTGCCAAATGCCTTTCATATGGACTGGCTTGTGATGATCGTGTTTTTATATCTGGATTTAATGCATTTTGGGGAGGGTGTATATTATCAAAAGACTTGATGAAGAAAAATATTGAGACTTTTTACTGGCATATACTTTTACCATAATGAAGTAAGTTTGCAAGGATAACATACATTTTACACAATCTGAGACAGAGATTCTGTTCTATAATCGAGCTACGTTTATTAACATGCAATTATATGTAAAATTAGGCCAGTGTCATTAAAATGGTGTTTACATTTTGTTATTAGTTAAATCATATCGTTTTTTGTAGTATTACGTACATCTTGTTTATTGTTTTATTTTCCCATCTTACAGCGTGTCCCCTTGATATTGATTTACAACCACTACCAGATGATACAAGTTGCACGATGAGCACTGAATGTTTAACTGTTGAATGTTGCATGTTTGTCAGTGATCTCAACCGAAGTTTTAGCTTCTCTTTACATGTTGACGACTGTAACTTTCAAATATCAGCAAGCATAGAAGACCTGGAAATTACTAGAAAACTCTCGGCATTTGAATTCGGTACTGTTTTACCATATAACTTGAACAAGATTATATTGCATAAAATATTGCATTGTTTGACTTATTAATCCAACCTACATAATATGATTCTTGAACAATCAAAATCATTTAATGTTGAACTACCTGAAATAGAGTTTATTTTAACTTTGATCAGTGTTTTTGACAATTTAACATAAATCTAAAATTGAATGATCTATATAAATGATTGCAGGCAAGATGATAGAATTTGATATAGATGGACTTATTTCACTGCGGTAAGATTTTTCATACAATTAATAAGTTACATTCATGAAAAAATAAAACAGTCTATTAAGTGTTATCGTATATAATTGACAGTTAACAAATCGATCATGTTTTTATGGTTGTTCATACTTGCTTTTCTTCTCTAAGGATTCAAAGAGATAAATATTTGTTTCTATTTCTCTAAATCTTCGTAGACAGATTATGTACATTTTAAATAAAACAAATATTATGACATGTGCTGGTACACATCAACCTGAATGTCAAATATTTGCTAATATTTTGTAAATGAAATATTTTGACAGGTTTGTAGTGTTGAATATGGAATACAGTAACACATATATGTTAGACCTTGATGTATCTGTACACTTTGAAGCAAACGAGTCAGCAGCAATGACCGTGAAAGTGCTTGATGATTTATTGGTACCTCGCATTCAGTGTCAGCAAGACGCAGGATATGTTAATAAATGTAAAATCTATTTGGTGCTTTATCTTAGGTGTTTTTTCATGTAATTGTTCAAGAAGATATTTGAAACTTAAAAATTGCTCTTGTCATTTACGATATTTATGACATTAATAATTGCTTCACTTAATTATTATCATAAATATCTTATTATTTAATTTCTAGTTTGAAAAATACGTTTAAACTTATTACGCTATATACATGTATATTCAATACTTGATTTAATTTACCTAAAATATCATTATGGTATTTATCAGCATTATTAATTGTTATGAGTTGTTTTTTTGTATTTAGCGTTTGCCTTGGACAAGTGGAAAGAAAACAATAATGTGACTGCTATAGATGAGTATCAGACAGTCAAACTGTTAGAAGAGCTCGCTATTGCTCCGTTCATGTTAACAAACCAGTGTGACATTCGTGATGATTTTGTTATAGGTAAGTTGAAAATTAATTGTCGATTGTTAAGTAACGTTTAAATCAATTCGCTTTTATACGTTATATATATTTGTCTAATTTAACAGGACACCCTTTGGAAAAAGTAAAGACATTTAAGCAGATCATATATATCAATTTTCGCTGAAAACATAACATTCTTTTTACAGACACAACTGCTTGCCCAATCGATGTTGAAATGTTAAATTTCTTCGGCCAAGGCTCGTGCTCGTGCTCACTAACTGAAACATGTTCCGGAATTCGCTGTTGCCTCAAATCATCGGAAATATCGTCGAACTTTTTTATGGAAGTAGAAATTGATGCTTGTAGGGAAGAAGTCAAAGTTGCGATTGAAAAGCTGCAGTTCCTAATACCGTTTAGAAACTTCACATGGGGTAGGTTGTCAAAACAATTTAAATAACAAATTTGCTGTATATTAATTGTATTAGGCTAGAGGAAAACAATAATATGATACACTAATTCATTTGTTCATTTTAATTATCGATACAACTAAGCTATTTTAATGCATATCTTTTAGAGACACAAATGCCTCTGTTTTTTTTACCATCTGTTTCATAATGTTTCAATAATGAATGGGCAACATAATGAATTCACAACATATGAGATGCTATTACCTGAAGAAAAAATAACTTAATGTGAAATTATTAGAAGAACGGTTTACGATGCCTGCATACAACATTTCGTGAAAAACAATAACGATCATGATACACTTTATTTACAGGAGAAGTACAAACATTTAGTTTATATGGCGTGTTCCAAATCGAGTAAGTTAGTAAATAGAAAATATTTACACTTATAGAGGATTAGCCTACAAAGAGCCAACTTTCCATAAGTATTTCATAACTTAATAAAATCCATAGCATTGGTTCATGTGAATATTCTTAATAGAGTTATAAAATATTAAGTATGAAACTGGAGTTCTTATTGCATTACTTTAAAGATGCATTTCACCAGAGGGCCACGGTATTTTAATATAAAAGCTTGTGAAAAAATCAGATTTTAAACGAGAAAATATTTAGGATTCAAGTAATAATTTGTATGTTATGTTCGATTAAGGACTGATTTTGCAGTAACTGTATTTATTATACTATTTCTACTGCGTCACTAATGCATTAAGAAGAATTGTTTCTTATTTTGTCATCATTTGGTTATTTACCTGAATTGCATTTGCTGTTTGCAATGTGTAAATTATTTCCTTTGTTCACATCACAAAATGTTACAGTAACTTGTAAAATTTTTAATATTAAATATATTTTTTTAAGTTTCATCAAAGTAAGCATGAATCTTGATGAATGCTGGTTTAACTGCAATGAGCATATTCAACTTTTGATTTGTAATAATTTGTTTTTGTATTTAAGGATTTCAGTTGTGGAGCTCGTGAAGTCGCAGATTTATACTCTAGACCTTCGTGCAAGTATATGTCTGGGAGAAAATGAAACATGTAATTCTACAAATCACATTTTGGAAAACGAATATATGACCTCAATTCCATGCAGCTGGTCTTCAGAATTTATAGACACAGGTAAGAATATATGATCTGCTGCTTTTAAATATAGTATACGTAAGTCAAGATATCATGGAACGTATGAAAATGGGTTTATAAATGCCATAGCTTATATTAATTAAAAGTCTTCAGTTTTAAAGTATAAATATTACATAATCAACAATCCTTCATTCCAAAATGCATTCTTTATCACACAGGTAAATTTAAAACTTTACATTCATCAGTTGAACTATTCCTGTACATAAATCTATATTTTCTTGTGAATTGTCAGATTTTGATTTCAACGAATGGAGGACCAAATATTCATACAGTCTACAGGGACCTCTTCCGAAAACCGGTGTTGAGTTTTTTCTTACCGAAATTGGTGTCGATTCGTATTTATATCAAAATATGTGTGATAATTCTGCCGCACCTTACAAAGCCACTTCAAGCTGGGCGTCAGGTAATAATAAACGAAGTTCACTCTAATGAACAATAATTATATATTAAATTGTACTTACTTAATTGTTTCGACATTAGTATTGCTTTTCGTTAAAATTCTCTTTTTGAAAGTATTCAAGACCCACATTAAATTGTACTACTTGTTTAAGAATATTTGCTTGTTAATTGCAAGGAAAATCAATTTTTAACAAATGCGTTTATTTTTTCAGACTGTAGTATGAATGTCAGCGTCAAAGATTTGGCGGACAACACTAAATGTTTCATTGATGACACATGTTCCGGCTTTGAATGTTGCTCGTATGTGGACACCTTACAACGACCATTCAGTATTCAGTTTAAACTTGACACATGCTCTCAAACCTTATCAGTTGGAGTCGAAAGAATATTGCAAGACATACCCCTATCAGATGTCGATTTGGATGTCGTCAACAAATTCTATCTGAATGGCTTCATACGATTGCAGTAAGTTTATATTATTCACAAGTATAGGAAATATATCTCAAAGTTTTTTCATATAAATCCAAATTTTGTTGAATGATCTGTTGTGAGCAAATTAATAATAATTACAGACATTTACTATGTACTTTAAATATAATATCTAATTTAATATGCTTACTTCAGATTACTGAGATGCTTTTAAATATATATAATAAGTTTGATTATGACCCAATTAATGTGATAAAACCATATTTTATTAACATTTTATTCATTGTTTCAGATATATGCTCACGGATCTACCGATGCAACGAACTTACGTTGCAAATTTGAATTTAAGCATTTGTTTTGACGATAACACATGTGACATCGATTTAGAGTTACTTACGAATACAATTGTGCCACATACAGTTTGTGAATATAACCCAGGATATTCAGTGGAAGGTAAATATATAACTTACCGTATTGGTGCTTGTTAAATACAATTGGCTATGAAAAATAATATTTTTTTAATTGGTTAGAATCTTTACAACATTTCAAACCTGTAAAACTAATCAGTTGTTGCACAAGTCATGCTAAATGAAGTGTATATCAACGTCTGTTATATTTCAGACTTTTCTCTTGCTAAATGGAAAACGGACAACCATTTACATGAATTTGAAGAACTAGATTATGTTCAGCAGATTGAACTGATGACAGATTTGGGAATAAATCCTTTTATGAGAGAAACAGCATGCATAGCTGCAAACAATACTTACAACGGAGGTATGAAATTAAAGTACTTAAAACATGAATACATATGATTAGCACTTCTTTGAATTTGCGGATGGCATTATTGTATATATGTACTCAAAACTCTTATAAAAGATATACATATATATGTTGTTTTGGTTTACGTATTTTGAAAAAACAACAACAAAAAACGACGTCTTTTAATGTGTCTTACCTTCTACATAATTAATGAACAAATGCGTATGTTACATTCGTTAAAATGCTCGTGTGTTACTGACATACACCATTTGATGATCATTTGGCATAATAGCACATAATGTTGCTCGTGTTGCAAAAGAAATTATTGTCAAGCGAAGCAAGTCCATAGGTTTTGATTAAAAGCCGTTTCCATCAGTTAAATCAAGCATTTTTATAGTTTCATATTGATAACTCGCTAATAGACGAACAACACGAATATATGCAGTTTGTCTTATAAATTTACATTAAAATTGTTCATTCACAGAATGCGGTGTATTAGAAGATTTTCCGTCATCATGCAGTTTGTCAAATTCCTGTACAAAAATAAGTTGTTGTCTGTTCTCGGAAGTCCTGCGTCGAAACATCTTTTATGAACTAGACTACGATAAATGTAACCATCTGATCAATATAACTATTGAGACTTACAGCCGATTGATGTCCTTGTATGATTATGGATACGGTAGATATTTTTAAGTCAATGTTACAAAGTTCTAGTTATAGAATCTTTATATCTTTTATATATCTGTAAACAACAGTTATATCTGCAAATTTGTTTAATATATTTTTGAAAAACGGAACATATTCTAATTTTTGCTTTTTTATTGAATGTAAATACGGTAATCAAAATAGTGATATTGCTGAGAAAGTAAATATATTTTCTTTAAATTCAGCTACATGTATATACAATTAGACATATACTTACTTTGCCACTTTGCCATTGTTTTGTCAATTACCAGACTTATATTCTGTCGAAAGTATGTATGATTTGGAAGAAAAAATAAACTTTTACCATATTACCGTGAGAACGTTTGTTCTGCATTAAGTTTTTAGAATCATACTTTAAGCATAGAAAAAGTATAGCCTTTTGTTACGACGCAAAATAATATCAATTCTGTACCTACTCTTTACAAGCAGACCAAATTATAACTCAATTTATCAATTCCTTTACAAATATAACTCTTACAAAGGGTGCATTTTTACAACATAAGCAACAAAACGAAAAAGGAAATCGCCACAGTTTTACTTCTTAAAGAGATAATATATTTATTTGATAACTTCTTTTATTGACAGGAAATAACACACTCGTGTCGCTGTATTCCGTCTTACAGTTAAGGTAAGTCCATGTGTTCCTAGAACATTATGATATTTTGTATAAGACAGATTTTTATTTGAAATCTTAAACAGAATGTAATACACTACTTAATGTACGCATTAACATTGAATACGTCGGTGGTTCTACTCAGGTGCCCGTTCGTGTCTGAAATAATGCACGGAAGGGCACCTGAGGTCTTCCTCCACCAGTAAAGCTGGAACGTCGCGATCTGACCAATACTGTGTCGATGTGACGTAAAACCCAAAACAAACAAACAAACATTAACATTGAATACATGAATGTCTCATAATATTAATATCAAAACAAGTCAAACGTATTTCTTTGATAAGCTGTATGAACATAATTTAAGTATTAAGACTTTACAGTAAGAAGTAAGATGTATTTAAGTGTGTTTGAAGAGACGTAGAGAGAGTTTCCATATCAATACTTGTTAACAAGATAAATCAATACTCAAGACTACACTTTTGTATCGTAAGAGTTTTGTCAGCTCACAAAACCTCTTGTATTGAAGATCTCCCGTGATTAGTCGAACATAATAAGAATGCATGAGCTAACATTCATGTCGTCGAAGTGACATTTTGAAAAGACTTTCCGTCCATAAGGTCCTGGTGATCGTAGAACTGGTCTTCACTGGTCGTAAGCTCTAATGTGACTGGGGCTTTACAAATATGACTCTTACAAATGGTGCATTTTTACAACATAAGCAACAAAACGAAAAGAGATAATATATTTATTTGATATCTTCTTTTATTGACAGGAAATAACACACTCGTGTCGCTGTATTCCGTCTTACAGTTAAAGTAAGTCCATGTGTTCCCAGAACATTATGATGTTTTGTATAAGACAGATTTTTATTTGAAATCTTAAACAGAATGTAATACACTACTTTATGTACGCATTATCATTGAATACATGAATGTCTCATAATATATTAATATCAAAACAAGTCAAACGTATTTCTTTTGAATAACTGTATTGAAAACATAATATTAAAGACTATTTTAACACATATCTACAGAAGAAGTAAGATGTATTATTAAAAGTGTTTGTTTAATAAAGAGGACGTTGAGAGAGTTCTCCGAGTATGCATATTTACTTAAGTAAACAAAGATAAACTCTAAATACTAACAAGACTACATCTATTGTATCTTTTTACTTTTCAGCTTCACAATAGACCATCTTGTATTGAACGATTCTCCCGTGATTAGTCTGAACATAAAGGAATGCTATGAGGCTAACAATTCATGTTCATCAGAAGTCGACGTTTTGAGAGGAAACAACTTTCCGTCCATTGAATGTTCCATGTATAAGAATTACAAGATAGATGGTACTTACCGAATATATTTTTGCTCCTTCAATATATAATATACTTTAATTACATACACAATTCTATCCAATTTTACTTTTAAGTGTTTCATAAAAAGAGATATCTATTATCTGAATTGTATTTACAAAAGACCTTTGGACATTAATGAAAGATACGTATCAAACTTCATGTTTTGTTGTTGTTTTTTAAGTCATAATTTGTTACATTACAAACCATTTAAATCTCCCCGAATCTAACACAACAGTAGATTGTGAATAAATACATATATTATATATTAGTGTTACATTCTAATTTTGTTTAAATGTTAGTTATAAAATGTAATGTCCCCATTTTTTAATGTCATTAAAATTGTTTTTATACACAAATGACTTATTTATATCTGTTTGTTCATCACGTTATATATTTAAAAGAAGTTTTTTTTAAAACTATTAGGTGCTTTTAAAATTCTTAATAAATGTTCATTTTCGTTTGATTAGCATTTTCCTTGATTGGGTGGTTATCTGAAAGGAACATAAATACATCCAGCTTACCTATGTACGCAAAGAAAATCCTCAATCGTGATTTAGGAATAAGTCAGTACCTTCTTCCTAGTGAATGTAAAGCTGAACCAACTGGATGGACATCAGGTTTGTGTACTGTGTTGATACGAATCCAAAGTTATAAAGCCTCATTTTTTCTTTGTTATTATGTTGATAAGATTTGCTATTTCTATCAGTTCTGTTTTAACTCATTTTAAAGTTATTTCAGCAATACAAATAACATTACACATCCATACTTTATACGTACACAACATATAAATATTATCTCTGTCCATTATTTGATAACTGCATGTAATTGTATTTTTAATGTACAAATGGTTATCATTTCATTTATAGATTGTGCTGAGAACATAACAATGCTAAATATCACTGACAACAATACAACAATAGCCTGCCATCTACATTCATCCTGCTTGGATCTTCAATGTTGTCTATTTGCTGGTGAAGTCCAGAGGCCGTTTCAATTTCAAATACTGTTCGATCCATGTGATTTGAACTTTACAGTTGCGATAGAACAGTTTCAGTATGAGTTATCACTAAAGGACGTACTTACCGGTAAGATATTTTATAAACGTGACTTTTGTTAAAGTGGGTTTTATAGATTTTGTCAATACCAAAATAATTAAACACCGTTTTAACGTTTACCCTGCCTGGCTTCAGCTCAGATTACCGATGAAACCAGGCAGATCTAGGTCAATCGTCACATCCATGTCGATCATTGTTCGCTGTTAAAACTGATAATTTAAAATTGTTCTGTCTTTATCAAAAGATGGATATTTAGCATGGTAAGGGTTTTTGCATACATTTCAAAAAGAGAGTTTTGTGTGATTATATAATTTATTTTCTTTAAAGTGTCATGCGAGTGACATACGTTCATTTTCCCCGCAACTAACTCAAGTGTACATTTTACCCTTTTTCAGGGCGTTTTATTACAATGAGTTTGAATGGCGTTTTACGAATAGAGTAAGTGTTTCTCTTGTTAATATTTTATTCAAATAACGTATTAAAGGTTTCAACTAAATTGAGCGAAAAACAACATATAGCAACAGTTGATATTATGTTATTAGTTTTTTGGCATTACAATTATTAGCAAATCTTTAGTATGTATCATGATGCTAATAACCATTCCAAGTCTTCAAAACATTGAACATTTTAATGCATTTTATGTCAGCTTAAAATTGTAATAAGAGATTAAATTTCATAGTTTGAGTTAATACTTTAAATTTACACATAGTATGTCAACATGTATACGTATAAACAACACTTAGTAAGTAACGGTGCTTAGCATCATAGATTACATTTTACGAAGTATTCATGTGTTACTGAAAACATTCAGCCATCCAACGAGTTGACCAGTATCGTTTTTTTGAAACACCTCAATTTTTTGTTATTCTTATCTTGCGATTGGTTAAGAACATGTAAGAATATATTCGTGTAATAAGTTTAGATTTACCTTCGTTTTAAGACATGCTACCTTTTGAAGTTTCCCTCAACTTGGGTAAAAACGTTAAAATGTATATACAACACTTTGTTTAAATATAAGTTGTCCACGAATTTATCCAGGTTCATGCTAGACGAGAATTCAGATGATGAATATGTCCTAAGTGTTCGACTAAAACTGTGCTTGGAAAGTATATCAGAATGTAACAATGACGTTGAAATATTCAATAATCAACTTATCAAGAAAAAAGTATGCGATTTCGGACAAGGATTTAGTATTGCAGGTACGTACGTTGATATAGATCGTATAATATATTGGAGCGTTTAAGTTTAAGGAATAATTAAGCAGCATCGATTATTCTAGAAAATTATCCATTCTAACTGTATAATAATAATTACGATTATACTTTGTTCCGTTTAGATTTTTCGCTGAACCAATGGATGACCGATAATGCTATTGCATCAGCTGAACTAATGTCTGACAAAGAAAGAGACATTTTAATGCAATTCTTAGGTCTAGAGCTGTTCCTCTCGAAAGACCAATGTACAACAGAAGCAGATCTTACTGAAGGTATCGTATAGAACGTTTGCATTGCAAGATATTTTCATTATAAACGATATTTGGTAATCTTTATTTTGATACATACCCTTTAAAAATGAATGTCTGTCAAGAACAGTCTAAACTTGTGCAAGATTATACACAGTTTGTAATAAAGCAAATTCGTTTTATTTACATTTATAACTGAAGTAAAGAAACACATTATATGCAAACGTTCTTGGATGATGAATGCTTCATTGAAAGCTTGCTTAGAGATAATTGATATTTGGAGGATTGCTTTTCTACATTTACATCAGTTTTTTCTTTTAAATTTGTATTTTATATGTATATCGATCGGTTAAAGGAATGAAATAAAATACGTAATATTCTCGTTTATGATTAATACTGAGATTAATAGTAACCTGTTTCATAGTCCGATTTACATGTATTTCATTTTTGTTAGTTATTTACCGCAACGTGTCTGTGTTTAATTTACCATTTCTTTATATGTTATACTACAAAACATTTCAGTTTCTTTTCGCTATTTTGATTTTAATGTGTTTTATCCATCACTAGACGGCTTTGTAAGCATCTTTAACGGATCTAATACAACATGTGCAAGAACAATAGATGGAGACAGCTTCGATTGTTGCGTTTATTCCGAAGTGCTGGGTAGATATTTGTGGATGAGTTTCTCGCTCGATGCGTGTAATTATCGCATGGAAATGAATCTTGAGAACTTGCAACAAAGTTTCCATTTACTGAATTACGAATGGGGTAAATATATTTTGACAATTGTACATGATATTTAACTAAGTAAGGTAAATCTAAAGCGTCTTGTTAGTACAGTAGAGTTTTTACTCCTAATGTCTGTTACTAAGTATTCTCCACAAATGTGAAGGTCATAGTTTACTGTTGGTCTTAAATCAATTTCCCTGCCCTGAATATAAAGTTAAGATCACAATGAAAAGCAACTTAAATTGACTTGTTGAAACCAAGCAATGCTTTATTAACTTATAAGGTATTTTTCATCTAATGGAATTCATTAAACACAGACGTTTTAAGCTGATTTATGTGCCAAATCATAAAACATATTATTTCATTCAAATACTGACATTGATTATGTGTAATTAATTCAATAATAAATTTGCAATCACGTTGACAATGATGATGGTTATTTTGCAGGGACAATGCACAAATTTACTACGAAAGGCGTTTGGTGTACAGAGTTAGTATGATCAGATTACACTATATTACTTGTTTAAAACACCATTATCTATCATTAAATACATAAATAATAATATGAATTAATATCTCAAAACCACTTGTAATGCATTGTATGTCATGTGCATTGCATATCATACCGGTTATGGTAATTTGTTTATTAAACTGTACATTTCTAACAAGAGTATGCGCGTTAACATTAAAGTGTATCTGATATTTCAATTGTTTCAGGATGCACAAACACACCATAGAAACAGTACACATAATATATAGATATACCCTCTTTAATTTTTTAATATAATAATTACAAATACAACCTTCCAGATATTGATGTAAACTTTACTTTCGCATACAAATTACAGGTTCATGGTGACAAATGTCCAAACGGAGCACGTGTTTTCTTTAGACATCACAGTACAGCAATGTTTTGAACCTGCTTGTACCTCGCAAATTACAGTAGCAAATGGTGTAAGAATACCTTATCCATCATGCGAAAATGTGACAAATAATGACACAAGCCAACTTTACTATGGTACTTTTTAATTTTTCCAGTTATGCCAGTATTGGAAATGAGGGTGTATGCACCTTAATGACAGTTATATTTTGATAATAAAATTACCGGAGCCATTACTGCAGGCAGCTATTCTTATATGGTGATGTGTGTCATGGGTTGAAACCGAGCGACCACGGCGCTTGTCCGCATTTTTTCCTGCAATAAATATTCGCATCTCGAGTTGTTTTACGCAAGAGCGTAGGTTATCATGTGAAGAGAATGAAAGTTTCATATCAAACCTATATAGTAAATTTTAAAATCAGTCTTCACTGTTGAACTGAACAAGAAACACATATTTTTTCAGTTTACATGATTTGCTGTTGAAGAAATCATTCAGTACCGAAATATTGTTTCGAAAGCGGTTTATGTTTTACTTACGATCTCATATCAATGAAATTTGTGTTTACAGGGATAACGCATGATTTCTGGAAACAACCTGTTTGCACGACTGAAAATTTAACATCCGCAACAGGTATTACATAATTCACCATTATTCATAACGTTGTTTAATGCTTTTTAATAATATTTTGTGAAAAAGGTAATGTTACGGAAATGTTCCATACCAAAGTCAGTACTTGATAAAGTGTTAGAAATGAAACACTGTGTCAACAATTGTGTTGTTTAATCAGCGCGTTATTTCTTGTGTCTTACGAATTTCATACATAAGCCACTGCTACACTGAATGGTACTAGATATAATTACAACTTAGAGTTTTTAATGGTTTTAAAACTGTTGTGTATACATTAACCAAAACAACTTAACCAGTCTATATGATCGTATATTACCAGCTCTAGATATTGTTATGACACTTTGTTTTGCTTCTTTTATTGCATTTTAAATTACCTACTAATATACCGGTTTCGTGTCAGTCAATGCTGGTAAGTTTTGAAGATGAATTTATTGGTTGAATAATAATAATAATAATAAATAATAATAATAATAATAATGATAATAATAATAATAATAATAAACATAATATTAATACTAATAATGATAACAATAAAGCAGAAAAACTGCACCATTCCCTAGCCAGACTCTCATATACTAAAACTGTGCTAGTAATTGACAATTGTATCTGTGAATGTAAATATTATTTACATACCGGTTGTCAATTTCAAGCATCAAAAATTTTCTGCAATCATATTTCAAATATACGCAAAGAACAACCTGTCGGCGGAGTTGTAACGTTTTGACATTACCATTTCCGTTACTTGAAAGATAAAGTACACATCACGGCTACAATTTGTCCAATCAAACCCCGTCACCACGCTTCTTTTAAGTACCAGCTAGAAGACTTTCACTTTAATTTTTAAAGTAACATGTATACTATTAAATGTAATATTTTGTAAATAGCGATGCCATCAAAAGAACAAATGTGAAACTGAATTTTATATTATTTGTTTATGTATTCTATATGGAAATTAAATTACGTAGTAACATTAAGTGTGAATAATTTACAAAAAGTGTTTATATTATGCTTTGATTGCAGGATGTGATGCTCTTCCAGATGAATTGATTGGCATTTGTAAATGGACAAATGAATGTAGGGGAATTCAATGTTGTACTGAATTTTACTATGGTGAGGATAAACGAAATGCTGAAATTGTTTTCTCAATTGACTGTGACAACAAACAGCTGAATTATAGTATTGAAAACAAAATGTGGAGTAAACCTATAACAAACGGTAGGTACATGCTCTTCCAAAATATGCTCCTATATATGTAGCACAAATAAATTTAGAAGTAATTTATATTTTAATGTATTTGGTATGCAATTTGATGATACTGATCATCATTATGTAATCTGAAGTGTTTAGTATTAAACAGAAAACAATAATGAGAAAGATAATCAATAATCATACGTTATAGGATAAAATCGGCTATTTTTCCCTCTTTTGCCCATGTTATAACGGGACCAAAACCATCTGTTAATATAGTCTCTGGTTATAGCCCGGTTTTACCTATGCGCAATACATACTGGGCCAAGTAAACAAACAAACAAATAACGACTTGCCAGTTTGCCAGAGTCATGCTCTCCTGTTACAATGAAATAATTGATTCGAGGGCCTCCATCGCATAAAGGCGAGCAGCATTCAAGTAACTATGCCGGAAATACGGCGTATAGACATTGCCGCTAATCTTGGTTGTCGTTCTTTCTAAGAAACGAACAGTTGTTAATGTAAACAAATATCTGTCATTCAGTTTAACCCTCTGTTTAACTTACAAAACAAGATAACACAAAATGAATATGAGAAAATGTTGTTTTATTGATGTTTATATTGATAAATGCTCTTTTGATAATTTTAGAGAGAATAATGTTTAGTGCCTGAATTTTTTTTATTTAAACTTGTGTGCTTGGGGAAAATACGATTCTGATACCACTGATTTTTTTCTACCGTCAATCTGATATTATTCGGTCATGTTTTGTCTTGGGTAGAGTAATTTAATGTTTTTTTTTTCTTTCTGGAATTAATAAATCTCCAGTGTTAAGCTTTGTTAAATCGATTAAGATTTGAAATTCGTTCGGTTCTGAGCATTTGTATTTCCCAAGTTGTTGGCCCCGGAAAAATACAACGCATAAATAAAACATGTAGAATTGGATAAATACCGTCCAAGCACAAGGATTTAATGTATGTGTTTTGTATTAAATATGCATCATGAATCTGTTAAAAATTTATGCTATAATAGCGTCAACGTACGTTTATTTCGTGTTATGAAGTCTGCAGAGTCCCTCGAAATTGTTGGAGGGCGAGAACCGTTCCTCGAGACTCTGCAGACGTTATAACACGAAAAACGTGCATTAACCCTATAAAATATCAACTAAACAAAAATATATTAAAAACTATTTAGAAATATATATTTCTAATTCTCACACTCTTCTTATAAAATAATTAATAAAAAAGTGAAAGTGTAATTAGATAAAAATGAAAATTACGTTTAAATTTTCTGTTGATTGATTATCTTTTTTATCTTATTGAGGAATGAATATGATACATGAAGATATAGCTGGGACAATTTTACTCGACGTTAACACCACAAGTACGTTACAAACAGATTATAATGTAGTTGCTGATATAATGGTGTGTACTGGTACACGTAATGCTAATGACTGCCAATTGAACTTCCGCATTTCACAAACGTTTCAATGCCAAACCAGCAAAAGAAGGCGGCGGCGACGCAGTATTTCAGATTCATGGTAAGAACCCTTTACATATTTATACCCAATAATTATGCCGCCCTTCGAAGAAGAAGGGGTATATTGTTTTGCTAATGTCGGTCTGTCTGTCTGTCTGTCTGTCGGTCTGTCTGTCTGTCCGTCGGTAGACCACATGGTTTCCGCTGATTATCTTGAAAAGTATTAATCACAAAGTCTTCATATTTCACATGGTGATTGGCCATAACTAGTAGATGACCCCTATTGATTTTGGGGTCACTAGGTCAAAGGTCAAGGTCACAAGGACATTAAATGTCAAAATGGTTTCCGCTGATTATCTTGAAAAGTATGTATCAAAAAGTCTTCATATTTCACATAGTGATTGGACAACACTAGTAGATGACCCCTATTGATTTTGGAGTCACTAGATTAAAGGTCAAGGTCACAGCGACCTAAAATGTCAAAATGGTTTCCGCTGATTATCTTGAAAAGTATTTATCACAAAGTCTTCATATTTCACATAGTGATTGGTCATAACTAGTAGATGACCCCTATTGATTTTGGGGTCACTAGGTCAAAGGTCAAGGTCACATGGGCCTTAAATGTCAAAATGGTTTTCGTTGATTTTTCCATGATTGAACACTTCCATGTACCCTTTTTTGGCAATTTTTTGTAATAAAATTACCAATTATGTGAGTCAATGGCTAGAAAGGGGGGTATATGTGTCGTTCGACATTCTTGTTACAAATGATTTCTGTTTGTCGGTAAATTTAGGAAAATGTTTGCTTTTAATGTATTACACGCTTTGAATTGCTGTACAAAATTATATTGTATCTAAATCCAAAAGCATTAATCAGTTTGTTCATGAAAGTGATAATTGCATTGAAGTTTTATAATCACTAATCTTTCCAACATTTACATCTAATTTGGTATTTTCGTCATGTAATAAATATGCTGTAAACCCGCCACCTGATATAAAATACCGTAAAATGTTATTATATATAACTTTGAATGTTTCGTTTTTTAAAGATAATAATAACTTACAGCAATTGCCTTTGCTAGTTTGGTTATACAGGGTGATCCAAAATATCTGATACTGTTTTGAAGTTGAATTAATAAGTCATTCCTGATGCAATTATTAAGTGCTATATACCATTGTAAAGAGAATTGTCATACGTTTCTGTCATAATTAATTTACGGGAAAACGTTGACGTCATGACGTCATAGATGACGTCATCAAATAATAGTTGTTTTTCAAGATGGCGACGTCAAAACAGAAAGCTGCAGAAATAGTTAAACTTTATTTTGAGACTAAGTCTCCAGTTACTGTTATTCGCATGATGCAGAAAAAATATCCTGATGATGACAGACTCACAAAGCTTCAGGTGCATAGGCTTGTAAATAGATTTAAGCAGACTGGGTCAGTTGAGGATAGCCGACATAACAACAGTGGACGACCAAGATCAAGCCGCAGTTTAGAGAACGTGGCAGAAATCCAGCAAGTGATTCAGGAGACACCACAAAAATCTGTAAGAAAGGTTCTTGGAGACATTACCAATAAGTCTATTTATGGAAGTGTACATAGGGCATTGCGTTTTGATTTGAATTTGTTTCCCTATTCGTTATCCATTATGCAACATTTGAAAGAAACAGACATTATCAGCAAATTAGAGTTTGCTCGTTGGATGATTGATAATGTAACCACAATTGATAAAATATGGTTTTCAGACGAATCATATTTTTATTTAAATGCAGCTGTAAACAAGCAGAACTGTCGAGTTTGGAGTAAAGAGAAACCAAGATTCTACTTAGAAAAGCCACTTCATGATGACAAGGTGACGGTATGGGCAGCGTTGAGTTCGACCGGTGTGATTGGACCATTCTTTTTTGAATCGAAAGGTGAAACCAAAACAATAAATAGTGAGCGATATCTTTCTCTCTTGAAGACAAAATTTCTTCCAGCCTTACGAAGAAAAGGTATTAACATTAATACAATATGGTTTTAGCAAGATGGAGCGGCACCACACACTGCGGGACACGTGTTGGAATGGTTGATAGAAACATTTGGCAGAAAATTTATCTCATTTAAATCAGACAAAGTATGATCTCTACACTCACCTGATCTAAGTCCGTTAGATTTCTTTCTATGGGGACACTTAAAAGACAATGTTTATAATCCGAAGCCAGACACCATTGAGCAGCTAAAGTCAGCCATTCGCAGAGAAATAAAAAAAATTACACCTGCAATGAGTGTTAACGCTATTGAAAATTTTAAAAAGAGACTTGACGTCGTAGTAGCACAAAATGGACGTCATATTGAACATTTGATGTAAATTTTGTTTGGTAAAATTCATTTTTATTTTTTTATTAAACATAATGACTTTAATGTTAAATAAAACTTTAAAATCTCTAGCTAAATATGTGTGTTGATATTTAAAATCGTGTGATGTATGTAAAACATACAAGACACTGAAATGGTATCAGATATTTTGGATCATAATTTTGATTGTTGAAATGTAACTATAATGATTTCAATATTCTTAACTAGAATTAAATCCTTTTTTTCACTATCCTTTGATTGATTAATATTTTACAGCCTTTTTTATTTTCATTTTTATTTTATTTCAAAGCCCAGATATGGATATCAAAGAGCTCGTTACTGAAATGATCAACCAAGGAACACCTTATATCGACATACAAAATTGCGTGGACAATGCTATACAGTATCAGGTATATAAATCATATACTATATTTGGTATCTTTTTACTTTTGCTGCACTTATTTGAAACATTTAATATTGTTTACGAAGAGATTTATTTGTTTTGTTCTTGTTTATTTAGAAAATCTTAAAATCCGAGTTTTGGCAACCTGAGATATTGAGCGATTTTGACTCTAGCAGTGGTTTTACAACAGCCGTTAAAGCATTAGGGGATAATAATCCACAAATGATTAAACACGGAGGACCTAGTGTTTCGGTAAATCTAGAAATTACAGGTGGTAAGTACCCGCAATGCTCTTATTTTAACATAGGTTCTAGCTCTTAATCTTTTTAAAAAGTTCTATTTTTGTAAACATTTTGTATCAAATTAAGATTACATTATATTACCCTCATAAATGTTATGATATCTAGTCAATTAGGCATCTTTGTGAAAAAGTATTTAATAAAGCAAAATATTATATTATATTTACATTTATGTTAAATTAAAAGAAAAGAGGAAACTTCATTTTTATAGGAAAATCATTTTAATATTCATTAACTTGTATTGCAAGATATGTTCATAATCATGGTACTTTTACAGCTGATAAGATCTTCGAGATGGCGGGATTTTTAAATGGCATTGTTCAAAGAGCAGACCAATTGTTCGTGGTCGGGAAAGGCCTTTCAGAACAGGGAACGAGACTATTGGGTGCACAACTCGCAAACATGACTATTGGTGATGTCGAAGCACTTCTAGAACGTAACAAAGTAGATCCTACACAAATAAGAAAAATTGTTGAAGACTTTATAGATTTAGCTATTGCCTTGGTAAGAGTCAGTACAAAGTTTGATTATTATACGTCTTAAGAAAGAATATGAATCACATTCTTCAACATTATCGCTCATGAATTTTGTCTGCATATCTATATATATACAAATAAATAGAATTCTTCATAATCATAAAATCAAACGCGATAAAAACTTAACTCTTATATCATGATTATTTTAATATTAAGTGATTCTTGTTATATAACATGTTTAGTTATATTCTTTTTTACAAGCAAACAACAATTTTACTTGAAAAAAGAATTCTATATGTTGTTCCATTTTTTACTTCAAGTTCGTTAAGAAAGATTGTTGAAGAAAATATTATAATAATTCTTTAATTTATAGTATTCGGAAGTAGTAGACAAGCTCTTCACAGGCGATTCAGGCAATCCATTCGGTTCATTTGAATTTGCACTACGTGGAGACTTTAAATTTCCAAAAAGGACTATTAAATTTTTTGATCATGAAGAGTATTTTCCATTAGGAGGCTTCATATGGGTTACTTTTGGTATGTACGTTTTATAAGTAGAATCATATGAATTGAAATGCAGTAGATTATATGAAATCATTAGTGCTAGCAGATAATGTATAAGTTTGACCATAAAATGGTCATGAACAAAAGACTTAAGCAAATCAAAGAAATCAACAGAATGACATTTTAAGTGTTTCACGAAAGCTTTTAATTATTATAATTATTATGATATTAACCATATAAAGCTTCCTTGAACGTTTCGAATGTTTAAGATCAGCGATCGTTGAACGGTTTCAAATCACGTTGTGAATATTTTATCAACATTTTGTATGTTACAGAGAAGTTAAAAATGAAAATTGATAAAGCCTTTTCTCGTGTTTATTTAAAAAGCATAAAATAGACTTCTAATTTAATATGATTGTTAATAAAATATATTTATATATTTCAAGAATTTGGAGCTGGTGGATATTATGGCCTTGGTCTTGGTTTGGAGGGCAAACTCATAGCACAGACAGCTGGACTGACTGTTGAACCTTTTGGTGGTTTAATCTGTTGGGGCGGAGTGTCTGTCGGCTTTATACTTTATGCTGAACTGCGTTTGGAGGGACGCATTCTAGATCTACGATTCCCGACTTTAGCTGAAATAGGGTTTTCTAAATTCCCGTTGGATGTTTCGTAAGATTAAATAGATTATATGCTAACAAAGTACACTATAAAACTTCAGATATAAGTTTTAAACACACACAGAAACATATATATTAGATCATTCTGTATTTATCCATACTCTCGAATAACAACCTCATGTACCTTCCTTTGTATATGCATAGAATATGTTATGTTAATCAACAGCATTGAGAAGTTCATTTTTTTTAAATCCTGAGATAACTTATATGATAAAAAGGAGACGGAATATGCCAATATATTGTACATATAATAATGATAACAACATCACAATTTTATCATTTATCTTTACAGGTTAAAAATGGACTTAGTGCTAACACCAGTTTCATTGCGGCTAAAGGCATTGGTCACTCTTAAGATAAAACTATTTATTGTAACAATTAAAAAAGTACTATTTAAATTCGATATATGGCGCTATTCTACGCCAAGCATCAGAGCAAGACTAATCGATGTTTCAACGAAGGAACAAGATGAATCACCACCGGAATTTTCAACTGCCGTTGAGACTGAAGATGATGTAGGTTAACCTTATTAATGATGTCACAAAATAACATTCAAAACAAAATCTATTACATTGCAAAGGGACCTTTTAGTTCACGATATACGAAGCCTCCGAAATGAATATTAATTTTCTATAACGCAAATATGTGGTAAATAAGGTTTTGATAATTGATTAGGAACTAGTAAGATGCTTTGAAAATCCATTATAATTAATACAACATTTAGGTAAGAACCTTGCGCCGGATTTGATTTAACTTGTGATAAAAAATAAGTTTAGCAAAGTTTTATTTTGACTTTCATAAAAAAACAACACAAACTATAGCTGTACTTCTTATCAAAACGCAACAGAAGTAAAGATAAGTAATTTCATAGAAACCGTAAAATATGGGCAACAACTTCATAGAAACAGTAAAAAGCTTTCAAAATAACAAAATGTATTTTTGAGGCTTTATAAGCTTTAGAAACATGATATTCTAATATACCTGAGATTTGATAATGCAGCTTATAAACACAACATTATTCGACACATGCTATCATTATGTATCTATATAACTGTTTCTATGGCATTCACCTAAACATTTGACTTTGATATTTCTTTTTATCCCTCAAGACGTTTGACACTGCATGTGATATCAGTCAAATAAAACATCGAGATTACACTGAGCCGGCATTTGAGATATCAGTAGCAGCGGCTGATGACAAGAGTAATCTAAAGTTTTTCCTCGATGTTGGGACATTTCCAGCAGGAAACAATGTAAAGAACAACCTACAACTCGGTGGCCCTTCTTCAGTTTTAGCAACGGTATATTATTTTCTGTATGTTCCTAAACAAATTTTAAAACTGAATATTGAGTGCGTTTGATTGCATTTATAAAAGGTCACAACGAATCTTGCTGCAAATTTATACTTTTATTTTAGTCTGTAGACGAATATCCCTCAGGATCACCTTTATATTTCACCGTCTATGCTGAAAATAGTGCCGGCGCAAGATCAAAAGTAACCTGTATGCTTCGAACATACGACACAACAGAGCCTACTGCCAGATTAACACCTGGGTTTTTGTCAACAAGTAACCCGAATGTTATAAAAGCGTCTATATTAATACACGACGATTCAAAATTAACCAAGGCGTTTATCGGTGTTGGTTATAGCAAGGGCATTTATGGGGATCAGCTGATTCCATGGACAATACGGGATTTAAACGAAAGATCGCCTGTATCATCAAGTAAAAAAATCATTTTTTATAATATCCTAAATAAAGTTTATTTTGCCTGATCAACTTGCTTAACATTGTACTAGTTAAAAAATTTTTTTTTAAATGAATAAAATGAATTGTTAATTCACATCAATATATTCATATTAACATTTTTAATTAAAAAAAAACATATTCTTTCAGTTAATATTAAGGCAATATATACCCAAAGAAGAAATGCTGATAAAGGCACCGGTGCTCTATTAAGATATTTAGAAACAGAGTGATTATTAAAGATAATTTACAAATTTCAATCCGTTAAAATGCACTGAATGCGCTTGTGGATGTCAAATTTACCAATAAAAATGAATGAATATAATCTAATGATTACATTTAATATGTACAAATATTTGCAGTACATATTTAACATATTCTTCGATATTTGAAAATGGTTGTATTAGCATAATTATATACATATATATTTTCACGTAATAGTGGTATACAACCTCAATTACAAGACATAAGGATCTTTAAAGATTTTATAATCATATAACAGATATGTATATTTTTTACATACGTATATTCTACCTACAGGCAGCGATCCCTTGGCGCAATTTTCTGATCTAGAAGATGGCAAATTTGTGTCGACACCATTTAAAATACAAAACGAAGTACATACAGCTACTGCATGTGCACAACTGTGTTTGAATCATGACCATTGTACAAGTTTTAATTATGATTATGGTCCCGATGCAATATGTGAGCTTCTCCGATCGATTCGCCATTATGATGATGAATTAGCACAGGTAAAATTCTATTAAAAGACATAATGTTTGCAATAATGATTTCTTCAGATATTGCTGTAAAATATATGCCTTACGTTTTTACATTTGCTGTAGAATTTTATGCAATCCATTATTTTATGTTAGACATAAACGTTTGCCTTTACAACTGAAAGTGTATATACAAATGCATGTTAAAATGCTGCTTTAAAATCGGGCTTTTTTTCGAAATAATGTAACGACTTTTGAGCTGACTATTGATTAAATGTATGTACATTATTTCCAGACCGGCTTGTTTTGCCATTTCGAGAGATTATCTACCGGACATTCGGTTGAGGTCAATCATAAGAACCTAAATTTGCAGCATAACAGATTACATTTTGTTAATATAGATCTAACAAACGACCTAGGCTATAGATCTATCGTTCCAAGCCTTGGGATATTGACTGATTATACCTGTCCAGAACCCGGTAAGAATATCAACTACTGTAAAATCCATTCTTTAAAATCTTAATAAAAGATAAGAAATAGTCTACTTGTTGATAAAATATGTACTTTAAAAAATCTGCAATGAAAAGCGATATATTCTAAATGTTAAATCACAGACCATGAACAGAAATCATTTCTTATTTATAACAATATTTGGTAAGACAGGGTTAGCATGTGATTCAGAAAATATATAGTGAACCCTTGGATAAAGAATGATTGAACCCTTCTTAATGTTAGATGTTGATAAACTTTGTAAAATAGGTACCGTATAAGTTTTATTTTCTGCGGTGACTTTATTTCTGCGTATTCTGCCGTTAGTTTCAGCACCGCAGAAATAAAAACCGCAGAATATTTCTCCATGTTTTGTTTTTTAACCTGTTATGATATGTGTCCTACATTATGACCTGTTTCGTCTATAGTAATAACAACTAACGAATTATAACGGTTGGAGGGTCATCGAGTTTTATAAAATTGCTGTTGGCTAAGTATGTATCTGTTACTTATTGTTAATTATGCCAATATGTGAATAAAGATTTTTAAACGTCACACATAAATAAGTGCTTACCATTTGTTTACCACTAAATCATTCAAACCATTTTAACCCTTATACTGCTAAATAATCGTTGTATTTTTTAACTGTTGTCTAATTTATGTTAAATTTATATCCATTTTCTTAAATTAATGATACTACTGATACTACGGGGGTATATTTTTCACATGTCATTTCACGCTGATCAAAAGATCCATACTTTTCTATTGTTGCGCATTATATTTATTTGCACGCAAACAATGAGTTTGTTTGTAATTACTGTACAGTTTTGCGGCGATGATGATAAACAAATGCGAATGTGTACATGCAAACAAAATAGGTAGAATAATGTGAGATCGTGAATAAATGAGACGCAGAATTTAAAATGTGTTTTGACCAAAGAACTAGCCGCAGAAATAAAGTCCGTAGAAATGAAAACATGCCAAAATTTGGAAAAACCGCAAAATTTGGAACCCGCAGAAAAAAACACTTATACGGTAGTTATTTCTTATTTTAATGCTTACATAAAATTAATGCTTCTAGCGTTTCACAGTTATCATAAGTTAATGATGCAAACCTTCTTATTTGAATTAAGTGCCAAACTTTGCTTTCGCCGATAAACATGTGTCTTTGCCATTATGTTGCCATAACCCTTCCACAATCATTTTCAGGTCCGATTGTTAATTCATCAAGTGATTCCATAAAGACAGACAGTTGTATGATTTTAATTCCCCCTGATCGCCCAGATCTCAAACGATTCTGCACGGGAATACATTCTCAAAGGTTGAATCATAGGTATATGGATTTGCTATTATTATTATTATTATTAAGTCATATTTTGTGCCTAAGCAGTCATGAAGAAGTATTTCTAACGTCAATTGGCTTTTTCTTTTGGTCAATGTGTTAGAGTCCCACCACTCGGGCCACGGTCATGATACATGTTCCTGATTTGGCATTAGTAATGAATAGTTTTGGAAAACTATAAAGTCTTGAGACTTGTTCAAAATATGAGCTTCACACTTCTGTCACAATTCAGCTAAATAAATGTGTTTAAACTAAGGGATTATGTTGCATCATATAGTTTTTCCTTGCATAACTGATAAAGTCTTCGTTACTTGTAACACGTTAAAACGTTGATGATTCAAACTGTTAAAACGTTTAGTTGTTGCCCCATTGAAATTGTAACATAATGCTGACGATGGTGGACGAAGATCAGAAAATATGTAGGGAAAAATATTTGTAAATATTGGTTAATTATACAGTGATGATTTGTATTTAGGTTGTGATATGTTTTAAACTTCGTTGACAACATTAACCTGAAAGATTGCACAGTCGCGATTACCAAAAATATATGCATATTGCTTTGTTCAAGCAATAGATATTGTTAATACTCCGAAACAAAAAGTAACGTTTGCTTATATGCAAATCATTTAAGGGAACGAAAACGAAAATTGATTTTTTTTCAATGAATAATTCTTTATCATCAGGGTCATAATTGATGGAGAAGGTTCTAAAACCGTTTTCAATGGTGACAAGCATATGCTTGATCTCAAATACACACGGGCCAACAATTTTATAGCTGGTATGTATTTATAATTCAATCTCTTTACTACATTTATGTAAGATAGAGAATATTGCATCTTGCAGTAAAGTCCGTAAGCTATGGAAATGCGTTTTGCATTTCTATTGTAGAAAAAAAATATTCACATTAGTTTACATCATGCAAGTCATTTCAAAGACATATTTCTGGTTCATATGGCCCTTAATTCTGATATTTATGGACATAATTTGAAGTTACGAGCAAAAATCTGAAACAAACCGAAAATAACTTTTAAGTAGGCTATGTTAAAATTATGCTATTTTAGAAAGTATCAAATGGTGTTAGTGAGATTATGCAAAAAATTGATACATTCTCTGTTCTAATATTTTCAAAGGAAACTGGGATGGAATAATGGATAACGAAACAGACATCAGAGCATATGCTTTTGCAGTTGGAAGACAAATTTGTGAAGATATTATTCATCCGCACCATGATCCACACAAGCACCTTATGCATGAATCACAGTGGACGCATATGTCAGTAATCACTGCCTCTGACGATTATAATCCATTCCCGCTGCCATGTAAGTCACGTGATCATAGTATATAGGAAATTACTTCAATATTCTAGCACTATGCAGTTTATTCGATGTCAAATGCAATTAATACGTTCCACCGATCATGGATATGATATGTGAAGCACACACTTATTATATTGCAAATTGATTTTTTGAGTATATTTATCATAAGTCTTTGAAGGGTTATATGACCATACATAATCAATTGTTTGCATATATAGCTCCGCTCCGAACCGCTTATTGATAATATTATTTTTGCAAATAACCGTTTATATATGGACATTTACTGTGGAATTAATCGTGATAACGAGTTTATAATACAGCAAACATCCTTTGAAAAAGACAAATAATATAATGCATTGACAGCAGCAGTGTTTATAGTTAATATAAAGTTCACGATTATTCCATATAATCTGTATAAGGCGATTTTTAAACGTGCAGTATTATACTTGCCAATTTACATATTGTTGGCGTGAGACGTGTTAAAGATAATATAACTAATGGGAATTCATCTTAACCAGAAAGTTTGACTGTACACGAACTACTAATATTAATTCTTAGAGTGCGAACGGCTTATTGTGTCTTTGCGCTGAAACTATATACAACACGAAAATTATTAACAAAAATTATATGTTTCAGCTGGGAAGTACTACCTGACTGTCAGGGCAATAAACAAAATTGAATACGGAGGACCTCTTGCATTAACTGTGTGCCACAGTACACCTTATATCATTGATATTACATACCCGTTTGTGTATGAAGTTTTTGATATAAAGTATGACGACGAAAACTATATATTGACCTTTGAACATAATTCAACGTAAGTTACTTTTATAATGTGATCCTAAGATTATTCTTTTATAAACTCAAGATGATTTAAGACATACCTTAGGTAAATTAAATCTTAAGCTATTTGACTTTTAGGTTCACAATATATGTACTGAAGTATGAATATCATTAAATGTTTAACTTGCGAGAACTCATTCGGAAATCAAGTACTTTTGATACTCGATATTCATATATTCGGTAATTATGAACCGTTCTTTTGAAGTTTTTCTATTCAAACATATAAGTTTATATATTATTTTATTGGATTTCTGTCAACTTTTGTTTTAAGTGACATGGAATCCGGTATTGGCTCTGTGGATTACTGTATCGGTAACAATCCGAGAAATTGCGAATTATTGTCGTGGACACGGAAACCCACGTCACAATATATCAAGGATACGCATCATATTCCAAATGGCATTCCTGCATGGATACGCATTCGTGTAACTAATAATGGTTAGTAATATGTTTTTATTTAATCTTAAAATGTTTTGAATGAAAAGAGATTTTGATATTTCATAAAACTTTCTTTTAGGTTTAAGAGGTTATCAAAACTGTCAAAATTTCTAGAATAAGTTAAATTACATATATATGTTCGGTTTATACAATAATTTACAAGCTACCATGAGATAATGTTATTCTGTCAAGTCTTAACTATTTATTTTGTTAAATAAATGTATATCATTGAATTCTCCTCTTATTTGTGTTGACATATCCTTTTGTAGTTGAGCTACACACTATTGAAAGGGCTAACCAAGCTATAATCGTAGACGCGACTCCACCAGTAGCAGGAACTGTATATGATGGTTCATTATTCAGAGAAGATTTGCAATATACAAAATATTCCAAACAGGTAAAACATAGTTATGATGCAATCATATAGTAATGGTGTGTTGTATCTTTCGTAAACAGTTGTAAGTTTTACTTAATAATGATGCTAAATAGTATTATATTTTGCATTTCCATTTCTGAAACTCTATTTAAACTGATAAGATCATGAATGTACAAACGATAGTTTTTGACAGGACATGTTGGTGTAAGACCATATGGAGATTATCAAGTTTTACTGGTTGAGGAGTACCTCAGGCGCCCCTTTTGCTTTTTTAGCTCACCTGTCATAAAGCGACAGGGTGAGCTTTTGTGATCGCTTTTCGTCCGGCGTCCGGCCGTCGTCCGTCCGTCCGTCGTCCGTAAACTTTTACTTTAAATGACATCTCCTCATAAACCACTAAGCCAATTTATCCAAACTTCATAGGAATGTGGTGGTCACCTTTGAGAATTGTTCAAAGAATTTAATTCCATGCAGAACTCTGGTTGCCATGGCAACCAAAAGAAAAAACTTTAAATATCTGTTTCTAAAAATCCAAAGAGCTAGAACTTAGATATTTGGCATGAAACATCTTCTAGTGGGTGTCTACCAAGTTTGTTCAAATAAAAGCCCTGGGGTCAAAATTGGTCCCGCCCCAGGGGGTCATTGATTTTCCCTATATGCATATAGTAAAAACTTAAAAAATCTTCTTTTAAAGAACCCAAAGAGCTAGAGCTAAGAAATTTAGCATGAAACATCTTCTAATGGGTGTCTACCAAGTTTGTTCAAATAAAAGCCCTGGGGTCAAAATTGGCCTAGCCCTAGGGGGTCATTGATTTTCCCTATATGCATAATAGTAAAAACTTAAAAAATATTCTTTTAAAGAACTCAAAGAGCTAGAGCTAAGAAATTTAGCATGGAACATGTTCTAATGAATGTCTACCAAGTTTGTTTAAATAAGAGCCCTGGGGTCAAAATTGGCCCCGCCCCGGGGGTCATTGATTTTCCTTTTATGTGTATAACAAAAACTTAAAAAATCTTCTTTGAAAAAACTCAAATAGCTAAAGTTTAGATATTAAGCACGAAGCATCTTCTAGTGAGTGTCTACAAAGTTTGTTCAAATAAAAGCCCTGGGGTCAAAATTGGCCCCGCCCCAGGGGACATTGATTTTCCTTATATGTGTAGAGCAAAAACTTAAAAATCTTCTTTGAAAAAACCCAAATAGCTAGAGTTTAGATATTAAGCATGAAACATCTTCTAGTAAGTGTCTACAAAGTGTGTTCAAATAAAAGCCCTGGGGTCAAAATTGGCCCCACCCCGGGGGTCATTGATTTTCCTTATATGGTTATAGCAAAAACTAAAAAAATCTTCTTCGAAAAATCCGAATAGCTAGAGTTCAGATATTAAGCATGAAACATTTTCTAGTAAGTGTCTTCATAGATTGTTCAAATGAAAGCCCTGGGGTCCAAACTGGCCCTGCCCCAGGTGTGTCATTGTTTTTAACTATATGTGTAAAGAAAAAACTTGACCAGCTAGACCTTAGATGTTTAGAATGAAACATCTTCTAATGGGTGTCTACCAAGTTTGTTCGAATTAAAGCCCTGGGGTTTAAACTGGCCCCGCTACGGGGGCCTATATACAGGTGAGCGATTTCAGGGCCATCATGGCCTTCTTGTTTTATTTTGGTACGATCGAGGGGGCTTTAAAGTTGAACTACCAAATGTTGATTTACACAACTCTATAGCTTCCTCACATCAAATACTCCTTAGTCCCCTGCCATATCCGAATCAACAGCAATATGATGACGTTGTCAAACTGAAAATAAAACTGGTAAGTATTGAAACAATATCGGACATCTTGGATTAATGTTTTTCGTATTTTTTTAATTATCGTTATTTGAACATCTTTGCAAGCTTACAAACATAACGACATCTAGTTTTTATTGTTTTATTCATCTTAGATATGCTTAAATTGGTTCAACTTTTACGACCCAGAGTCTGGAATTGCCTCATATGAAATTGGAGTTGGTACATCGGCAGGATTAACAGATGTAGTGGAATTGAAAAAGCTTAAGCATACTGAACATTTCTATTGTTTGACATTAGATGAGAACTCCACATTGATTCATAACAATGTTTATTATCCAATTGTGTGGGCGCATAATGGAGCTATAAATCAGAAAAATGTTTCTGGGATATCAGATGGCGGTAAGTTTTCAAAACATTCATCTTTGTTGTGTTCAAATTTCCTCCTCTATGATAAAATACTATAAACAAATCTCAACTTAATGGTTTGTTTCAACTGTATGAAACATAGAATGTACTACAAACAGACAAATATTTCAATTTGTCTAAACGTTTGACGTAAGTAAAATGCATTTATAGTATTCTGGCATATTATGTAGATACAAACAGGAACAAACAATTCACAATATTATTTAAAATTCTTATATATAATTATGCAAACGTATTACTTGATATAATTATAAAAAAAATGGTTTTAAGTTACCTTGTTATTATTTTAAGTTCGTGTTGATCTAACCAAACCAGAAAGAGGGATCGCTATTGACGGAAATCTTACCGATTTCAAGGACAGGCAATATAGTTCTTCACAATCTTTGGTTCAATGTCAATGGGACAATTTTTATGACCCGGAGTCAGGTATCCGAGAATATCACGTAAAGGTAGAGAGAAAAAGGTAATACATCGCCATTTTAATCTATAGATATAAAATATTTGCTCAAATTAATTTATATTCTCTTTTAGGATTTTGATATGAGCAAGGATTAAAGCGTTTTCTGACTCAAGCTTAGGAAGGATAACTAGTATTTATTTTGTTAATCGGTGCTGTATTTCTTTCCTTTCTGGTCCTTTGAGAGCATTTATTACAACAAATTTATTAACTACGATTTAATACGTCTTAAGGAAGTGGAAGGAGCGTAATAGATGTTCGCACGTTTACAGTTTCTTTAATGAACAGACTGAACGAATCATTGTCTGCAATTTCAATATATTTTGTTTGTATTGCTTTAAAGATTATTTTCATTTGATAATACCACGTAAGATGTAAATATACACCTTTTTCTAGACACGACAATGACTGGACTGTCATAAAGGAATGGACAGAATTTACGAGCACGGAGAAGACTGCTGAATGGCGCAACTTTCATCTTGTTCACGAGGACCAGATTAAATCATCTGTTAAAGCAACAAACGGTGCATTAAATGACATTGAAACTGACACTGATAGTTTCCTAATTGATTTGACATCACCATTGCTTGGACATTTATATGATGGACCAGTCAACCACAAAGACATAGATTTTCAGGTTTGTTATTTCTTCAAGAGATGCCTCTAAAGCCTTATTAAATTGATAGCATGTTCAGTCATTTGAATTTTTTTATGTAGCTCGGAATGCACAGACTATGCAAGAAATAAAGTGTACTGTACTAATTTTAATTCGATAAGAACGATTTCCCGGTTTTCTCAAATTTCACTGTATTATGTAACAATAATTTTATTTTAAAGTGTTTCAATAATTTAAAAGTTATTTAATTTCTGATCGATAGTCAATTGTCAGTCGCTTATGAGGTTATCTATTTAAGTGCAAAATGATCTTGACATTGTGTAAATTTATATTTCAAAAAGTCAAATCAATTAATTTAATCAGTTGTCAATATTTAAACATACAAGTAAAGATTTTCTAACAAGTCCTGTAAAATATTAATCAACTTTTGGTTTTTTAGGTCATCACTACAGAGGCCCATGTAAACTTCAACTTCTATGATCCAGAATCAGGGCTTAAGGAATTACGATATCAGTTATATGAACAAAAGCATGGGACGACACGTCAATTTTATCCGGGTATATTAAGACATCTTGTTTGTTTGTTTTTTTTTATCTTAAATAAACTTTTATTTGATAATGATTTGCTGAAACATATTTCTTTCGTAATTCATAGTGAAGTTCTATTTAGAAATATTTTCTCATGTTATTGTAGGAACTAAAGGAGAATGGATTGAAGTAGATAATGTCAATGTAACAGAACATATTGAAACTGGTTTGAAGCTTACTGTTGGTCATAAATATATCTCGCGTCTAATCGTAATCAATGGAGCTGGTCTTATATCTACATATGAAACTAACGGATTCATAGTTGAAAAAACACCACCAAATGTAAATATTATTTTCAAAAAATAAACTTTTTTTAAACACTTAAGTTATGTTATGAGGTATTTATTTTAAAATAGAGTGAAATTGAATTCCTAAAGGAAGAACGTCCAAAACAGCAATATTAAAAAATGTTGCCAGCTCGGTTTGGTAATGTTGCAATAATATAATATGAATAATGCCAAGTTTATTGGGACATGGAATGGTTGAATCAATTGATATTTTTAGGCTTTGATCATTATCTCTATCGTATCTGTTCCCTGTGTCTGGATTTGACGTCAGTATAATATTACAGTCTTAATAATTTTATGTCCACAATATTAAGTTACGTTACTGTTCAAAGCAGTACATTTTATGTGTGATCTTACTTTGTAATTTTATTGTACATATCTAGATATTCTGGTTACATGTCGGTGTATTGAGCGGTTTAGAACATTTGATAGATGGATATGTCTATCAATCAGATCATAATGGAATCAAGGTCTCCTGGTCAGCGAGTGACGCTGAAAGCGGAATAACAGCCATTAAGTACAGTATTGGAACAGTCAAAGGTAAAATTATTTAAAGAATTTTAACAGATGGGACTTTTGGTCCAATTTCCCTTCAACCTTGTCTTTTTCTGGTTCTTTTGATTGGTTTTCATCATTTTTTTTCTTTTTTGTTGCATTGTGGTTTCTGTGGTTTCCTGTTTTATAATGACATTCCGGCCGTTTTTATTTCCCGTGTGCCTGGTCCTGTTTGTCTTGTACACTTTGGTGTCCTGCTGGGTTCTTTGCTAGTGGTCTTGTGTTGGGGATGCGTTTATTGAATGCCGCCCTTCCTTGTTGATTTTTTCTTATTTTTTTACATTTTACTTAAACAACAAAAGGAAAACATTAACAACAGACATTAGCTTATATATTAGGTGAAACATTCTCACAAGTTTTAACAGAAACAAATCCTTATTTTGTGTGTTGTAATAATACAAAAACTTCAAATTTTGATGTTATTTTCAATCATTGAGCAATTAACAGTTTAGCAATCATACAAGGTGATTAATTAAACCGATAAATAGATAATGGAAATGAAGTGCTTTTCCTGGTATGGACGTTGTTCTTAATCATTATTTTACATCTAGTTTTATATTTACATTAAACCCCAATCATATGCAAAAGAAAATATTTATTGATACATGAATGAGTGTTATTCGTATTATTATCATTATTATTTCATTTTAAAACGAATCCTACAAGCACTGTTGTACATGTATTGAAATCTAACCAGGTTTAAGATATCAATATATAAATTATTAAAAGGTTTATATATGTAAGTGTAATGTGTATAATCAATAACATATTAAGAGTCATTTCAATTTTTCATTTGTCAAATAAAAGGTGCGGGTGATGTTATTCCTTGGATTGAAAAAGAGACGACGTCGGATAATGCATACATCTCATGCTCATTAAATGACACAGATACGGACATTTCAAATGGACCTATATACCATGTATCATTAAAGGCGAGAAACGGGGCAGGACTCTGGAGTACAATAATACATTCGTCGCCGATAATAGTTGTCCCTGAAGACGTAACAGGTGCTCCGCTTCATGTTTCAAATTAAAAAGAAAATAGAGAATAAATCTTCAGAACTTTAAACTTATCCATTGCTTAAAAAGAAATCCCATAAAACTTAACACGTGTAGTTTTCTAGATATAACACTTCAATGTTATTATCAATTACCAATAAGACATTATTATTTAATAAAAGATATAAAGATTTTACGGTTAACGAACACTATGATCCATATAACGACATACTGTTCTAAATAAATGCTGCATTTTCTTTTAAATGTTGCTTATTTTAAAATCGAAGATAAGGTGCACAAAGTGTGGAGCTACCAATTAGTTTTTTGATTGAACGCATTTGAATATATACAATGTAAAACGTTCAAGCTTATGTATCATTCCTGTTTACATTTTATAACAGGCATAGTACATGACGGTCCATATGAACACTTTGAAAACGATATAGATTATCAAGCTGACACGCATACTCTTACAATTCAATTTTCTGGATTCGAGAGCAGTTTACATGGCATTCTTGAATATGACTGGGCTATTGGTACAACACCCGGTAGTGAGGATGTGCAGCCATATCTAGAGCAGGGAATTATTCACAACGAAGAAGAAAACGTTGCTGGCAATGGTACTGGTATTTGTTTATTGCGTACATGTCAAAATACAAAATATTGAAGATATTCACAAAATATGAACATATTAGTTTAATATACTCCTTCTTTTAGATACACTTAATACCAGGAAGGCAACTAATTTAAAATCAATATCGCTCCATTTTAGTTGCATGTTTTTCGTTTGTCTAAAGAGAATAAATGTCATTTATTATATAAATTCTCTTTGTTTTGTTTCATGTCTTTAAAAAGGATTAACAAGTTCAGGATTTGCTCATACATCTGTTAATCTGGATCAAGGGGTTGCTTACTTTTCAACAATAAGAGCTAAGACAAACAAAGGCAATATACTTCAAGCTACAACAGACGGCTTCGTAGTTGATACAACTCCACCGGAAATCATGTTTAATACGTAAGACATTTTTACATAAACACACCTGAGTTGATTTTTAAACAATCATGACCAGACATTCTTTGAACTAGTATTTGTACCTTTTCCCTTTACCATTTGTATAATCTTAGGTGGCATTATTTTTGTCTCACACGATTTTAAATTGTATTGGGTACATGTACTTTTTCCTACCTTTGCAGTGTATATGTCCAATCAATAATACCTGGTTAGATTCACATAAAATTCGACGATTCGATGCAGAGTATTATACGGATTTAACCACTTATGAAGAAAGATAATAATTTTATACGAGATGGTATAATAAATTGATGCTCATTTTTGTATTGAAAACGATATATAAAGTATAAAGTGTCATATAAAGAGGACTATGTACTTTTGAATAATTAAACACACGCCTATTATTAAAATATTTGCATTGATTATTCTAACAGGTTAGCAGGTTCGCCATTGATCGACACAGAAACCGTTGTATATCAGAGAGACCAGTCAATTTTTGATGCGTCTTGGAATTTTACAGACTCAGATTATCTAAAACAGAATGATTATGACAATATTGATCTTTCTTGGTTTTCCGTTGGATCTGTACCATATTTTGAAGACATTATTAACAAAACGTATCAAAATACTTCTCAAGCAAATGAAGGCAGTTTATTAGCTGGCCAAGTTAGGCCCGCACTTGCTGGTATGTTTTTGTGCTATGTATTATTTCGTGCTACTTTGTAACCAAAGAATATTCAATATAAGGCATGTAAGGGTTGTTGGATTCATTGCAAACATAAATATATAAAGTGCTTTTAATGAAATTGCCTGAAATTAATGTGTCGTGTAGGAATGTCTATTTGTACACGACGTATAAACGGTCCACATTTGTGTCTTGTTACTGTATCGTATAAATATATAATTGATTATGTTAATTTAAGGTATCTCAAATTTCGTCACTGTTGGAGTACAAAACAAAGCAGGATTAGAAAATAATGTTGTTTCAAGGTCAGTTATACAAGACAACACGGTACCAGATGCAGGAACAGTCGAATGTCAGAAATTTGTTCAAGTAGGTAGATTTATCTATGATTTAATGTAATTTTAAAAAAAGAATATTTTGGGTTGTATTGCTTTTTTGTTTGTTTGTTGGTCTTTTAATTTTTATTTTGACACGATGCGCCAATTATATTTTAGTTTTATCAAATTTAAAATCTAATTCAAAGTTAAAGTGAGACAATGGCAGTATTTGATGTTCTACGTAATTGTTGTTAACCATTATGTTTTCCATTTATTCATTTAGGAACTTTAACAAAGTATATCACAATGAATTTGTTTTTACTATTTTAGAGTCACTCAGAAATCAAATGTACTTGGAAAGGTTTCGTAGATAAAGAAAGTAAGATAGCGAAATACTATATTATCTTTGGTTCGAGACAAGGATATGATGACTTAAGATCATCTGAGGAAATATCTGGTGATACAACAGAGTTTTATGCAAAAGGTGAGAAATATCTCTTATATGCCTTAAATATTGTTATATTGTTATATTGTTTCTTGATATACATTACAATTTTAGCTCGACTATTTATTTGACTCACCCCAGCGTGTGCGTCACACTGGTAAAGTTTTTGCATACAATTGGTATGTCTATAACTACTGAAGAGAATGGTTTAAAACTTCAAACACTTATTTGAGTGTATAAAATGAGGTCATTGTTCAAGGATCATAAATCTTACATGGACTTGAACAAAAAAATATTTCTTTTTTATACCTAGAAAATTCTGCATTATCCAGGCTCTTCTTTTACTTTTATATACTGAGATAGTCGGGGACGATACCCTTCTGACAGCTCTTGTTTATTTGTTTTTTTTAGATGTGGAAAAGGAGCACACTGATATTTTGTATGCGACCGTTACTGCTGAAAATCATGTTGGACTATCAGTGAGTGCATATTCAGAATCCATTACAGTTGATAACACACCGCCTTTGCCTGGAATTGTTGTTGAATTATCTAGTGTTGCAAAAATTGATCCAAACGATGTCGCAAAAACTGTAGAATTGAACAGAAAGGCATGTTCGACGGAAGAAGGTGAATATAAAAACTTGATGTTACTTGTTGGTGTTTTTGCTGTTGTTGTTGTTTTTTCATTATTATTATTATTATTATTATTATTTATTTATTTATTTATTTATTGAAGGAGGGCAGGTTAGGGAGCGGAGGTTTTAAATGTGTATAAACTTTATATTGACAACTATGTATTTAATAGATATGTCATTGTGTTTTTTAAGTCAAGACTTTTTTAAATTGAATACAATTATTATTACTAAGAAACCAAATGCACGTATTATCAACTTAAAGGTTGTACGAACAATTTTTTAAATATATTTTTTTCTTTCTTTTTTACACTCTGCCTATTGTTTTTTTTAATTATAGTGTACTTTGTCTTTACCTTGATATTGACTTAAAAAGGTCTTTAATTACTTATGTCTTGTCTCACTATAAATTTATTTCTAAATTAATCTAGAATGTTTAAATATTGATGCGGTTTGCACAGAAGCGCTTACATATCTTGGCGTGGCATGGACAAATTTCATTGATGACGAATCAGAAATAACTGAGTATGATTTCACTTTCATTTAGGAATTAAAAGAACATTATAATTGCTATGATTTAACACCTATTTATTGTAAATAAGGCATTGTTGTTCATCCTGAATGCGTTCCTAAGTTTGTTGTGGGTTCGGAATGAAAAGATTAGTGCCGTTTATTTATCCCAATTAATTGTTAGAGCACTTATAGATAACTACACTACAAATCATGTTTATATTCATCTATTATATAATGATTATAACATATCTTATTAATCCAAAAACTTATAATTTCTTATCAGTTCAGCCAGTTATATTCTAACACAATGGTAATTTAAATGACGCAATACATCTAATTATGATATTCCTATTTCTAAAGATACCATTTGGCGATCGGTACATCACCAGGAGCAGCGGATATATCTCCATTTATTTCAGTATCAACTGACTTGAATCATTACATCGTCAAAAACTTAGATCTGAAAGGCCAACGACAGGTAAATTGGAATAAATTGATGTGCAATGAAAAGAATCATTTTAAATCATGACAAAAAACAAATATATTAATTGCAATATCTTAGTTAACTTGGCCTCTTCTGTGTTTTTTTTAAATAATATGTTATTGTTGTTATTTCAGCATTATTACATAGAAAAAAACAAGATTAACGTGTGCTTTACAAGTACAAACTGTTGCTGGATGCTCATTATATTCTTCATGAAAATGTTTCTTCTAAATACAAATATTACTATGTAACTCTTTTTATTATTATCAGGTTTTTGCGACAATCAAAGCTACAAATTTTCCTGGACTCACGACTAGCTCTCATTCGAATGGCATATATATGTCTTATTTGAGTCAGGGCTTAGAACCATTAACACATGTCGGAATTTATGATTCCAATCAGCTTTCTATTGGTGACGTGTAAGTTTTTCACAATTTATGTTATTTCGTTTTGTTTTGTTTTCAACTCAAAATACATTTACCTATAAAAGTCACAGATAGCGGGATTTTAATTCATTCTAATATCTGTGCAGACCGGTGTAGAGACTAACTTTTATTGCATATCATTCGTTAACACCACCCATTCTACTATATTACTGTTCATGCTGATAATGGGGACATAAGTAAGGCATGCATTGCATTACAATTGACCAACATGCTTTAGAATGTCTACTTCGAGTTAAACTTTATTTACCTTGAAATTTGAAAACCACTTTGGGAACATTCTGTCGATGCAAATAAAGTAATAACAAAACTAACATTTGCAACATTTGTTTATTGTCAGCACTTGACATATTTAATATAACAAATGTCTTATGTGTTATTTTCAGAGATTTCCAGTCCGACACTAAATCGATTGAGGCGGCATGGGACGTTTCAGGAGACCCTTGTCCTGTTGAGAAATACGAATGGTCTATTGAAGAAACAGATGGAACTGTTCTCCAAGAGTTTATTGATATGTATAGTAAGTGTAATTAATGCATTCTATTGTTTTCGTCCATTCTTTTCGGGTGCAGAAACGTTTTTACTATATTATATGAATAATAATGATAATTGATTCAAAAGTAGCAATATAAGAAGTATATATATCATGTATATATATATTCCAGCTAGTGAACATGGAAGGTCAGAACAGCTTGAGCTAAAGGAAGGTAGAAGATACTACAGCCTTCTCAAGGTCAGGAACGTACTTGGATATGTTTATACTTTACGGTCTGATGGAGTCACAATCAATTCAAATCCGATGCTACCCGGGTTTGTTTATGATGGTGACATTACAGGGTACGATCTAAAGGTTTTGTCGTCACGAACAAATGTTAGCGTAAATTGGGAAGGGTTTGGCGAATTGCATCAGCCTGGAAGCATTAGTGAAATACTAACTGGTAAGTATTTTGAAGATAATAAAATCATGAAAACTAGATATTGAGTATTGTTTGCAGTTTGACTGAGCATAAAGTATTTGATATTTATATTCAAATCATAAAATATGTATTAGAATGCCTTATGTTTAACTATGCATTTCAATAATGAATATTGCTGAAAACATTTAAAATGTGGTATTTCTTCATTGAATTAAATTAATTTTTTTAATTTATCTGTCAAATATTACTGTTTAAACTTATTGATGTAGCGAATTAATTTTTGCTGTTAAAGGTAACAAGGGAGTCGATGAAGAAACCGTAGCTGACCCGAATCAGGAAGTAGAATATTACGAAGTTGCTCTTGGAACAGACAGGCGATTCGAGAAAACTAGAGACAATGTAGTCCCATTTTTGAACGTTGGTTTGAATACTTCGGTTACGTTCACAGACTTAGATCTTGAGCCAGGTTTTGGTGTTTATTATTTTACTGTTCGGGCTTACAGTGCATCTTCTGCATCCGCGACAATTACTTCAAATGGATTCTTTGTTAGTTTTGACGGTGGTGTAAACGGTAAGAAAAATAACAAAATAATAAACATTTCAGAAAATATCCGATGCATATATTTTAGCTTTACATTTTTATAATTTTCCTATGAATTGGTGAATTTATTAGAAAATACGATGCATTTCTTAATCATGAAAATTATACATTGATATGAACACTTGTGATGTTCTAAATTCAATATAATGTTTTATTGCTTGCTTTTCTGAAACCAAGCATCCATGTATTTCAATCTCTATGTAAAAGCACAAAAATCCATATTATATTAGACTAAATATGTTATTTTAAAAGCTGGAACAATCATCATGCCTGACTTTGTCAACTCGAAAAATGAAATCGATCCACAATGGAATGATTTTGAATCGGATGTTGGTATGTTGCTGTTTTACTTTGCCATATCAGGTGATAAAATAGCAGCTTCCGGAGATTGCAGAAGATATGTGAGTAGTCGCTGATAATTTTAGTCATTAATATCTTAAAGATCATGTATGTTGTAATTAATGTTGATACCACACTTGAGTGAAATTTTATATATGTATATAATTATGCTTCTGAAACAATTTTCAAACATCGAAGAATATGTAAAATATGTACTGCAAATATTTGTCCACATTATATGTAATCATTGAAATATATACATTCATTTCTTATTGAAGAAATTGACTTAGACTTTATAGAAAATAAATTTCTAATTATATCCCTTTATTTACATGAAATGTTAAAGTCGGTAATATCTTTATAAATAATGCTTGTTGAACATACAATATTGATAAATCTTAATTTGGACATCATATGTATGATATAAAACCATAAAAATGGTGTTACAGGAACTTTACTATTATTTTTACTCTACTTATGTTTCGTGTTCAATTGTTTGTCAAATAGAATGTAGATTCTCATTTCTTTGTTAACTAGTATATCTTCGGACGAAACAGATTTGCTGTGTTTTGTTCTTCAAAATTAAGACTTTAATTGATTATAAAGTGTTGTTATACTGAACAATCTAGTTTTATCATATATTAATATATTGAGTGTCATCTAATTTGAATGATAACTCATTTGTTTCAGGTGGATGGTGGAAAAGCAACTCCTGACGAAGTAAACGAGAAATTCAATGTTTACCAAGTTACTGCAGTTGGTGTCAGTACATTTGTTAAGATAGATGAGCTTGATCTTGTCCAGAATGCAACATACATTTTGTGGATAATGGGTGTGTAAATCTTTTCATGCATTAAGAATACAAGATACACTTAGAATTGTTATATCATTGTTTTCTAGCTTTTCGTGTTTTGTTTAATGAAATCATGTTTTAGAATTGAAAAATCAGTTGTTTGCTCTCTTTCTTCAACAGTTTTATCATTCAAATCGAATTGTGCATAATGTTGTGTTTTTTCTCAAAACCGATTTTATAGGTGTTGACAAGGCTGGTGAATGTAACATGACTTACCATAGATTCACAGTTGATGTAACACAACCCCTGTCTGGAATGATTACAGCTGGGCCGTACTTTAATATGGTATTTATTCAAAAGTACTGTTTATGATAACGTCATACTCTAACTCAAATGTGCATTGAAAACTAGTTGAGTCCGTGTGCTTCAGTCATACATATTCAGCTTTTGGTATTATTGTTTTTGGAATTATTGATATATATATATATCAATCCATCTTCGTCTAGATATTTTATTTGATATAATTATTTATTCAATTATAAGTTACACAATATAATAATTTACAAATACTGAAATGATATCGAGCAAATGTTTTTTAAAGGAATTTCTTGTATTGCAATAATACATTACTGCATTTTATTACGTTTATCACAAAGTAAAAAAATTTGAAATATTGAGTCTTAAAGTTGATCCTGATTTCCAAAAAAGGGAATGTGTATGGAACTGTTACATCGCATATTTTGCAGAGGTTGCCTGAGTTCATAACTTATGTATAAAATATTTTAGACTTTGGCATATACCACACAAATGACTGACATTCCTGTACAATGGGAAGGATTTGAAGACTATGAATCCGGAATAGATATATTTAATCTCACACTTTGGGAGAGTGGAGCATGTTCAGAAAGCGGGAATGAAAGATTGATATCAACAATTGAGATATTAGGAAATTATACGGATTACAGTTTTACTAATCTCAGCATTGTGGTAATTATCTCTTTGGAGACGTTAGTAATTAAATGATAACTATTTTCATGTTAATATAACAGTGATCGGCAAAATCATTGAAATTAAGAAATCAAAAACACAGCTGTAAAAGTGTCGTGTTTTCCTTAAGATATTACCGAGTCTTTTATGAGATAACACTAGCGTACTGCACCACCGGAAATATGATAGAAAGGAAAAAAAATCGCAAATAACTTTCATAACATATATTTTGTATAACATAAATTGTCCTTTTTCTGTTCCATGTTTTGTTTTCAAATTGGATTTTTTCTAATTCGACTATTAAAGTAATCATAACTGTTGATCATATTCAAAGACTGTACGTACAGTGACATTATTCAAATATATTTATAAACATACATAACAGTAAAATGTATTGGTGTTATTGCAGCCGTCGATTGTGTATCTTGTAAGAATTGAAGCCATTAACCGAGCAAAATTGAAAACAATAGCAGAAACATCTCGTATTGTTTTTGATGATTCAATACCAACAGCAGGATTTGTTGGTGAAGGCTCAGTCTTCACAGACGACATTGTGTGGTGGGGTTTCTTGGATCATATTGACGGTAAGTTAAAAGAATTATATTCATGCGGGATATTATGTTGTAGTTGCTTTCTAAGGCTTTGTATTTTGCTACGCGCAGCATTGTGGTATCGATATTTCGCGGTGCCTTAAATATGTCCATCAATTTTTCCCGAGCGGCGGATGAATAAATAAGCTTTGTAAAAAGCCTCCCCTTGTATTAGTATCTGTTTCTGTTTTCAAATGATAAGTAACGGACATCTGTGAACCAATAAATATATATTGTGCGATACTTACACATATATAAGGTACCATGTTTGTCACTTACATATTCGATTGTTTTCTCCGTTGAATTGTATAATAATCAATTAGTTGCGTGTATCTTAGGGGTAAATAGTATAGGTATTAATGAATTATGTAATGTTGTAACTTCACATTTGTTTACTTTTAAGTGTAAAAGAAGAACTGCAAAATTCAAGAAGTTTTTCTTTTTCATAGGTACATTTTTACACAGTCCAGTTATCCTTAAAGACGTGTGCCCTTTGAGACACATTTCAATGACAGATATTGAATGGATACCCATGGAAATTAAACGATTAAATGGCCCAGATGCACTAACCTGGAACATAGAACACCGCTTAGAAAATATTCATCTTGATTCGTATGAAAATGAAATTAGCATCAAGATATACAGAGATTCGAAGGAAGATCGGATTTATTCAGCAGCCTGCATGCGGGAATCTGATATGAAAAATGGTGGAAACTATCAGGCAAGTTCATGTGCTAAAGCAAATGTCTTTGGTCCTTGCTTGTAGTACTTGGGCGACGCGCCCATGGAATGCCACCCTTCTTTGTTGGTCTACTTTTCATATTTCATCATATTTAGTAAAGTTATCACCTTGTTTACTAAACATTCAATTGACAAAACATCTTTCTAACAATATCATGATTGATTTGACCAGTTTCTATTTGAACATACACGTAAAATGGATCATAATATTCTTTAATAAATGGTAACACAAAATCATATTTACATTTTTGCAATATCTTCCATTATGATAGTAACATTATAGTCTCATACAGTCATGTGCAAAATTATATGAACGGAACTGATTACATATTCCAGATATATATTCGAGCCGCAGATGGAAGTGGATTAGCGGTAACTGGTGTCACCTTTTGGGACGGAGAGAAAGGAGATCTTCATATATTTAATCACAAACCTAAATCTTGGACTGATATTGGCTTGTGTAGTTGTTGTCTTGAAACTAACGAAGTAAGTTACAGCATATCATTTTATTGATCTATAACCGCGTTTAAATGAGAGCATAAACTGTGGTGAATATTTTGCATAAAGCCTGGGCAAGCATGAATACATTATTTGTGAAGATAAAAATGCATAAGCATAAAATAACGCGGGCTTGCGATACACGGGGCTCTATGTAAAAATTGCTTATTACAGTCATGACCCCGTTTGTATTGTCAACATGGCGCTATAAAATGAAAAGTATGTCAAAACCGAAATTTATACGAAAAACATAATATAACGCAGGTAAACGAATCAGACGTAATAAAATGCACATAAAATGGAGAAATATTGCTTTGACTGCTACAAACGATGTTGTGTATTGTCACAAGAGCTTAAATAGCATTTTAACAACTTTAACAATTTAAACTATTTTTAACAATTTTAACAATTCTCAGCACTTTTGCGTACTGCTCATTGAGTACCCCTCTAGACAGTATTGAGTCTGCAATTTTCATGTAATTTTGCTGTTTTTTATGCTTCCGCGGGATCATTTTTTACAAGATATTCATAAAGAATTAAACGGCTCGGATTATAATCAGCATTATCTAGCAAAAACAACTTTGCAGTAGCTGTAAGGTGGCAACACAAGTAATATTTATCTATTTCGCTCGAATGAAACGATTTTTTTACAGAAATGCATTACATTCAGTTTTGGTATCGTTTCTGAATTAACCATTTCTTGGAAGGAATTTGACACATATCTTTTACATTACATAATATGTATATGATGCTATATAATTCGTACGTTTTAACTCTTTGTTTCTTTGCATATTAAATCAAATGGCTTATCGTAATGTATGACAAGCAGTTTACAATGTTCATAATAAGTATTATTAATTTTATGCTTTGTATTTTTCCTCTACAGACGGACTGTCCCTGCAACTGCGCCGAGTACCTAGAATATTTGAATAAGAATAATGGTACGATAAATGAAAACGAAACAGTATTTAACTCAACGCAAAATAGTTTTGACGGGTTCGAAACTGTTTCTCAACATTCGTGTGGGCTACAGATATATGCAGGTTATTTGACATAAATTATATAGTTGTTTATTTAAAGATGAGAGAAAACATGTTTTCTCTGAATATTGATACAGCTTATAGCATATATGACGTTCGTTTTTGTTTAAATAAAATATCTTCAATCAAAATAAGACTATACTTAACAAACCTTTTTTAAGAATATGCCACATGACAATTTTACAGAACACTGACATTTTCATAGAGTTTTTAAAGTGACCGTTTTGTATAAATTATTGTGATCTACATCGTCATTTGAAATTTTGTTTCTATTTTTACATCTTAATGCGTCTAAGATCAATAAAATAGTATGCATATGTGTAAAGGAATTGAACAGCTTATAAATGCAAAATATATGTCTATTAATTGTGGTTTCTAATCATTTAGATCATTTTATCATTACTGCAACAGTAATAACTGATTTGAGTCTTTATTTATTTATCAATTCAGGTACCGATCCATATACGGTGACATGGTGTAGGTTTTTCAATAACACAGGCGAAAGCATGTCTGTTACAACTGAATTGACCTTTGATCCGTCTGCCGATTTCCATCAATACAAAATAGATTTCCTGGAAATGAAAGATGACCTTTTGGTAAAATATGTTTTGTTTTGATACTTTATTTTTAATTTCAAAGTTTCGTCTTCATATATATTCTCCGCTGTGTTTCAGCATTACTTAAAATCATATTTACATAGTCTATTCTATAATATTAGATCAATATTATAACAATACAAACTCTTATCAAATAGATTGGAAAATAAATGACAAATAAAATACGCATTTAAATTTTTTTTAAAATCAGTAACGACATGTAAATTTGTAAAATAAATCATACTTCTATCAACATGAGCCTTTGCACGAAATATTACTGATTCTTTAAGATTACCATGATAATTATGGCTTTAAAGAAAGACGATAAGAAGGGCCGAGTGGTTAAGGTCTTTGACTTCAAATCACTTGCCCTCACCGCTGTGGGTTCTAATCCCGATTGGCACTTTGGATTCTTTCATGTGAGAAAGCTATCCAGCTAGCTTACTGAAATAATGCACGAAATGGCACCTAAGGTTTCCTCCAACAGTAAAGCTGGAACGTCGCCATACGACATTTACTGTGTCGGTATGACGTAAAACCCAATCAAAACAACAAAACAAAGATGATAAGAATTGATTTCAAAGACCTTTTGCTTCTTGTCTGCTCGTTTGAGTTTGGCTCTTGTTGATTATGACTTGTTTACGAATAATATTCGTCTGCCTCTACCAATGCTTTGTTTTTACATATTTCAATGAATAGACTTTTTTGGAGAAAATATTCTTTGCAATGGAATAAAGGATATGATATGGTTTTCTTCTTCAGGTAACAGCATGTATGAACGTGTTTGTGGATGGACAGCAAATATCAGAATTATGTGGTATTCCACATTTAAGCATTAATACAAAACTTGTTCTTCACGTTTGGAATAAAGATAATATACTTCCTATATTAGATGTATTCAACCTTTGGCAATCAAGAGCAGCTTTTAGAGATCTCATTATGCCACCGGAAGTGAGCGCTTTATGTCGCTATGGTAAACCTTTCCAAGGTGGAACAAATGCAATTGTTGAATACGAAGCAGGAATAGGAACTTTACCGGGTTCTGCTGACATGGTTCCCTTTCAAAAGGTAAATTCATTTTAATTACCACTATAAGTAATTGAAAAGAACAATGTGCACATATTTTCATAAGAGCTTAGTTTTGGTGTGTCGTAAAGAGCACTGAGTACCTTCATATTTAACGAATTTCTGCTAATTTTTGGTTTAACTCGACTGAATACTGCAATTTAAAATAAACAGTAAAACGAAAGTATTTTAGAGGTAATAGTTGTTCCACATGTTGTTATCCGTCAAACTCAAAATAAACTAACAATCTGCCAGGCATTTAAAGGAAATATCAATTGAATGTAAAAACAACAAATTTTGGTATCAGAAATAAATATATATCCTAAATGTTGAAAGGAATGGATTTCGTATCAAAATGACAGTATAATATTCAAACATATATATTTTAAATATAAATATATATAAATGTATCGTATTTGTACGTGATGCAAATAAAACACATAGAAAACTATACGTGTATGAAGTTCACTCAACTTTGATTCAGCTATAACATATTCCATAAAATATGAAGTAATTCACTTTTGTATCATTAAGTTGTTCTGCTAAATTGCTGTATTTTTGTTTAAAATCATACCCATATCGCTTATACACATGTTTAATTTCAAACGATTCGGTGTTTGCACGAATAGTTTGTTTATATACTTATTAAACTTATTCAGCTTTTAATTGTCAGGTTTACAAGCCATGCATACCATGCACAGACGATTGCTCTAGGTTTGTTTGTGACAGCACATGCAAATTTGATGGCTATACATTGACCCATTTTACTATCAAAGACACCGCCATAAACGCTTCATACGATGGGCAGTTATATATTTCACGTAACTTTATCTTTTATTACTTTTGAGACTTTTATCTTTGTATATATTGAGCTCAGATGTTAATTGTTAATAGTTTGTTATTATGTTAAATATAGTCCGGATAATAGTTAGTAATATACAAGGTTAAAGGGTTAAAGATAACCGCCGGTAATATGTACATTTTTTTTTCTCTTTAACTCTTTTTGTTGCAGTGCGAACATAAAATTCATGCTACAGTTTATTCTAAAAACATATAAAATTATAGTTAAAATAAGACTTTCCATTTCTAAGCATTAACGGCGGTGCTTTGTATTTTATGATCTCAGTGAAGGCTGTTCTGGGGTCTGGTAATGAAATTGTTTCCTCATCAAATGGATTTAATATTGACCTTACGCCACCTGAATTCGACGAGGAAGTTATGATTTATATAGATGTTCGGCAAGGAGAGTTTACGCCATCTGACTTTCAAGGATCAAATAATACAATAAAAGCAATCTGGTTGTGCAATGACGACAAAAATGAAATAAAGGTATTGTGGCAAAAACAAGTCATTTTGTTTAGTATGGTCAGTTTAAATGTAAGGTTTAACTGCAGAAAAATTAGCCTAAAATTTTACTTTCAGCATTTTTGCACGATGTGAAAATGCACTGTTCATGCCTTTATGTAAATTTATGAGATCTTTGAGGCTAGATTATTATTTTATGAGGATTATCAATACATGTATATATTTCTTTAATGATAATGTGTACCTTTATTGCTAGGAATATGAGTGGGCTATAGGGTCGGAAATCGGTTTTCAGGACATTCAGTCGTTTACATCAACGGGAATATATTCAACCGGAATCAACGATACGCTTGAAGGTCTGTTAGAACACAACACAACTTACTACGTCAGTATCAAATGTACAAATATGGCAGGATTAACAACCTCATGGAATGATAGTAAAGGTATATCCATTTAAACTCACAACATGAAACATTTCGAAATTATGACATTTGTATTGCAAACGTGAAAAAGAATATTTCAATTTCATAATAACTGTGACAAAAAATCGAACACAAGTCATTATAGAAATATGTTATATTGTTTGATTTTTAATTACACCTCTCATTTGAAAAAGTTCCTAAAACTTGTCCTTCAAAATATTTATTTTCAGGCGTTACAGTACTTCTTGTTGCTCCCGATGCTGACACTGTTGATGCCGAAGCAGTTGGTGTTGAAGAGATCGATGAAAATGTCTACCCGCCTACAGCAGTTCAATCTGAAGATCCAACAGCCTGCGGGGAATCATGGACAGTCAGTACTGATCCAAATATAAGACGATATGGTACGTGTTTACTTTAGACTCGAATGCTGTTTTTTTTATCTTTTTAACCCGGTTTTAAGAAGGAAAAAATATATTTTAGGGGTAGTGGTGGTCGAAGAACTAAATGTCACATATCATGTTGCATTTTAGGTATTAACCAAAAGCATATGGCAAAGACTGTTACACATATTAAAATGAAAACATATATGAATTATATTAGGATACAATTGTTTGGGCAATTATCTCTGATGTAAAGGGGATTCTATGTCATAGAGTGACGTTGGAAGAGGGTAATCAATTACACAAAATTATAACTTCTATTTTTTCCGTATTGGAGCAGGAACAGCACATGTAATAAAAGTTAAATTTTTAAGCTTTTTATGTCGAAATATTTAACTTAAGTACTTTGATATTGCAGACTTTTGCGTTGGAAGCTCCCTTGAAAACATAGATGATGTAGTACCGTGTGTTTGGGTTGGATACAACACATCGGGGATTGTTGAAATCAAAGAAGGTTATATTTATATTGATAACACACCATATCATAAGCTGTCTGAGCTCCGTGCTCTTAGCCAAGGCATTTACAATTTTGACACGGCTAATAAAGACGACAACACATTTCAAATGGAGAGCGGGAGAACTTTGTTTCTATTTATGCGGTTATGTAACAAAGCTGAACTGTGTACTGTGAAGTTTGTGAATTCATTGCTTATAACGAACAAGAAAGCAGTTTTGCTAAAAAGTGAAACTGGAAAGAGTAACAGATTTCAGCTAAAAGGTGAACAAAATGACAGAAAGAAAAGAAGTGTAACCACTTTCAGTCTAGAAATGCCTAACGGTAAGTTAATTTAAAATGCAAACACGTTTCTAATTTGCATTTCACTGATTATCTTTTCTTAAGTTTAAGCATACAGGTGTATTTATAATTTGATTGAATTTCTAAGTACATTATTTTATATATGTATGTTTTTTTTGTTTTGTTTTTTGTGTCGCCTCTACGGAGTAGTGGCGACATATAGGGATCACTTCTCCGTCGTCTGTCTGTCCGTCTGTCTGTCTGTCTGTCCGTACGTCCGTCACAAAACTTGTCCGGACTACTGCTCATAAACTACTGGTGCAATTTCATCCAAACTTTACAGGAATGATCAGTACCAAGTCTAGTTGTGCATGTTGTCAGCATTTTCCGGTTCAGTGATTTTTGTCAGAGTTATGGCCCTTTAATAATTTTTAATTTTAAAGTTTGTCCGGACTACTTCTCTTATACCATTAATGCAATTTCAATGAAACTTTACAGGATTGATCTGTAGCTCAAGTCCTTGTGCATATTGCACGGGTTTTCCGGTTGAATGATTTTTGGCCGAGTTATGGCCCTTTGACAAAAAGGTGTTTTTTCTGTCGTTGCCAGATACACAAAAGCTTGTCCGGACTACTCCTCATAAACTACTGGTGCAATTTCATCCAAACTTTACAGGAATGATCAGTACCAAGTCTAGTTGTGCATATTGTCAGCATTTTCCGGTTCAATTATTTTTGTCAGAGTTATGGCCCTTTAATAATTTTTATTTTTAAAGTTTGTCCGGACTACTTCTCTTATACCACTTATGCAATTTCAATGAAACTTTACAGGATTGATCTGTAGCTCAAGCATTTGCGCATATTGCACGGGTTTTCCGGTTGAATGATTTTTGGCCGAGTTATGGCCCTTTGATAAAAAGGTCTTTTTTTCTGTGTGTGCCAGATACGCAAAAGCTTGTCCGGACTACTCCTCATAAACTTCTGGTGCAATTTTATCCAAACTTTACAGGAATGATCAGTACCAAGTCTAGTTGTGCACTGTCCGTCTGTCTGTCTGTCACAAAATTTGTCCCGACATGAAATTGGCCATCATGAGGCGACACATGTGATTACTGATCGCTCTTGTTTATTTCTTCTATTTATTTTTTTTTCTTATCAAGATCGCCTGTTAAATTATTTAGAATTAAGAATATCCGAATTCCCACCCCCTCTAAGAAAACACAATGTAATAATTCACCATATTTTTTAAATAAAAAATATATTTTGCAAAGGATTGTATGTTTACTGCTGGAAAACTAATGTATTGTATTCCTTACATTAGAAAATCCTCACTTTGTACGTACAAATGTGCTTGAGTGAATAAAGATATATGTCTGTATCTGTCTGGCTTACTATAATATCTTAAAACCCAAAATTATAATGTGTTTATAAATTATGTAATTCCTGTAGTTTGACTTTCTTCAGGTTGTTTTATATTTACTTCATGTGTCCGCCCTGTATGACAAACAATATTGCATTTTATGACAGACAGTTTTATGACCGACAGTTTAGCGACAGTCAGTTTTGCTATTTGTATGACAAACAATGTATTAAAAGCAATATTTCTTTTTATATGACAATATAGCTGTTTGTATGACAAAGCATGTATGGCAAACAATATATAACTATTGTATGTCAGACATTAATGTTATTCGTTATATGTTGCTATTTGCATGACAAACAATGTATGACAAACAATATTGCTTTTGTACGACAGACTCTTATATTGTTTGAATGACAGCCAATTTAGCTAATTTTCTTTGACATTTGTTGAAACTTTTGTTACAGACTTTTAATTCAGTTCATAGTCTGAAGTAGTTAAGAATTCAAATTTAGTTTACAAAACCGTCGTATCTTTGTCATCAAGTCTTAAAAAGCTTCTTTTGTTATTCATAGGCTTAGTATATATGTATATAAATTATGACAGGTCAGTTATAGAAAGAGAACAAAATTCATGTTTCATATTTTCATTACAATTTAAGGAACGGTCGAGGGTCAAAGTATTGTTTACAATGAGCTTACGGAGGAGAACATGACAGCACGCTATGACTCTGTAGCATCAGCTTTGTTCAAACCTTATATTGTGAATCCTGAAACAACGTTTAACATGACAGAAAGATTGCTGTTCCGGCGGTAACTTATATTTTGTATAAAAAATAGTATCTTATCAATATTACAATCTAAAATTAGTAATCGGTTTATACCAAGTGGATGTAGACAAGCACTATCCATTTCAATTGGAATCAATTATAGTTTCTGTTTTGGGGTAGTGGATTTTAATTATTTAAATGAATTAGATTGACCATGTGTGGTGTCGAATGTCTTCCGAATCTTTCTTCTTTAAGCAAGTGTCCCGCTATTACTGAAAAATAAATGTTATCAAATATTAAACTCAGCTTAACGTTTCTTTAAAAGATTATCGAAGTAATCATTAGAAAACTAAGATTATTAAATTGATACTTTATTTTTAGAATACACTCGTTGGATTTTGCTTTCACGTTGAGTCCTGTAGGACAGGCACCTTTTCCTGGACCCTTAAAATTAAACTATCCAATCACGAATAGTTCTGGCAGTGAAAATGACACAATGACCATGGTGATACATTGGAATCCAGGTAATAAAAACAATATGTTTGCATTAGAATGTCCAAAAATCATAATCGCTTTTGCTAAAGATATTTCTAATTTGCACTTTATACCGTTATATCAATAAATCACTTTTTTCAAACCTCGAAAACGTCATCACTTGTCTTAGAGCCATAATTGACATACCGCAAAATTTTTATTCTGAATATTATTTATTTTTATCTTATTATCTATTGTAGACCAGCAAGAATGGCAAATAACAAATAATACATGTGATTGGGAAAATATAACATTCAATAATGAAAGCATTGACGACTCTACATTCGTTTTGGTAATTACATTTATAAATTGTTTAGTCACATTTTGTAAACATTTTTATAGTGCCGTTTTCTAATGCAATCTTTGTATACTTTGTAAAATTGCAAATGCTGTCATATTTTAATATTTTAAGTACCGTTCTAATGGTCATTTTGTCATGACCAAAGTCTTTATAATTAATACACAATACGTTACCGTTGATCTTCTTAAAATCATGAAAATTATTTCATGATACAACCGTGTGTATATCATATTTGTAATATATATTAGTTTCTTGACAAACGAATTTCATTTATTTTTATATCTAAGTAATGCTTTCTAAGTGAGCAAGTTTCATTGATAACGCAAATTATGATATCATTCTGATAGTTGATAATTTGGAAATAATTTGGGAAATATAGCATGCAGAGATATTGGTAGTTATTTTTTGGAAGGTATCTAGGAAAGCCGTTTAGGTAGATTGACCGCGGATATACACATGATATATGAAGACAAATTTTATAAAATCGGCGTAAAAACGGGAAAAAAACGTTAGCTTTTCTACGTAAACAAACCCGGTTTCCTTTCGACATAAAAAACGTTCTGTAACATGTTTAATAACCAATTTCTGTCATTTTAGATTTGCGACACCCGTCTATCAGCAAAGCAGACGAAGGAAAATCAAACTTATTTTACTAAAGAGACACAGTTTGGATTAGTTTCTGTTGCAACAACGTTTACTAACAATGCACCAGTTTTCGTAGAGACTATTATCAGAATTGACGAAGACTCAGGTAACAATATTTTAATTCAATATTTCCATGAGTAATTATTCTTAACGATATATGAATCCTTAGGAAAAAAACCTATAAATGTTTATCATAAATTTAAATCCGAATAAAAATTCAATTATGTATGTTATGTTACATAAGATATTGGTGTGTTAATTATGCTGAAGCTTTTTGAAGGATTTTAATCTTAATGAAACATTTAAGTTTTTGTTGTTGTTGTTGTTGTTGTTGTTTTCAACAGAAGACACACAATTTCAACTTCTTGCGACCGACACTGAGAATGACAAGTTTATCTACACACTTCAACAAGAAGATATGATCGTTACGTTTGGAAGCATTACCTTGAGTGATGAAGGAATGTAAGTTAAATTTGATAACAATTGATTTGAAAACTGTGCATACATGCTTTGTATATTAAGCAAAAAGACATGCGGCCTTTAGTTTCTGCATATTTCAAGCCGTGTTGCTTGTTAAATATTGTGTGGCTTTCGCGTTATTAGATTAAACGATATATTTATTATCAATGCACAAGTGTAAAGGTATATGTACAACCAGGACGACATCTAAAGTTCCTGCTTATTGTAAGCAATTGTGTACTCAGTCTGGTTAAAGATCATTTGACCGTCAGTTCATGAGATAAAATAAATAAGTGAAGTGTGCAATATTTGATTTTTAATTATTAGCTCACCTGAGCATATGCTCAGGGTGAGCTATTAGGATCACTCTTCGTCCGTCGGCTGTCGTCCTTTAAACTTTAAAAAAAATTATATTAAAGAACCCAAAGAGCTAGACCTAAGATATTAAGCATGAAACATCTTCTAATAAGTGTCTACCAAGTTTGTTCAAATAAAAGCCCTGGGGTCAAAATTGGCCCCGCCCCAGGGGGTCATTGATTTTCTCTATATGCATATAGTAAAAACTTTAAAAATATTCTTCTAAAAAACCCAAAGAGCTAGAGCTTTGATATTTGGCGTAAAACATGTTCTAATGGATGTTTACCAAGTTTGTTCAAATAAAAGCCCTGGGGTCAAAATTGGCCCAGCCCCAGGGGGTCATTGATTTTCCCTATATGCATATAGTAATAACTTAAAAAAAATTCTCTTAAAGAACCCAAAAGAGCTAGAGCTAAGATATTTAGCATGAAACATCTTCTTATCAGTGTCTACCAAGTTTGTTCAAATAAAAGCCCTGGGGTCAAAATTGGCCCCGCCCCAGGGGGTCATTGATTTTCCCTATATGCATATAGTAAAAACTTTAAAAAAATTCTTTTAAAGAACCCAAAGAGCTAAAGCTAAGATATTTAGCATGAAACATGTTCTAATGGGTGTCTACCAAATTTGTTCAAATAAAAGCCCTGGGATCAAAATTGACCCTGTCCCAGGGGTCATTGATTTTCCCTTTATACATAGAGTAAAAAGTTAAAAATCTTCTTTTAAAGAACCCAAAGAGCTAGAGCTAAGATATTTAGCATGAAACATGTTCTAATGGATGTTTACCAAGTTTGTTGAAATAAAAGCCCTTGGGTCAAAATTGGCCCCGCCCTAGGGGGTCATTGATTTTCCCTATATTGCATATAGTAATTAAATACTTAAAAATCTTCTTTTAAAGAACCCAAAGAGCTAGAGCTAAGATACTTAGCATGAAACATGTTCTAATGGTTGTCTACCAAATTTGTTTAAATAAAAGCCCTTGGGTTAAAATTGGCCCTGTCAGGGGGGGGGGGGGGCAAAAGTCATTGTTATTCATTATTTGTGTATAGTAAAAAACTTAACATCATGAAATATCTTCTAATGGGTGTCTTCCAAGTTTGTTCAAATAAAAGCCCTTTGGTTTAAACTGGCCCGGCCCTGGGGGCCTATGTTCAGGTGAGCGACCCCAGGGCCATCATGGCCCTCTTGTCATTGATTATGGTTTAATTATATGCCCGAAAGGGCATATTATGTTATACCCCCTGGCGTCCGTCTGTCTGTCTGTCTGTCCGTCCGTCTGTCCATCCGTACGTCCGTCCGTCCGTTAGCAATTTGGTTTCCGGAGCATAACTTAAGTTCCATTTGGCCCACAATGTTAAAACTTCATAGGATGATTGTCCATATTGGGTAGAAGACCCCTATTGATTTTGGGGTCAAAAGGTCAAAGGTCAAGGTCACTATTACCTTAAAACTGAAAACGGTTTCCGGAGCATAACTTAAGTTCCATTCGACCCACAATGTTCAAACTTCATAGGATGATTGTCCATATTGGGAAGAAGATCCCTATTGATTTTGGGGTCACAAGGTCAAAGGTCAAGGTCATATACTGAAAACAGTTTCCGGAGCATAACTTAAGTTCCAATTGGCCCACAATGTTCAAACTTCATAGGATGATTGTCCATATTGGGTAGAAGATCCCTATTGATTTTGGGGTCAAAAGGTCAAAAGTCAAGGTCACTATTACCTTATAACTGAAAACAGTTTCCAGAGCATAACTTAAGTTCCATTCGACCCACAATGTTCAAACTTCATAGGATGATTGTCCATATTGGGAAGAAGACCCCTATTGATTTTGGGGTCACAAGGTCAAAGGTCAAGGTCACTATGACCTTGATACTGAAAACAGTTTCCGGAGCATAACTTAAGTTCCAATTGGCCCACAATGTTCAAACTACATAGGATGATTGTCCATATTGGGTAGAAGACCCCTATTGATTTTAGGGTCAAAAGGTCAAAGGTCAAGGTCACTTTTACCTTATAACTGAAAACAGTTTCCAGAGCATAACTTAAGTTCCATTCGACCCACAATTTTCAAACTTCATAGGATGATTGTCCATATTGGGTAGAAGACCCCTATTGATTTTGGGGTCACAAGGTCAAAGGTGAAGGTCACTATTACCTTGATACTGAAAACAGTTGCCGGAGCATATGTTAAGTTCCATTTGGCCCACAATGTTCAAACTTCATAGGATGATTGTCCATATTGGGTAGAAGACCCCTATTGGTTTTGGGGTCAAAAGGTCAACGGTTAAGGTCATCCTTACTAAAAAAAAATACTTTCGGGCATATAATGCTCCGCCTAGCGGTGCTCTTGTTAAGGTTTGTTGATATATCTTAACTTCTTAAAATTGTACAAAATACAGGTGTGCATGCATATAAAAAATACAAAATATGTGACGCTCATGTTTTTATTGTTTTTATTTCATAAATCACAGTTTGTCGATATCACTTTGCGTAAACTGCTTTGGCAATTATACAGTAAAATTCACTATTGAAGACATACCTAAATGGGAGGAAATACCGCCAGCACGAGCAAATTATTCGTTAAACATTGAAGTTGTTTCGGTAAACGACCCGCCAAACGTAATGGTACTCTCTCCAAACGGAACTGATATCTTGCCGTTTGATCCTACTGAACGTGTTTTGGTAAGTAGCAACTGTATGGGGTAAGTCAGACGAATGTCAGACATTAAATTATTTTTTACAACTTTATCGATATTTGTTGATTATTTACATGTAAAACATAACTGATATACACAGGGCATAAATGAAATTAGATTTGTTTTTTTCAGGCGGAGTTGTATCAACTTTATTGGTTAAATCAGTAAATTTCTAATGACAACATTAATTATTTTTCATACTCAATTGTTTAAATCAAACTCATATTTACGCCTTCCCAATATTTTAAGGTATTCCGCGATCAAGTCGGAAAAACAATTTTCGGAACAGTTGCCGTTGTGATAGCTTATGATATCGACGGACCTCAACATCTTCAAATTATATCAAACACAAGCAACGCATCTGGTACCTTTGTCTTACAAGATCTTGAATACACTGATATAATAAATTACGTTTCATGTAGCCATGGCAAGGTACGTACAAAACCGTACAATGGTCTTCCAAGTTAATATTTTTTGTTCCTTAAAATACAAATTGATTTTACACGAAAAAAACATATGACAAGAAGTTTGATGAGTGAATTTGTTGTTTTAGAAATATATTAAAAGAAAAACAAAACGATAACATTTAAAACTTTGTGTTGAACATTTTGCATATTTGTCTATAATTATGAATTATGACACTGTCATACCATTGAGCTCGTTATGTTACAGTTAGATGTATTCTCTCACGATATTGACTTTTATATGTTTCAATTTCATGATATCTTATGTATGGATTCATGCTTTTTTCATCAACAAAAATCAGGATTTGTTGCCGTGTGGTTAAATTCTTTATTAGGCTATCCGATAAACGTTTATAAGAATAGTATGATATTAAAATTTTTGTTGAAATATTTCAGTGTTTAAGTCCCAGTGCCCTTTTGAACCCCAAAGATGTAGAATGGAAAGGCATATACATCAATTATACACAAGAAAATACCTCCTTTATTGGTATAGACACAGTAAAAGTCGTTGCAATGGACGAGTCCGGGACATTTTCTGATGTTGTGTCTGTAACACTTGTAGTGATGGAGAATAAATGTCAACATGGTCATTGTAAAAGTAAGTAGATGTCATATTGCATTATTTTCAATATCGATTAAAATAAGAGAAAAAGTATAAAAAAAATGCGATCAAAATTATATCTATTCGAAATTTGTTTTTTTCAATGTAGCCCATGCTTTATTTTACAGACATACCAACTTGCCTCTGGCTGACTGGGAAATCATCTTCAAAATATCACCCTTACTCTTAAAATGCAATAAAATGTCGTTTGAATATCAATATCGAAATTGTTTGTGATAATGCTTCGAAGAATTGATAGACTGTCGCTAAAATCACCAATAAACATCGATTTGCTAGTTTACAATAATTTTTTTCCAACATATACATCCTTTCTTCAAACAGGTTTAAATGAAAGACAATATTCTTGTGACGATACGAGAAGAACAGAAGGATTCGACAAATATTATACGTGTGAATGTCCAACCTCTTGGGAGGGACCTTATTGTGAACAAGATGTTGACGAGTGCGCACGAAATTTCTGTGAAGCTTGGAAAGTTTGTGATAATAAAATTGGAAGCTATGACTGCTACTGTAAAGCTACGGACATAATCTGTAAATTGTCTCTGGAGATTTGGGAATTCGCTGTTATTGTAACTGCAATTGGTGTTGTACTTCTGGTCACAGTTGGCATCTTTGTTTATCGGAAAATTAAGTAAGTTTTTTTAATTCAATAACCACAGTTTCCTATTTGCAATCTCATTTATCCGTGCTGCTGAAAACAATACTCAATATGACACTTGTACAACAATGAAAACTAAGCCATTGTATAATTTCTCATATATATCAAATCTTTTAGTTCCACTTGTTTTAGTAACGCAGTTTTACATTTCTTACCAGTTTATGTGTTTATTTTATTTTATCTTATTTTTTCACCCTTGCTTGTTTTTTGATTCAGGTTACAATTACCATTACGTATTAACGATTATGTCATTTCAATATTTATTAAATGCCTTGTCTTACAGTTATGTTTGGTCGTTTATTTAGGTCTAAGAAAGAATATGATGTTAACAAAAAGGTTTGTATAAACTTCTTTTCATGAGCTTAATATAATGATAACTAGCATGAGTTTAAAGTTTTTAAAATAGAACTGACCTAGGCAAGATCATAACATTATTGTCAATTTAAAAAAAGTTAAGAAAAACATGGAGAATTTGAAAAGATAAAAGTTCTTTCAAGATTAAGGATCAATATTTTGTAATGACCAGCTTTTTGTTAATTTATCTTTTTTTTGTTTAAGGAATAATATTTGAATACTGTTTTTTTTGCTACTGTAGACTTCAGACTCAAAAACCTTTGAGCCATCCATCGTCGGAAAAGAAGGGGTAAAACTTTTTTGTATAGCTTTCATTGATTAATTTATTTTTTCTTTTATTTGAAAGAAATATTTTACATGCTTTATCATCAACAGATAGAATTGTCCCCCTCTTACATTTAGTCTTTGTCAAGCTATGTGAAATAGCAACGTATATAAAATACCATAGTTACAATGATTTTTTCAACATCTGTTCAAAACTTATAAATACTATTTAAAACATGTATATAATACTATTTAAAGTTTGTTTTTGTTCTTTATTACTTTTTTTTACTTTTGCAGATTCATATTTTTTACTTTTTTTACTTTTGCAGATTCTTGGTCCGCATTTAGTTCATTTCGCAAAGGTTGCACCGGTAACTATTGTCCAATATGTTAAATTCTTTAATTTCTTATACCTGCAAAGCAAATGAATTAAATATTTATTAACGTTCTTAAAGATATGTCACTGAAAAAGATTAAGTTATTAATGAATAATTTGTAGAGAATTCTGCAAAATAAAGGAATTTTTATGTTAAAGGAGAAAAAATAATATAAAGTGTACATAGGAAGATTTCATTATTAAGTATGACATTTGCAAGAATGCTCAGTAACACCGTTTTATATTTGTGTAGCAAAGCAATGTCACAAATGCTCCATAATACTGCTTTTTATGTGTGCGGCAATCAATGTTACGAACGCTCCATAATACTGTTTTTATTTATGGGGCAAAGCAATGTCTTAAATACTCCTTGACTTACGTTTGTTACTTATGTGACAAAATAATATAATTTAAAGAAATTCAACGTTAAAATTCTAGATGAGATACTACGTGTAGAGAGGAATAATTCTGCTGCCTGTAAATTACATTTCTGGTATGCATTTTGAAATAGGATAATTCAAATATGCCTGTGAAAACAAAATAATAATGTTGGTATATTTCTGTTATAACAAAAATATAATTTTGATAAACATTATTACCCATGTCAAAAACGCATAATACGTATTTTATTTCAGGTAGAGGATGGTGAAGAAAGTATGTCGAGTGCCCCTCCAATGTCTACATTCATTTCTCAATCTTTTAGGGCTGATGTGCATATGGTAAGTTGTTTTTTTATCATTTAACTTAGAAACATTTCAAGGCTTCGTTATAAGTTGCTTATGTTTAATAAGGTTAGGCATGTTATTTACAAGGAGGAAACGTTACAAAAAATAATTGCATAGATGTAACAGGTAAAAGTTAAGAATTTATTTAGATACAAAGATTTATATAATGCATGTGTACATTACACAATTCATAAAGTTTTCTGTATACAGTTTATATACATGTATATGCAAGTGACTGACGAGTAAGAGCTTATAAATAGTGTTTATATTTGTGCTTCCTAAGGCAAACGATGGCGACATATCATGTGTACCTGAAATAGAAGAAGAATTAGACTCAGACGATGTTGGAACGTCCATACCACCACCTTTGTTTGCGGAAGACTTAACTACTGCTGGAACGTCAAAACAAACTGAGGATGAAGAGGTCGTGGATACTAAAGGAAAGTCATATTTACCGGAAGTGGACGTAAGTAACAGACCACGTTCACTAGTAAGTGTGAAATATGTTTCTTCAAGGACAGAAATCTATTCATGACAATGTAACACGTTTAAAACACATTTATAAATATTTATTGAAAATGTTGAAAATCTATCTGTTTTCTTATTGACACCAGACAAGCGTATTTCTTTTGACAGCAGACAAGTATAAGCTTTATCTTCACATCGTGGTTGTTTTTTTATGTAAGAATCTTGTTATTTTCTTGTGTGCGTGAAATATTGATTTCAAATGTTTTCTTAATTGATGTTAAAGGTTTTATTTGCAGATACATTTGCTCACAACATTGTAAAATGTCAAAGGCCATCAGCGGTGTTTCATGAAATGGCACTTACGTGTCATATTGAAGGTTTCATGATAACCGCCGTATGGACACATTTGCAGATGTTTCTAAATTCAAAATTTTACCATTTTCATGTTTAAATGATGAATTCTGCTGAAGTCGGTGCCAGGGGGCGTTAACGGTAGTTTGCAATTGACAGTTCCGTCCATAAACAGCCTCAATCAAACCGAGCCTGCAACATTTTCTCAATTTTACCGTTTTGCCGTTTTTACTGTTTTCCTATTTTCTCTATTTTATCTTCAAAAGTCTATAATACAATGAAAAGTCTCTATGTTTTCTACTCCGATTTAAGATAATATTTCTATTATAGACTATCTTGGCACGACAATCGAAGAAATCTCATGAACATCCGGCGCCTAAATTCAACATTTTTCAAATTGCAGCTGAATTACAGCGAAAGAGGAAAGCACTTGAGGTAAAACAAGAAAAAAGACCGGTCTGTGCTTACACAAAATGCGTTTGAAATCGATTAAGGCCGTACTAAGCGCACAACTGCATTGAAATACAATTCAAATTTCTCTTATATTGTTTCATCCAATGATATATGTTTTATAATGATGATTACAATAACAGAAAATTATAATCATGAAATTAAATATTTTAAAGATAATAACATTGATGAGGAAGATGTGTTTTACATGTATAATGATAATGGTGAAGATGTTTTATGAATACTATATAATTTGATAATAATGATGATGTCTGTACATCATAAAATGGATGATGATGATGATGATGATTGTAATGATGATGGTGATGATGATAATTTATAATAATATTGATATATAATAATGATATATTAATAATATTTAAGATTGTTAATAATGATTATGATGAAATCTTATATATAATAATAACAACGATGATGATGATGAATTATCGCAATACTTAAGGCAAATCCAAAACGAAAAAAGGAAATGATGGATCATCCACCGCCAGAACCGAACCAATCACATGTAATTACGAAATTTCGAAGCCGTAAAGTAGAACCAAAGGTAGGCCTTTATAACTCCAAAAGTATTGTCTCGCAGGGTCATATTGATGTATTAATGTTCTATGTTATTTGTAAATGTATGTCCCGTATTGTACACCGTAGATTATGTTATTTACATGTCCATGTCATGTCTGATTTTTAACATTGATAATACGATTATGATGATATAATACATGCATATAATGTACAATAATAAAAACAATGATGATGATAACGATGATGAATTATTACAATACCTAAGGCAAGTCCAGAAAGAAACAAAGAAATGATGGATCATCCACCGCCAGAATTAAACCAACCACATGTAATCACGAAACTTCGAAACCGTAACGTAGAACCAAAGGTAGACCTTTATAACTTTAAAAGTATTGCTACATTCTATCTAATGTGAACATTAAACTATTAGACTATATATATTTTGCGGAATACTAATCCTCATATGTTAAATGATAAAAATGAGCGGTCTGTGCTTAAACACAATATGTTTGATATCTATTTAGGTCGTATGTTTATTCTTAACTAATAAACGCACAACTTCAATAAAAGACAATTCAATTTACTCTTATATTGCGTCATCTGGTTAAATATTTTTCAATACTTAAGCAGACTATTTCTATAAACATATATTAACACTACAATTATCACATTTCAAGCCTGTTATTTATTGCTTGATTTTAATAGATTAATTCATTTCAAATTCAATTACTATATGATTACCTTTTCAGCCGACGCTGCCAAGCTTTGCTGACACTATAAAGTCAAAACAGCCCCCGGATACGAGTCCAGCACATAATTCCGAAAACAAAACAGGTTCATTTATCAATCAATAATTTATGTAATCTATTAAATATGACTAATTAATTAATTCCTTAATAAGAATAAACTGAAACTGCCAGAGTATTCGTAGTTTGCTCATACAACAGACTGGCTTAGCACAACAGGCTTATAATTCACATAGTAGTTTTACCATAAATCAGTGATTTACAAAGCTTACTTGTATTCTGTAGTGATTTTTGCAGATTCCCCATACAAAAAGATCAAGTAAGCTATACACTTAATGTATCATAGTTTTTGAAGCAATGCACGGAGTAGCACCAATGGTCTTCCTCCACGAGTTAAGGTGGAAAGTCGCCATATTATCTTTACAGCGTTAGAATTCTGCTTAAAGCCCACCTATCGAAACAAAGATATTTTTTTTTTATCATTCTCATTGATGATTGCTTATCAAGGCAAACATAAACAAACACAATTTAGAATATATATCTATATGTTGTACTTTTTCTTGTTTAAGGTGGTGATATGGAGAGAAACACGTTTGAGACACAAGAAGACTAAAGAATAAATTTTAATAAAGACTTATTTATACGTGTTAATTTCTTACCCCACAGACTGATAAAATTATATGTTAAAATTGACAACAATTATGTTTTAAAAGACAAACATTTCGTTAAATATCAGCTTACATTAATTGTAAATTTCGTTTTTGTGTTTAACGCTAGTTTATTTTAAAGTTAAACAATAATTTCGAATTGTTCTTCTTATGTAAACTGTATCTTGTCTTTTATCAAAGAAGTGAACTATTGATGTTTTTGCTAGTTTGATATAGTTACATTTTATTTGAAAATACTAAAGAATTCAGTAAAGAAAGATTTACTTTTTATGAACTACGTTATGAAATATCTGTATAACTTTTTGTTATTTTCTTTTTCTTTTATACTATTAAACACATGTTCGTCTTCATTTTGATTGGTAGTTTTAACGATATATTTATCTAACATGAAAATTATTTTATTAAACCGAAATCTTTTAACTTGTAATGATGTTTTTTTTTTAAATAAAGACGATCGTTATAGGCAATTTTAATTTAATTTAAGTTTTTGTAACATTTTTGTTCATTCTTGAAATCCAAAATCGTTCATCTTCTGCAATTAATTTAAGTTTCTGGAATGTTAACAGTTATGTTAAAATCTAATAGTGTTTTGTGAGTTACTTTTCCATTTAACAAGACGTGCCTAGTAGTTGATAAAGATAATTGAGCTATTGATGGCCTTTTGGCCAATATGACATAGTTCAATTTCACATGAAATTACTAAAGCATACGTTTGATTACTTTCTTCTGATTGTACAGGCATGGAATGGATATTAGTAACGGAAAGTTAAATTTCCCTTCATATGTAAATCACTCGGCTATTTTAGTTCACTATTGTTCATCTTTCAACATAGTGGGGAATAACAAATCTTTGATTTATTTTCAAGCAATTCATATTTGTTATTCATATTTGTTATCGTGAATACGTTCATGATATTCTTTTATTATTTGAGCCATATTTTTCATATCTCTAGCTTTTCTTCCGTCATTCTATACCAATAAACTCGTGTAGAAATGTATGTCTCCTGTGTATTTTATCCTGAACATGCGGTGTTGTTTAACTCAATAACGTTCATTCCCCGGCTCTCCCCAAACCGAAGTGGGATCAAACTCCACCAGCGGCTCTAAATATATGTATGGTGTGTACATAATCAAATGAATGGTTCATTTAACCCCACAGAACATGCTAAGGCGATGCGCGTGGTGTAACATCGCGATATTGTGTAGCTTTCTGAGGAGTTAAGTAATTGAAAAACGGCGCATTCCTTTAGAAGGTATATCGTAATTAAAACAGTTTTTATGTTCCGTGGAATACTTTACTATTTTTTCACTCAACATACCACCTTTTATCAGTGAAATAAACATTTACTGGATCGGTATATGTCGGCTCATTGTTTTCAGAAGAGAATGACCTGTGTATGACATGTATGAGATACATATAATTCCTCTATCTTTAACAAACTGTTGTGATGTTGTATTTTGTGATTATAAAAATTATTTTCTATTTTTTTCTATATTATTTTTTTTCTTTTTTTAAATGAGGCATTTATAACTTGCTTTTTCAAATCTAAATAAATTGAAAGTAAATTGCTTCCGGGTTGTTAAAAGAATGCAAGTAAAACATGTGCACGACTGTTTTTGTGGAAAAAACAATGAAAGGGATTTTTGTTTATCTTTTAAACATTACATGTCTGATACACGTAACCACTTTTTACAGCTTGTTATTATATAACGACCGAATTGCTTATGAAAATCTTTCTTTTTTTTCAGACAGGGCTTTTGGCATAAATCTTATTCTGTCGTTATTTCATCTTACCAAATGATCATTCTTAAGCTCGTGAAAGCCATGAGCTTATCTAAATTTAGATCAGTTACTGTGTCTATACTATCAACCGTGAACATATAGGATTAAAGTGCATGGTTGCCTGTTAGGTAACAGTATGTCGTATCATGCATATATTTGTATCATTACATATATTGGTTTATATTTTGCTACGTCATTGTCGAGCATCTGTTGTATATTATAACAGCTGTAGAATTCTCCCACGTATTTCATTCATAAACAACACAGGACAGATAGAAATCTACCAACAGACACTGTAACATTGATATTCTAGTTCTTTCTAAAACAGGGGTAGGTGGGGTAAAGTTGGACACTTAGACTTAAAATAGCTTAAAATAGCCATGAGTATCATTTTCCTTTGTTTCTTTAAGTGTGTTCCCACTTATTTAACATTTTTGTTTGAAAAATCTTTTTAAAACACTACTCCTTAGATATGTTTAATTATGAATAGATTCATATTTTTTTCTCTATTCTGAATGCATTAGATCATCACGTCTATGGCGAGCTGTGTCACAAATACATCATACATCATAAACACCAGTCTAAAGAAATGAATAAGAGCCAGTTCCTGTGCTTAATTATATCTTTATTAAATATCAGTATACCACATGTTAAAGAAACACAATAAGTTTGATGTATCAGGTTCACTTTTACCAGTGTCACACTGTTTTACATTTGTAGACAACAGTTCAGTTTGCGTAAATTAAATATACATGTTAAGGGGAATATATTTTCAACACAAGTAATCCACTGGTGGAAAGTCATGGCTCCAACGGACGTGTTCTGATGGAAGTACTACTTCAAATGGGATTTTCAATTTGTCTAAGCATTGTTCTATTCCCATAACGAATAAACGTAGATTGCAACAGTGTCCAAGATTAACCGCTGTCAACTCAGGACAGTTAAGATGAAGTTTCTTTATAGTTGAACAGTCAAACAAATTCAGGTACTTTAGCGGTTGTGTTGTAATGTTTACCGTACTAATCTCGCGGCATTTTTCGAGATTAAGATGAGCTACGTTTGGGCAACCGGATAGAGCCATCTGCAGGACGTAATCTGTCATTTGACAACGGTAAAGTACAACTGTCTTTGCCAGCCGGGTACAGATGGACAAAAGGCTAAATTTGCAATCAAATAGGCGAAGAAATCCTATAGCATTTAACGCGTGTATTACACAGGACTGTAGGTTAAGCTGATCATCACTGCATAAATTCATCTCTATGCAATCTACACTGACACATTGTATAGTCACTGTCTTCAGTGCAGGTAAACCGACCATGACCACTTTACACAGATGGTTTGCTGTTATGTACATATGGTTCAGTGTGATGATATCTTCTTCCGCTTCTGTGTGCAGATACCGTATGGACGGACTTCGTACATGCAATGTTTCACAATCAAAGTCACCAAGCAAGCAAAGTTCTTCTACGCTTGGAACCATATATTCATCCAATGTAAGACTATCTTGAGAAATGCATCCAAGTCTGAGGCATTTAAGACCGGTATTTGAACGAAGTGTGTCTTTGAATGATTTCATATCAATGACGTCACACTGTGATATCTCTAGCAATGAAAGTTTTTCACTTTTGATTTTCAAGGTGCGTAGGCTGTTTGAGCCGTTGACGCATGCGCGTCGAAGGGTTTGCGCGATAATTTCGACATGTTCCAAGGACTCCATCCCATAATCAATTATCACGTGACGTAGTTTTGGCGCGTAAATGCTGATGAAAGTCGTGCTCCATACGTTAAAAATGTAAAATTTCTGCAGGCTGGCAGACATTAGTCTTACACCGTGTAATTGCTACAACAAAAATATATTTATTAAATGAATGATTAAACAGTAGAAACATTGCTCTGCATTCCATTTCGGGAGTTTTAATTATTAAATGTGGTAATTAAAGCTCAATTGTCAAATGACGTCATTGCATCAAACATGCATAAAACAAGATTTATGATAGAAGCAGAAACATGATCAAAATCTATGTGCAAACACAGTTTGTAAATAAATCAATTTATTTTTCTTAATAACAATTCTTAATGTATGCTACCGACAATTTTGAATTAATCAGTGCATTAAATATATCCAAAGGCTGACATCATATTTTTCCATTTTCAAAATACAGTCTGAATATTCATGTACTTTTCAATTATAAAATAAAGTTGATTAAATGCAAACTTTTGTTTCTAAAAATGTTTTAAATACAGTCGTGATCAAATTTAAGTTTAAAGGCTTCTACTATCATTGCGTATTTCAGAAATCATTTCGTTGCGATCATAAATTAAAAAAAAAACAAAAACAAAAACTTTATATATTTGTTTAAAAAAATATAATAATACCTCACAATTGCTGATGCTTAGTTTACGGAGCACTTTCAGTTTGTTTACAATTTCCCAAAGGTCCTCCATTTCCATGGAAATGAAGTGCACACATAGCACGGTAACAAGGTTACACAGTGGCTCGAACTTTAAACCATTAAATATTTCGAAACCCTGTCTAATTGCCGTCTCGCTCCGGCCGTTTTCCAGTTGCAAATTAGAATTAATCTTGATATGTACATCTTCCAGTGAATTTAATAGAGGTAAAATAGATCGGATGCCATCGATAGTAATATTCCAGCATGCGTTTAGTGTAACTGACTTCAGTGCCGGCAAACGTCGTGCAATGTCCATAAGTTGCGAATCTGTTAACGAATAGCCTCCATTTATATAAATTTTCTCCAAATTTGGTAAAGCACAACATGTGTCTATCACTCTTTTAGTCCACAAAACAGGAATCCTTAAAACTCTAAGGTTTTTCAAAAGAGGGACGCAAGAAAAAATTGCTTCATAAACCGATGTATTTTCCCGCCAAATTAATTTTTGTATATGGTGTCCATACAGACGAAATAGGCAAACTACCATTTTAAAATGCCATTGTTTGTAGAATGTTGGATCTATGATAATGGTCTTCCATAGCGATCCGTAGAAATACAAAACGTCGTGCCACTTCCGGCAAACTAACGCAAGTGCCGGTAATACGTCATCTATTGGTTGTAAAAATCTAAATATTGCAACCAAAATTTCATTTGGAACATTTTCTATTGTAACAACCATCGGAACCGACGGCTATATCCAAACTAAGAATTTTCAAAACATCATACTTTTCATTTCGAAAGATTGCGTCTTCCAATATTTTTCACTACCATCTGGGATGGCATGTATCCATTCATTGTTAAAATCATAACCTTCCCTGTTATATTGTAGTTTTAGTTAGACATCTGTTGCTGTTCATATGATTTTCCCATCTACGTCATTCCGTTTGATTTATAGGCAGACAATAACAAAATAAACCATTCATCTATAATTGTCCATTTTTTTCTTTTGCAAAAGTAATATTTATATTTTTTCCGTTTCGTTTATAGCCCCTACTGTGTTTAATTGAATTTTTTTCAATAGTGAATGAAGCGTCTAAGCATTCACAGGGTTAATATAGCAGTAAAGGAAAGATTTTTATGATGTCATTTTGACTCGATATCAAACATATGTTGCCAGTTAGATGTTATAATATACGTCATAAGAACATTAGTCATAAGATAAAATGATATTTAATACAGTCAATGTTGTCTCAATATGATATGTGAACACGTGCAAATAATATTCGGTCAATCATATTATGATGCAACTTTCAGAACAAAATTTTATCTTATATTCCAACAAGGTTTTTCTTTCAGCGAATGAAGGAAGGAAGGAAGGAATGCATGGACGAACAAACGAGTAAAATACAAAATTACGAACAAACGAACGTGCAGACGAGCAAACCAACAAACAAACGAAAGAAACGAACGAATGAATAGATAAATGAATGAATGAATGATTGATTGATTGATTGAATGGATGAGTGAATGAATAAAAAATAAATGAATGAATGCATGAGTGAATGAGGCAGAGCATCGTTACCTCCGTAAATAGTTGCCGAGAGCTAGATATTCCGGTCTGTACTGGCAGTCGGTGTAAGATTCTTATATTATATATATATCATGATTATACAACAACAAAAATAATAATAATAACAAAAATAAAAACAGAACAACAAGAAAACAAACAAATAAGTAAAATAAAATCAATACAATCATGCAGTACATGTATTTAAACTGCCGTTTGATACTTACACAAAGACAAGGCTATAAAGCGAAAAAGCAGGTTAAGTTTCATCAGTAAAATGTGGTATATACCTTATATCCTATATAGAAGGATGTAAAACATGCATGCTTGTAAACACACAACAGACTTATGTTTCGAGTCGTTGCCCCTTATTTAAATATTGTACCTTGACCTCACTCAACGTTTTTTTTTTTTTTTTTTTTTTTTTTTTTTAGTACAATGTATTTGTTTTATTCTTATTCTTTTTCAAAGCAGGCCTGCATTGTAACTGATATTGCATACATACAATTGGTGAAGGTTGACATAGTAATCTTCTTTTCAATATAAACTCTAATTAATGTCATGTGCTTGTGTAAAGAACGACTTCTTACTTTGAATAAAACTTCCTGGATATGAAGAAAGAAAATGTAGAAACTGGTGTATTCTTTACTCCCATTGTTAATTGAGTGCAAAAATATTTACTTGTGCAAGCTACATGTGAGCCCTTCAAGATAATGCTTAAACACTGTAACTTAAAAGGACTTTAAACTTTTATTGTTCATTACAATACTTCAAAGAAACACAATTATATTTTAATTCTCAAGAATGTGTTTCAGAATGGAGGGAATAGTGATGACTCTAAGACTTTTGAGAATAGACTTCATAATAATCTTTAATTAAAATAGAAAAATTCGCTCATTAATTAATTAAAGATTATTATGAAGTCTATTCTCAAAGTTCTTAGAGTCATTACTATTCCCTCCATTCTGAAACACATTCTTGAGAATTAAAATAAGAGAATACCAAAACAAAATATCATAACAATATATTTTGAATAAAAATACTGATCAAAAGTCATTATTTTTTCTCAAAAAGATTATTTTCAATGTCATGGGCCATTTGTCAGAAATCCTTTAAAAATACAATATCAACAAATAGGTAAGAGGAAAATACAAACAAAATAACGCAATACGTGAAAGAACAACAAACGGTTATTCATAAAAAATACACTTTGACCAATGACCCATGACATTGAAAATTATCTTTTTGAGAAAAAAATAACGACTATTGATCAGTATTATTATTCAAAATATATTGTTATGATAATTTGTTTTGGCAAACATCAATCTATATTAAGATAACAGTATGACATCAGCAAACTTAAAAACAACTGCATGTTGTAAATCTTCTGTTTTATTTATAAATATGTTTTGCTAAATTATGCAACGTACGTATATAAGAAGGCGCATGATAAGATATAGAGGTATGGAAACTCTTAAAAGTTGACACTATATATATATAACACTCAATAAACATGCCATAAAAAATGTTGTTATAATAAATAATGTAAGAGTTTATTACAGAATAAAAAGTTTCAAGGTAACGTTTATTTATTCTTCCTTAATTATGTGCTCAAAATAAAAACATTTATAAACTGGTGGGGCTCTTTGTAGCCATGTTATAATTTTACAAGTGCAGTATTTGGGTGCATTTGATTTATTTACGAAAGGTGTTCGGGTATCAGCAGACTTTATTGCCTTTTTTCAGGCATATCGATGCACAAATGGGACTTATAAGAATTGAAGGAAACCTTAGTTAAACGTTTATAACATCTGTCCAGTAGCTATTTCTTTTATTTAGAAGCGTCAAGGGGGTCTCATAATCAAGAATTTATATAACTATATTTATAGTATCTCCAAATGTTTAAGTATTTTAATTCTGATCAGTAAATATTTTGTTTGTTTGGATTTTTTAAATCGAAAGTTAAGAGTGTGGAGACTGTTGAGGATCCATATCAATAAATAAATGATTGCCACAAAGATGACTTAGCACATGATAATGTTCCGCTGTTCTTTTTCAAGACGAATGCTACCAGTTTACTACGTGACGATAGTGTCGTTAAATTTTAAAAAAATGTCGGCTGAAAGTCAAGGTTGTGATGAAATGTATTTTTATAAAATAAAGTTGATACTTTTATTTGTAGCAGTTCTTCTTCACTAATTATTGAGATTCTGACTGTTATATCATTCACGATGCGTATCCATGTATGAAATCCTCTTAAACTGGCCATTCTCTGTTGAAAATAAATGGACGATGGACAGGAAAAAAATTAATGTTCGTGCTACAAGATATGACATGAGCAACAGACGTATACCACGGAACACTTAAATGTTTTAGCCACGTCCAGTTTTGTTTCAATTACTGCAACAGTTATTATATTGCGATGTTTTGCCACGCCCACAATATTGACATTTTCTGCGGACTTAAAAAAAACATTGTGTACATATATGTATGTTATTTGATGTGTTCAACAGGCAGGCCATTTAACCAACAATTTGGCTTCTCCTTAGCGAAATGAAGCAAAGGACAAAGAAGTGAAAATTTAAATCATTTGTTTTTCAAAAATGGTATTGAAAACATGTCACAATATTGAGTGTTATAACCTTGCTTTTAAGCTCTGTGAAATCGGGTTAATTTCAGGCCTGTTTTAACTACGCCAATTTAGCCTTCCAGGTTTTACATAAAGTCTGATAAGAGAAAAACTTTCGTATTTTATTGGCTAATGTCATTTTCATTGAATAACAATCACGCATTTGATAATATAAACTCTAGAACCGCAAACATTGTCAATACAATTGATAATACGGTGTACACTTTGATACGAAATGATTCAAAAATAATAATGAGAGGCATAGCACTGCAACTGTTGATCATTATTTGCTTTCTACATTTGAGGTAAGCTTATCTGATTATAAAATTATTATGTTAAGTAATTACGGATACAATGATTATGTTTTGACAATAAAATTGTTTATCTTATAAAAAAATAAACGTCAGTAAAAATGTGAAAGAGATATCAAATGAATTTATCTTTTCCATTTTCATTTGTAATTGTAGTATTTTATTACTTTTCTTATACTTTGCTTTATGGTAATTTAATCTATTTTAAAACTTAACACACATTTGTTGGATCTATCAAAAATTTAACAGAAGGAGCATGGAAACACGAGTCTATCAAAATTGTGATATGGCTCTATTCATAACATTATACTGACATAGAAAAGCGCAAGTTTATGCCAGTGCCTGATCTACAATTATAATAGTATAATGTTGTTGTGTTTAGTGTGTTGTCTTTATTGTTGTTGATGTTTTACATCTTTTTTGTTCATGTTGAAGAAAATGAAATCCAAAAAGAACATCTTAAAGTATATAATCTTAATAATTATGTATTTTTTTTTGTTACTTCATTATAACCAAGAATAAATAAGCAAATATCTAATGAACTCAGATTTAAATATAATACATGTTTAACAAGATTATCAATTCTATAATACAACTTACATATTGACAGTACAAAATAGTATTTAGTTTGCTATCCCTGTGATTTTTATATCATTTCAAGTGAGGCTAAATCAAATATAAATTAAATGCTACACCAAAATCAAACGTATAATGAGAAAAATATGATAAATAAAATCATTTGTAAGTAATAAATGAAATAAAAAAAGTCTCAAATGGTGAACGTATTCTAAATATTTCACAAACAAAATGTGAAACTAGTAAAAAGTAAAGACTGTTAAAATCACTGTTTTTTTTGTAACTTTGTCTTTTGACGTCTTATTTGGATGTGCAGGCTTCATAACATGTGATCCCCTTTAAAAATTACATTTTATTTAGTTCCGCCAATTGTTTACTAGTTTAGGGCACACACTTTTTATTACCTGGGACCATACGCCGCTTTTCGTGGAATGGCACTAACGTGTCACATTGAAAGTTCCATGATAACCGCCGTATAAACACATCTGTAGATATTTTTTTACCATTTCATAATTAAATGTTGCATTCTGCTTAAGCCGGTGCTAGAGGCCGTGGACGGTAGTTTGCACTTGACAGTACTTTCCATAAACAGGCTCAATAAAACCGAGTCCGTAACATTTTCAATTTTGTCGTTTTGGACTTTCTGTGGGGATTCTTATTTTTTTATTTATTCAAATTGTTTAAAGTATTATATAATGGTGAACATAAAGAAAAGAACTGAACACATTTGTATTGTTCTTTTATGTTTATTATAACTAACTGGCATTGTGGTCGCATTTCAGATCAGAGGCTGGTTCATGCTATAAATATTTCCGAAGATCAAAAGAAACATGCACTGGTTGGTGGTCACGGAGGTGTAGCACAAAGTAATATTTATAAGTACATAAATTATGTGATAGACTGTTAATATGTTGCTGATTTTAGTTATTGTTTATTTATAGTTTACAATCTTTAAATCTTTATCAAAACACTCGGTTATAAGATGTACAAATTGAATATAAATATGAACCTTCTCTTTCTATTACAAATTTTGTTACAACAAATTATATAAGAAAACTTTACATTTAATATTACTTCTCGCCGTTACCATTTCAGATATTACAGTTCCAAGGTTTGTTGTGACAACTACAGCGGAGCCACATGTTCAATCCGTAATTTTGCTAGAATAAACCTTATCGTTTTGATCATGCAATATAACGATATAGTACAAGATACTATTTCTTTCTGCTCTATTCCGGAAACCGATTGCATTATCAGTATTTTCATTTTCGTAAATAATGGTAACATAAATACAAGAAGTAGTTAAGCACTTTTTGGTTATGTTGGTAGACAGCAAACCCTTAAAGCATGATTTGTAAACAAGAAGCAAACGGAGCCATTCTATTGACTTTTTTTATTAAGAATGAAAGAAATGATGAGTTAACTGATATAATTTGTTCTATTGTTCAAAAAGAAAGATGTGTGTCACGTGCATGCACTGTTTGTAGAACATTATCTGATAAGTAAATCATCATCTTATTATATTTGTAAGCGAAATGTCGAGGGGGATATGGAACAAACACATGCAATATTAACAACGAGGGCTATGTTAAATACAAAGATGGTAAGGTTGTCAGAAACAGTGGTGGAGTCTGCTATGCACCATCAAGATGTAGGAACTGTAATAAAGGATATTATCCTGTTACCTCTAGCGGTGGATATTGCAAAGGTTATCTTTAAAGTATTCCTTCATATTTTTCTCTTCTTGTTTTATTTCATTATTTCATTGAAAATCCTCAATTTATTTAGATATAACAAAAACAAGAAGTGGGTGTAAGTAAATGTAAGGCAATTTAAAATCTATTTCTTACATGATAAATAAAATGTCTGGAATATTCCATTGAAATGGTCTAGTTAAATACATTTGTTACCATTTTAGCGTGTTTCCAGCCACAACACTGTAATTTACCAGTATGTGCATCGTCGAATAATTATCGGTGTGATTATTGTGAAGGTGAATATATCAGAGAAAAACCAGGTTATAACGTTTACACAGGGAAGCCAGATAGCAAGAAATGTCAAAGTAAGTCACAACAAATTAATTAATTTGAAAAAGTCAGGTCATTTCTTTCAAAGAAGCCAAGTTGAACAATTTGACAAGAAAACATGTTTCTTAAACTCTATTTAAACTTATAATCGAAATATATGCGTGATTTATAGAGGTACGAATATATGCCGTCGGCCTCTCTTATGACCGACTTGTTTGTTACATCTTATTGAATTAGCAGCTATTTCCTCTAATATGATATTTTAACAGATTTTTGATAATTTTAGAGGCATGTTCATGGGTAGATGGTGCTAGGTGCTTTCCGGGTACTTGCTCGGGAAACATGATACTTGGCAGAGATTGTCAATGTGCAATAGGGTTTAGTGGCAAAGATTGTTCTTCAGGTATGTAACTTTGTAGGTTAATGTCGTTAATCGACGTTGAATGTTATCTCAAATGACTCCAAATTAATCATAGGTTGTAGTAAAGATTTCATTTCTCTTCTTGTATTTATTATTTCACGCTAAGCCTTATGTCTTTGAAATGAAAAGAGTTAAATAAAGTAAGTTAATAAATAAAAATAGAATTGGTTTGTAAATGCACAACGTAATTGTAACCTGTGATATTGTTGATGTCATGTATATCTAGATAAAAGTTTTCCAGCACACTGATGTAAAAATATTGTCTCGTGATTATGATGGGTTAAGTTGCGTACTTGTATATTTTGTTTCTTTTTAATTATGTGTGCTTTTACTTTCAGCAACAACTGTTCAAGTTCCAACAATGTTATCAATGTACTTAAAGCTTCATGGTTCTGCAAACAAAGTTAAAAAAGTCGACAAGGCGTTCAAGAAATCGATAATATGGCTAAAAGATACCGATTGGTTAAATATTTCCATACAAGCATCTTCTTACTACAGGTCCAATATTGACAATTCAAAAAGACCAAATTATATAACTAAATATTATATTGGTGTTGAAGAACAAAATATCGTTTTGACTTTATTACGAGGTAATTAAAGTTCTGTCATAATGATATACAGTAAATCCTCGCAAGAAGGTAGGACAGTCTTATTATTTAATATTATACACGTATATATATATATGTTGTGCGACTTTCGGAAAATGTAGCATAATAAAGAAAAAAGATTTATTTGATCCAGTTTATGATTTCTTTAAAGCGATATTAACAAATTATAAACCAAAATTTATCATTTGAAATAAATCAGATCATATGCAAATCTCATATTTACATAGTGATTATTACGTTTTATGATACAGAGTGCCATAAAGTTTTGTTTTGTTTTTGTTTTGATTGGGTTTTACGTCACATCGACATAGTATAAGTCATATCGCGACGTTCCAGCTTTACTGGTGGAGGAAGACCTCAAATGCCCTTCCGTGCATTATTTCAGGCACGAACGGGCACCTGAGTAGAACCACCGACGTTCCGTAAGCTAGGTGCCATAAAGTACAGTGTATAACATGTATATTGTATGTCAGTTACCTATGTCATTCTATTACAGATTGTCTCAAACGCTAAACATATAGACCTTCTGTTATTTTATTGAATTGATTTTCGTCTTATGTTACAGAACAATGTCTAAATTAGTTAAGATCATATATATTTAGGTATAATCTATTCACATACGGATTTTAAAAATAGATCGTGACTACCACACGATATCTTTATATATAATATATGCATCAGACTCATTCAATGTGTATACACACATCTACTTCCTGTGGTCGCACTGGATCATAAAGGCTGAATTGTGTCAGATGGCAATAATATATACCGTAACCGAAATTAAAAGATGCTGATAATCGCAATAACCCATACACACTGAATTGTATGCACTTAAAAGCAATACCTGATGTTATATATTTTTTCATGGGAAAATCATTTGTATTTATACAATTTTACAATTTTACAAACAGGTACAGAATACGGAGAATGGAACATAGACGGCGGTTGTACAAATTTTGATGAAACTTGTAGCAAAGAAATAAGAAATATATCGTTAAGTAGTATTGGTCCTTGGGGGAATATTTTAAACAATGGAGGCTTTAAACACGCCGACAAGTGAGTTTGATAATTTGCTTATCTTTATTTGAGGAAAATATTCGAAAATATATCAGTGTTAACATTGTATATAAATTATCTACAGTATTAGCTTTTCAAATAGCTTTTTTGTAAATATTTTCATTTTTGACGTCCTTTTTGGGATTTTATATCTTTATTTCAACCTTACCTTTTTTGGAGGTGTAGACGCCATAAAAGGCGCCCGTTAATTCAATAACAGATTGTAGAATTCCGATTGTTTAACACTACATTATTGTTGTGTTTGAGCTAATTTCAATTCCTTTTCTTTCATATTTTACTTAATTGGTAGTTCCATTTTTTCCTTAAAAAATAATGTTTAGTCATCATTTTGTTCAGACGTATGTCTTAAATATTTAAATGTTTGGTAAATTTCTAACAAATCTGTAGGGATGTCCGTGGCGAGTTATTAAGGTCGTTGACTTTAAAAGTCAAGTTTGTTAATGTAAGAGAGTCATCCAGCAAGTTAATGTAACGGCCGTAATTCTACTAATGAACATGACTGTGCTTGAAATAACGCAAAAATAGGCACCTTATGCGTTCCACTACAAGTAAAGCTGGCAAATCACCTCGTAATCATTACAGTCTTTTTGTCTCTTTCGCGATATTAAATGAATCTATATGAAATTGCATTATTCGAGTTGCTATATTCGACACGAAGCTAAGTATAACAACACGTTAACTAACATTTCGCGAAATGCACTACTTCGGAACTTTTGAACGACGAGTTTAGCGCATACCCTCTGTTGTTAACTCTGTGAGGGGGTCGGAGAATTTGTGTCGTTATAGAAAAACGTCATACAAATGTTACATTTTTTACAGAATTAAGTTCAAAGTGTCAGCAAAAAACGGTGGTAAAGTAACATATGAGGACAGAAGTAGTTTTACACAGCCATATGCACAAAAGCATTATTTTCTTAATGGTGTAGCTACAAACGAAGAACTTGAGCTTCATTTTGATGTATTTCCACCGGTTCACTGCTTTGAACAACATAATGACTGTCAGCAGGATGCATTAAACGTAACAGATTTTTTAACTCAGGTAACCAGCATTATTAAATGCATGATCCATTTTTACAAAATCATAATTACCTAATTTAACGAGAATTTCATTTTATCAAGTTCGCGTTTCCATTTCTAAAGTAACCATTTGCATGGTTATTTTGTTCAAACTATCCTACCTTGTTTGCAGCAGTCTGAAAGATACATTCCTCATAGTAACACTTAATTTGGAAATGTAACAGTTACAGAGAAAAGAAACACAAAAGTGAATAGCTTACGTAGTGGTGAAAATACATTTTTTAAAAATTTCTTATTAATGGTAGAATATCATAAATAGTCCGTTTATGGTGAGAAACTTTTATTTGGATTTATTTATGTGAGGCAACAATTCTGCTAGTTACTGAAATATCAATTGTTTTATTTAGGAAACACGCTATTGACCGAACTAAAGAACAGGGTAGGGACACCGGGGATTTTCTTGAAACCCGCTTAATGACATTTACTGTGTCAGTATGGCCTAAACGCATCAAACAAATTGCATAACTGAGATTGGATCAATTATTATATCTCTAACGCGAGCAAACATTGAACCTTTATCGAGCTACTAACGAAATATAAAAAGTATTTTTGATCAATTCATACGGCATCTTGCTTAGTGTAGTTTGTAACCGTCCTTTTTTTTTATTTTCAGCCCAAATTTACAGCATACTGGAATGGGTGGACTGATTCGGATTCTGGTATAGAAGAATACGAGTTTAATATCTATTATTTAGAAAATTCCCATGACCATAATTTTCTAGAACATAAACGCCTGCTATCGACAAACAGATTTGCACCATCGGAGGTATGTTTAGATCATAATTGGATAATTATGTTGATTGAATTTAAGGCAATCATGCGTCTGCCATTCTGACATGTTTGTTTAAGTACGATGTCGTCCGGCTCATATGAATATTTGTTTTAAAACAGTTTACCCATTTTCTTAAATGTTTTTTTTATAATTACTTTATAAACTTATGCATGACATCTATATTGTTCCATTTTTATTTGATTTTTGTTTATAAGTGACGTCTTATTTTAATTTTTCAGTCTAGTGCAACTCTAGACCTAGAAGAGCCCGGTCCATATTCAGTAGAGCTTATTGTACATGACCGTGCTAAAAATTATAAAGTTGCCAGAAGAATCATTCTCTATGACAATGCGTCAGTTGTTGATTTATACGGTAAACAGGCCAGAGTTGTTCAAGTTCAAGAAAACGGGTGGATAAATAAACATACTGAAAATATAGAAATTGTATGGCAAAATAGATTCCGAAATATTAGACATAGCAACGGTGGCTGGCTTAATGGAGTTAAAGAAACTGAAGATATTGTCACAGACCTTGATGATAGCAAAGGAAAGTCAGCTAGAACAATTGACAAACTCAATAACATCGATGGTAAAATTTGTAATGAACCTTTATTTCTAAGAATTTCAATTGCTGTAAACATTAGTCTTCAAATTTCACACAAGAACTCTCTAACAACGTCAAATTTTCAAGTTATCTACTCTGATGTATACTCTGTATTAAATAGGCAATTGATTATTCCCCGCTCAAAAGGCGGCGGATGGATATAGAAATAGTCTCCGTCCGTCCGTCCTTCCGTCCCACATTTTTTGTCCGGAGCATATCTCAAAAGTATTTGAGCTATCAACTTGAAGTGTAGTGCACAAGAATGATAACTCTACCTTGCATATTTGTACAGTTATTGCCCTTTGTTATATTTCAAACTTGATTTTTGCCCAGAACATAACTCAAAAAGCCTTTGAGATATCAACATGAACCTTCATAGGTGGATATTTCTTACTCAGGAGGTCCGATTGTGTTATAAATTTACAACGTGTAGATTTCACCAAAACACAAACATTTACCGACCTGGATCATTGAATTGCAAAGTATTCCGCGTCTGGGAAACAGAAATATCCGATGATTAAATGTGAAATGTTATAAGTACATGCAGTTATTTAATAAAATTGTCAATAAATAAGTGATTTGATATTGGCCCTGTTATTTGTCCTCGGGTCAGTCGTATTTTCCTTCGGCCAATACGACTGCCCTCGGACAAATAACGGGGCCAATATCAAATCACTTATTTATTAACATATAATACATCCCTATTAGTACTATTACCGGATAGTAACCTAAAGAAACGCTCTTACTCCTCTTACTCCTCAATTTTTCTTTTCTGTTATACATGTATATAGAAAGTTTAATCGACAGTCGCATGAGTTATAAGATGTCACGTTTTTGTTCGTGTTTAACATCACAATTCAGTGCAATATCTTTTAATTTAAACATTCAAATGGCAGTTACTTTTGTTTTCATTTTTGCAGTTTATCCCATTTACAATGTTTGTTTTCTTACAGGGATTGTTCGCTTTGATATTTCTCGTAAGGTTGAGATTAATGGTATATCATATAGTACCCCTTTCGAACCAGTGCCTGATTGCTTATTTAGGCTAGAAAGGATGGTTTACACCGATGAAGAAATTGTTGACGGAAAGAGGCTTACGTATTTTATTCGGGGAGTAGACGTTTTTGGAAAATTTGCTGAGGATAATGTATCAGCTATGATTGATGTTTCTCCAGCACTTATCCGAAACATATCGGTCAGGTTTACTGTAAGTGATCAAAGCGCGCCCAAAGAAAACGAATTGATGTAAGTAATAATTCGATTATTTCTTTCTGCGAATACCCCTTCAACACAATACATTCTGATTTAAACGGTAATAATTGTTAAAGGAACTCCACTGAGGTCCAATAGCCTAAAATAATAAATTTTGAAATTCTTTCTTAAATCAACTGGTACATTTAAATTTGAAACCAAGCAATAGATGATATATAAATATACACGGTATTAAATTGATAATCGATTTTTATGCGATTTTTGGCCGATTTGAGTGAAAAGCGTTTAAACGGTTTTCATTTATTGGGCCAATTTGCACAATAAAATTGATTATTTCTGGGAAACGGAGTGAGCGAATGATCTGAAATTTTGTACATGAGTTATTGGTCTAGACATACATCTAGTTATACTAAAGTCTTGAAAAATATTTCCGGTCTTTTCACTTCAAAAAACCTCAGTGGAGTCCCTTTAAGCTAATTTAACTTATTAAGCTATTTTATAAATATTTGCCAACATCGTATTATTTGCTTCACATTATTTTAACATTTAAATGATTCAGTATTATTTGAAATGGTAGAAATAATAGTAAATAGAAAAATTAAGTGCATTGCATACTGTATTTGTAGCATTGCTTTGAAAGCATTTGATTACCACAGTGGCATGAACAAGGTTTCCTGGAAAATATTTAACAATTCGACAAAAGATGCATCTATCAATCACGGACAGTCTCAAAAAGATTTAATAGGAGAGGTACTTGTAAGGAAAACAAAGGTATTTTATATAAACTTAGTAATCTTAAATGTTATCAGTCATTTTAAATGTTATCAATTACTTTACAATGGAAAATGTAAATGAACGTTGCTTAATTGGTCACATTGAAAATAGACCTTTTTTTAATTGGGTTTTTTTACTTTCATATTAAATGTTAATAGAGCATAAACCTGCGTTTGAGAGCGTAGATGTTAGTTTGCAATTACCATAACCATAAATGAACAGGTTCAATCAAATTGGACTCTATCAAATTGTACGTGTAACATTATTTTCATTTTACTAGTTGGGCATTTTATTATGATGTCCGTTGTTTTCTTTTCTACTGCCAAGAGACAACCAGTTATTTCAATACTTCATTCATGCACTGACATTTTAAGAATAACAAAGAGTGTTATTTCAGGTCATAATTGGTACTTCATTACATGCATGATTTTTTCCATTCTTATTTGATTTTTCCTACGTCAGACAATAGATGAATGCAAAGACACTGACACTGAGCATACAGATGGAACTAATTGTTACTGCACACCTTATAACGGATGTTATCATCGCAATATTCAAGTCAAAACGGAATTATCGAATGGAAATAAGGATGGCCTCAACAATGGAAGCACACCCGGGAACTTTGAATACTTCATAATGGTTAATGCTACCAATAACGCTGGTTTAACAACCTCCATGCAGAAAAAAGTAACATTTTAGAAATATCTGCCGATTTCCTATGTGCTATAATGGACAAAAATTACAGTTATTATATGTCTTATCTAACCAAGCGTTTTCTGAATTTATAAGAATCTCCTTTTTAATAACATCAGGTTTTGAAACCAAAAAACTGACGGTTAAAAATGAGAAATAAAACAATAAATGTGACAATATTTATACAACCTTTACACTATGTTCAAATATTCAAAATAGTTTAAGTTTCATTCCGAAACAGTTTAAAGTTTGTGTCTTATTGTATTGCATATTGTATTATATATTTTTGTATATCTGCTATCTTTATTTGCCATGCTACTTCATTTACTCTTATTTCAAATTACATATAACTGAAGGTTGAAAATGAGAAATAAAACAATAATTATTGTGACCTTAATTTTACAACTCTTACAATTCCGTTTGAACTAGAAAGAAATTACGAAATCAGGAATCATTCTGATATTCAAACTCTGAATTTGATTATTCAGTCTCCCATACCATTCAGTGTGGAACTCTCAAAATCTAGATTAAAAATTACCATTCTACTCCTGGAGATTATCTGAAAAATGATTTTGAAATTATGAATGCTAGACAATTGTGTTTAAAATGAATAAAACTAAATTGGTGTGTTTATTGAAGCACTGAATAACTTTTAGTTTTGTCTGAAGCTTTTGGATTATGTACATAATTAGTCGAATCAAACGGAATGACGTGCAGTGTATTTAGCTTCATTTCCTATGTATAATAAAATGGCATCCGTTATTAAATGACAGTCACTTTTAGCTACTCCTTTCAGACATTTCTTGTTAAAAGAACATTTCTCTTTGGCATAGAAAATCATAAATAAGAAACTCATTCTGTCTATTTTTATTTCTATATATGCATATGCTTGAATAAACTATACTCATAAGATGCAGTGTTCAATTTGTTTTTACCAAGCACCAATTGAGTTTTTTAGCGAAAAATGGTTTGGTCTACAATGGGCACATTTTCCATAATGATCAATTAAAACATAGAATAAAAACAAAAGACACTTGTAAATCAATTGGATATTCCTATAAAATATGGTAAAAATGTTTAAAAAGTTCTAAGTGATTAAGAATGAACAATAATAAATAATATTTTCTTTTGTTCTAGAACATTGTATTATCTACTATATAAATATATGTATCGGATCATGTATCTCTTGTTACACTTGCCAACAACTACAATGTATAATTATTTCGTAGAGTTGTGTTATGTCCAATACTACGTTCCATTATTTTCTTGCATATCAGACTGGCGTTTCCGTTAGTTTTACCCATGCCGGAAATTTCATCTGGCATGGGGGGTTCCAGATGAGTCGCGTGCTGTACAATTGCACGATAAAGATGACGTCATTTTACCGTTATGAATGATTTTGTAATTCATACGCTGTTGAATGAAAGTAGTTACGGTAGTAATGATATAAATTTTCATAGAAAATAAAGATAAAGAATTAAAAATATAATGGAATATGGTAGAACATGCAAGAAAAAATATCTGACATATGTTTGCGGTTCGGATCGGAATATCCGTCCCTCGGTCACCCGCCCATGGGCGGTAACTCGGCAAGCCTCGTTACCGCCCAATGGGCGGATCACCTCGGGACGGATATTCCGATCCGAACCGCAAAATATGACAGATATTATTAGTCCAATTCATTGTAACATAATATTGTTACATAGTTAAGATATAGTCGGAAACTAAGAGTCTTTCAATGCCTTTAGCCACAATTAAGTCAACATGATGTCTTTCAGTTGTATCCGCATTAACGAAATGCAGCCAAACTATATTTGTACTTTTGTTTAAGATATAATTGACGTTCATCAAAGTACAATTGTCAAAAACGTAATACAAATCAACAACAAACAAATGATCTTCAAAAACAGCAAGTTATGAAAGCGTTTAGGAAGAAAGAAAGATATATGAAAACCAGGAAAATATGTCAGATTTTTAAGTTTGTTTCAGTTGACATTACATTACGTGTATTGTAAAGAAGTTAGTTCAAGGACGTGATCTTCGTTTGTTAGTTTTACCTCAGTTGAATGACAATTGTTTACTTCGTAAGTTAAAACCTAGATCTGCAAACCGCAGTACAGCTATGGACAACTAAGTGTACACAGTGTGCAGATTCTCATTCAAAAACAATTAAGCCTTTACTGTTTTAAAACTTAAATCAAAAAGTAACATACTCATAATGAAAGGCATACCATTACAACTGTTTATCATTCTAAGCTTTCTTAATCTAAGGTAAGCAATTTTTATTATCATACAAGGGCCATTTATGTTGTTGGTTTTATCTAAATATACCTTTGCTGTGTTTCTGTTCTTGGAAACCATTGCACTATTAAAACAGTAACCAAATAATTCGTATTTCTTCAACGGTCTTTATTTTATTTTTGAATATTTATTCATTTCTTTGTAAGTGAAACGTCAAAAAATATTGTTTTACTGAGAATGAAAAATGTATGATTTGTTTATATATTTTTTTAAATATACTTTCATTTTTTTACAATTTTAACAGACAGAATATAGATAATGTCAAATAAAGTTAGTATGTTAAATCTATCAAATATAGAACACATGATTGTGTTCAATAACACATTAACGACGCGCCGAGATAGTTTTTTGAAAATTAACATTGTTTTGTCTTGCAGTCCTGTCGCATGCTATATTAATTTCATTATTATCATCATCATCATCATCATTATTATTATTATTATTATTATTATTATTATTATTATATTGCCATAAATGATTTTCCTTAAATTATACAGTTTTAGATATTGTTGCGTCATAATACTTCGACAGATATATTTATATTATGTGACTGGAATACAAAATGTAACACTGAATTATTTTTATTTTCGCGTTAATCACTGTCCTCATGTGCTATGATAATTTGAAATAGCGCACTGTTTCTTTTGACATGTCTTAAGGTCTTATTCTGATTACATGCGATAAAAAATAAAACAGAATTTTTTATCCGTGTCATTCCATATTGCGTTCATTTATTTATTTTTTTATGTTTTTTTTTTTATGTGATAACATACCCAGTCTATTCTCGTTTAGCTCAATTTTACTTTACTCGTTTAAAATGAGTGTTGCCTTAAAATCAATTTTCTTGAACAACTTTTTTCCTCATAGCATCATATATTAAACAGTTAAAAACAACTTTTATCTTGACTGAAAAACGACTAATTTGCTATTCTTACATCTAAAATAAAACCAGTATCAAACTGGTCCGCTTTTTAGTTATATATTTGTTTACCGTGAACGTGAGCCGGCACAAGAACCAAAAACAAAAAACAAGTAAACAAGTTTACAATATACAATTTCATTCATTGGTCACCCTCGTTTTGAATGTTATCTTTAAATAAAAAAAGTAGAGCAAAATAAATGAGGGTACAGCACGCAAGTATTTGACAAACTGAATATAACATTTTAATTCTGATATGACACTTTAAATTATGTTCAAAAGTTAGAAATTGAATCATTTTGTACTTTATTACAAAGAAAAGAAATATACATTGCATTTAATATACAACGCAGTCTGAAGAACGGTTATTATTATTATTATCATTATTATTATTGTTATTGTTATTATTATTATTATTATTATTATTATTATTATTATTATTGCTGTTGTTGTTGTTGTAGAAACCTAAAGTTGAAAATGTATATCTGTTGATATTAATCCGGATTTCGGATTGGTTATTATAATTTAACATCAGGGGACATTATTTTTAAATTGATTATTATATATATGTGATTGTCGGACATATTTGCAATCATAAATGCACCGAAAAAAATAATTTATTGTATTTTGGATGTGAAATGTATGCATTCGTTATACATTGTCAAAGATTGAACCCTCTGTTTCTGTTAACATATAAAACTAAGTGGTAGAACTACTTTTAATCCGTATTAATTCCGAGGTTTTTATGTATAATAGCCCAGGTACAAGAATGTACTCAGATTGGGGAAAAACAACCTCATTTTCTAAGGGTTAATGTGTCTTTAATCAATTACTTACAGATCAATTCTTAATTATATTTTTTTTGGGAAAATATCAGATCAGTCCTTTAAATTCTATGAAAATATTAGTTATTTGTCACAACTACATGTATATAAAATGCATGATTACTGCAAAGGCTATTTTAGAATAGATAAATCGCCAATAATCTGTCCAAAAATTTAGGGTTTTTACACGCATTTATTTTATCATAACAAAGCACTTAAAACGATATATGACATGGTAATAATAATAAAAATAAGGAAATTTATTCATGTTGTAAATCTACATTCACATAGTTATATACATGAATAAACAAATGAAAATATCTTGTCATTGTTAGGCTCTAATAAAACAAAAATTGTATTTATACTTTGTCGAGTTTTAACAATCTGTTGAATTACTTATTTTATAATTGTAATACCAACATTTCAAACATGTCTTAGCTTTGACTCTTTGAGTCTTGCTTGTATGCTTTGTTGTTAAAGAGTTATTTTGTATGACTCGAGCAAAAAGGTTAACACGTGTAGTAGCAGACTTAAGATTTCGCTTATTAAAGACAGTCCAGTGATTGTTTCGCAGAGAAAATGTAACAAATTAATAAGAAGTCACAAAGTAAATTTGTATTAAGATACATTTTATTCTTTAACGGTAGTATTATTTTATCATTTGACATTTTTAGAAATGAAAAATGAGTTCAAATTTCGTTTTTTCATCTTATTTCGTATTGTTTCTTTCTGAAGCAAAAATTGTAATAATCAAGTAATGCTCGTAGCTACAATATAAAGATAATGCAGTTGTCTAAAAAGATCTTCGTATGACTCAATTAACGAAATGTTTGTTGCAGATACCTTAAAAGCATTGATATAATAATAAGTAATGCTCTGACATCAAACCAAGTACTACAACATTCTATTATTTCATAAAAGCTCATAGAAGAGCGTAATAAGGTGTATGCAATAAATCCCATCATACATAACGGTCAACTGGACTATATTCGGTCCATTATCGAAATGAGATCCCATTATTGAAATGAGAGCCCCTGATAAACCCCTTTCGTTGCCAAGAAAATAGTTTTTCATTCAAACCATTACTGCGTACTAAGGGCTCAAGTTAGTTACCTCCATTGACTATAGGGTCATTTCCCTCGGTTAAAGTCGGGGCATCGGCAGCTGGTTTACATACTTAACCCTTGTTTCATTATAAGCGATAGAGAACGAAAACTAAGTTTGAACCAATGCTTGGAATCCCCTGCCGATACTCTATCTCACTCAACGAAGCACACATGCTGTGGAGACGAGAGTGTGATTTCATGTGTATAAAACTTAAAGTATGTTTAGTTTAGATATTTGCACATATTAAGTATATTCATCTTTATGGTTTGATTTTACTTTGCACCCTCCACAACTTATGTCATATAGCGCCGAAATGGGAAAGTTGTTTTTGGCTAATCTTAGGTGTTACAAACTCTCTTACTGGAGCTTAAAGATGCAAATACTTCAGATATTCTAAACCACTTAGTCGCCTCTAACGGTCTCGCAGCAATAATCGGTGGCCTCAACTTTTTGCTGATAATGAGATTAACTGTGACTGTGGGAACGACACTGTTTATCAGTCAATTTGCATGGTGAATCAAATTAAACTGATATTTCAGATAATACAAAATTGGTTAAATACACATGTTATTTAATCAATCAGCCATATGAGATTTGAAAATATTTAGCCCGGCAAAAAAGCGACTAGCTTAGGTTCTATCATTTATTACATTTCAGATCAGAAGCTGGTTCGTGTTATAGATACGTTCAGAGGTCGAAAGAAGTTTGTACTGGTTGGTGGTCACGTACCTGTAGAACAAAGTAACTTTTATTATAAATGAATTGATAGCTTGCTTTATGCACAGTTAATCGTTCACTGATATTGTCATTCACTTTTTTTATCATGAAATAATTATTTCATTACCGTTTATATGTAGATAGATATTAAATATTTTGCCAATTTTTATATAAAATCGGTTGCTAGATGTCATAACATTTCCAAACCTCTGGATACTGGGTCAAGTACTTATTAAGCAGGCAACTGTATCTGTTATCTCTTTCAAAAAACTTACTAATAGATAAAGGATTATTATTCAAGTTTTCTTTTATAATTACCGAATTTATTTTTATTGAGTGGAATAAAAGTAATATATCATGAGTAGCGGTAGAGATATGATTTTGACATCACAAAAGTGCGTGTATTGGCTGAAATTAGAAGACAGTAGTCTGTTAAGGCACCGGTAAAAATACAGAAAATATGTTTTACTGCAGTGAAAAATATTTTTTACAGTGAATATAAGGAAAATGAAAATACACCTTTTATTTCATCACTATTTCTCAATATTTCATTCATAGGTATATGATGATATATGATATACATTTTCAACTATATTCATGCTGTAACGTAATTATTTTCGATCTTGAAATATGTCTGTGCCTTCCCTCACACATCAATAATTTTGCGTTAATTCTAAATTATCATAAAGTATAATGATAATTTAAATAATTAACATAGAACCAATTTTTGTCTGCAACATGTTCATTTTAAAACACACAGTATTTTTTAACATAGAAAAGGTATGTTTGTTAAGCATGTAAGCAAATAAGACATGTGGTCAGGTTATTGTGACTGACTTTGACCTAGTAACCGAATAATCAATATGGGTTATCTACTGGTCATGATTAGTCACTAGGTAATTGTGACCGTAAAGGTTGAGTACAGCAATTTTATGACAAAGTTAAAACAAATCTAACCAAATGATCTATGCATAAATTTTATAAATCATATAGGCCTCCTTAATGACAGCCAATTTGTTATATTACATTATACTTGAAATGTGTATACCAAAAGCATATTAGGTAAGGCTCCATGAGTTGCTGAGATGTTGATCAGAAAGCGTTTTTAATTATAATGTCAATGTGATCTTGACCTCAGACCCATTAACCCCAAAAATCCATTGAGGTCATATTCTGAAGTTTGAAGGTCCAGTGTCCATGGGTTGTTCGGTTGTTCAGTTATTATTGATAGGAAGCTATTTTGACATACAATGTCATTAACTTGCCAAGACCAATTCACCTACGAGTTTGAGAGCAAACAGCCCATGGATTGTCATGTTATTGATCGGAAACTGTTTTTACCTACACGTGCAATGTGAACTTTGACCCCTTGACCCAAAAATCAATAGGGTCTGTCATCTACTGGCTAATACCGATGCACCTTTGCAGTTTTAGGGCAAAGTGCCCATTGGTTGTCAAGTTATTGATTGGAAACTGTCTTTACCTACAAGGTCAATATTACCTTGACTTTTGTTCCAATGATCTTAAAACAATAGGTGTCATTTACTGACTAAGGTAAATGCACCTGTGCATTTTGAGGGCTAAAGTGCCATGGGTTGTCAAGTTATTGATCGAAAACCGTTTTTACCTACAGTGTCAATATGATCTCGTCTTTTGACTTTACCCCAAATCCATAGGAGTCATTTACTTGCAAAAACCAACCCAACTACGAAGTTTGAGGGTCAACAACTGATGGGTTGTCAAGTTATTGATTGGAAACCGTTTTTACCAACAAGGTCAAATTGACCTTGGCCTTTGACTACTTGACCCCAAAATCAATAGAGTTTATTAAGTGGTCAAGACCAATGCACCTGAGCAGTTTGAGGGGCAATGACCCATTGGTTGTCAAGTTATTGATCGGAAACTGTTTTATCTTCTAGGTCAATATAAAGTTTGATGTTCCTAGGCATCATAAACCATTTGGTCTACGGACCGACAAACAAATGCAAAGCAATATACCCTCTCTTTGAAGGGGGGCACAATAAATATTTGATTTATTTTCCATTGTTGTGAATATTATTATTTTGTTTGTGCAAGCAATTACTTCATATGCGTCATATGTAGCATGTCCATTGTTCCATAAATAAGTGAAATCTAATTCAATATTCAACAAATCTCTAACAGCACTTGATCACTTGTTTAATAAAACATGATTGTCATTTTTCAAACTATAAATAAGATACCGGTATATATGGTTGTCGTAATTCCTGTACAAATAAATATTTGATCTTATCTGTTTGTAAACAATTAATGACCCTTTAACGCAAATTTTGTTATCGTTTAATATCATAAAATGATGCTCAATTGTAGATTTATCAATATTGTCATTATTTGTATAGATATTGTAAACCGACTTTAACATTTCATGTAAATAAAGGGTGGTATTTATAAATTTATTTTCGTTAAATGTTAAAACCTGTTGTTTTTTTTTAAAATGAATGCATTTTGTCATCGTTTAATTATAATGTATATAAATGTTTGCTGTATGTATTTAACATATTTTTGGATGTTTGGAAATTCTTTTAGAAGAATAATTATAAACATATATTTAACCTTAATTACATCATACAGGATCATTAATCGAAATCTTCCTAATTTTATATTCACTGTTGTAGAAACATTTTCTTCATTATACCTTACAACAATATCAAAAATTTCAAATTTACCCTCGCAATAGCAAGAACTATACGTTGTTTTAATTTCAATGTAGGAAATGTCATGGCATCAATCAATATCAATTTATCTAATATCTGCAAAATAATATTTATTTTTCAAATTTTTCATTTAAAGAGAACAAAGCTCTAAAAGTCTTATTTGCAATGATACTTTTACTCGATAAAAACAAAACAAGAAAAAAACACGAAAGATAGCTTTGACATAAAATTACCTGCCCGACCGCCTTTGATAAATATCATTCTTAAAGTTTTAGTGAAATTCCATACTGATCACTCCTATGAAGTTTCACTAAAAACCAATCAGCACTTTAAACCTGTGAAAGCCGGACAAGATTCTATTTATAGCTCTGGTGGTCATGTATGCAGCGGAGTGGAACTTTCTGGCATTATGCACAACTTAGGCTTCTGTGAAGTGTCAATGAAATCCTACCAGCACTTTAAACCTGTGACAGGCAGACAAGATTTTTCTGTGTATATATTTAATGGCCATTTCTGTGCAACTGAGCGAAACGTGCCGGCGATATGCACGTAGAAATGGTACTCCATTGAGATCCGACCAGCAGTTTGAACTGTGAAAGCCGGACAAGAATTTTCTATTCAAGTTTCATTGAAATCCCACATGCTGTAATGCCTGTTAAATCAGGACAAGATTTTTCTATTTATAGCTTTGGCGGCCAGCTTGTGCTGTGAAGCGGAATATGCCGGCTATATGCACATGCAGGGATGGCACTGATCACTCCTTGTGTTGTTTTAGTTAAAACCCAAATACAGTTCAGCCAGTGAAAGCCGGACAAGAGTTTACTATTTATAGCTCTGGTAGCTAGCCATTTTGTGCAGAGGAACAAACGTCTCGACAATATGCATAACTATAGGCGTGGTACGGATCACTTCTGTGAAGTTTCATTGAAATCCGGCCAGAAGTTTAACCTGTTAAAGCCGGACAAGATTTTTCTATTTGTATCTCCGGTGGCTATTTTGTGCAGCAGAGCGAAACGTGCCGTCGATATGCACAACAAGGGATAGTACTGATCCCTGCTGTGAAGTTTTATTGAAACCAGCAATTTGACCTGTGAAAGCCGGACAAGATTTTTCTATTTAATGCTCTGGTCGCCATTTTGTGCGGCCAAGCGGAACGTGTGGGCGCTTTGCACAACTAGGGCTGGTATTGATCCCCCTTGTGAAGTTTCATTGAAACCCCTCTAGCAGTTTGACCTGTGAAAGCAGGACGATATTTTTCTATTTATAGCTATGGCGGCTATTTTGTGCAACGCAGCGGAACAAGCCGGTGATGTGCACAACTAGGGATGGTACATGTACTGATCACTGCTATGAGGTTTTACTGATATCCCCCAGCGGTTTTGGAGATGAAGCGCGGACAATATGTTTCTATTTATAGCTCTGGTAGCGATTTTGTGAAGCGGAGTGGAACCATCTTGTGATGGTACTGATCACTCCTATGAATTTCGCTGAATTTTCCACAGCGGCTTAATTGATGTCAAAGCACAAGGACAAGATTTCCGGACGGACCGACGGACCGACAGTATGATTACTATATGCGGTCTTCTGGGGCATAAAAAACATAAGAAGAAAGAATTTGATTGGTAAATGTTTTTAAAAACTTCTTGTGTGTGTATTAGCTAATCCATCCAGGTTTTATTTTTTACATATTGTAATGAATTCTTTTATAATAAGAAAATATATATCAATTTTGTGTTAAACTACATGGAGCGTAGAGGTAATTTTCCTGTGGTCATTTGGTTTATTGACGGAAAACATGACGTTATATGACGTGTAAGCATTCGTTTTTTTTTTTTTTTGCTTTGCATATATCAAATTCATTACTCAATCTGTTGGACATGCGAATAATGCGAAGCGTGTTAGAATACTTATTTAAATTAAACAACAAAATTATTTAGAAAAACCTTCTATAGTTTATCACACTTACATTAAACTTGTCTTATTTACCATTTCAGGTATCACAGTGAAAGAATATGTTGTTCTCATTACAACGGGGCCTTATGCTCAAACCGTAAATATGCTACAAGATCATATCTATGACCACATATAATCAACATTTATATTTCTTACATATTTTCATATAACTCAATTACAATATCATTTGTGCTCTATTATTCTCTATAATGACGACATGTTAAATGTTGTTTTGTTTCCGGGGAGTGGTGGGTGCGGGGAGAAGCATGTCCGGAGCCATATGAATCATTTCGATTTTTTGTACCAAAAATAAAACTAAATGAGTGTACATAAATAACTTTTATTAAGACATGCATTGTTTAAGGAATTTCCAGTTTTTAGCTAAATGTCATCTGATAAATAAGTCATTTTCATATCTTTCTTAAGCAAAATGCCGATATGGATATGGTGCAAATACTTGTAATAAAAACTTCGAGGGCTATGTTAAATACAAAAATGGTAATGTGGTGAGAAACAGTGGCGGGGAATGCTATGCACCATTTCGGTGCAGAAACTGCAATAAAGGATATTACCCTGTTACCACATACGATGGATATTGCAAAGGTAGTCTTTTTAAAATATAATTATAAGTATGTTTAATTCTTTTAAATTTGTTTCCCAGTTATGTATATAATCAATGAACGATATCGAGAAATGTAAAAGTCCTAGTTAAAATTCACTTGCATTGTTTTAATTGTATTGATTATTAGTATTAATTTTGTTCTTTCTAGCGTGTTATAAGCCTACAAAATGCAATCTACCCGTATGTACATCATGGAGTAATTATTGGTGTGAGTATTGTGAAGAGGAATATATTAGGTTAAAGCCAGGCTATAACGTTTATTCTGGGCTACCAGATAACAAAAAATGTCAAAGTAAGTTGATATACATTTATTTACATTGATATTTTGTTGTTTTATTACAAAAGTTTCAGAGAATATTCCAGTTAGTATCGGAAGACCTTCCAATATATTTCTTTATTGGACGTTGAATGATACAATATATCTTGAATATGATAGTATGTATGACTTTTTATCTGTACCTTTCGGATAAAAGATATTTACAACAATGATATCTGTTTGATAACTGACACATGTCCGAGCTATTTACTCGTTCCGTGAATAATAAATTTGGATGTACAGTGAAACAAACTTACGAAGAGTATATGATGCCGACACATTTTGAGTTTCTTTAATATAACTTTCCTTGCCTATAATGGTCTTTCGGTCTTGTACCCGTTTACATGTATTCGCGTACTGCATCGTTAAATGTTGGATAATCAATAAGTTGACAATCTATGTCCACTTACATTTTGAATTTTTTTATATTTATTACTGACGATTTCTATTTCTCTTAGTAGACTTTCGTATTCACATATTTGTAAGCATGGGTAACAACCTAAAATGTATATATTAACTTTCCTACTTTATTTGCCATGTGGTTACGATCACTGACATCGAATAACCTTTCTCGCACTTGTGCTAGAAGTTTCTAACACCAGTATTGTTCGTTGACCATGCCGACGCCACTTCAACTCCAACATACATATAATGATAATACAAAAATGATAGTAAGATGACTAGTAAACCATGCAGTTATTTATACCTACACAGGTTCCTTAATTAGATAGCACATTCAATTTTCACTACCCATTTGATTATGCAAACAGAACTAAAATAGCGGTGCTAGTAAAAAGTGATGTGTATGTGTATTGAGCATTTATTCCTACGTGATGACGAAAGGGTGGTGTAACACCGTGTTAATTAGCTCATTATGTAACATTTAAAGATTTGTCTACCTTGGCATAATTGAAGAAACACCAAATTAAAAAGAGTAAAAAGTCAAGTCAATTTCTATTTCCGAGGTACTGTGCCAGTTCGTTTGAATTGGTAAAAGAGAAAAACTGTAGACATTTTCTATCGACTTGACTCTTACATTATGTACCTTCTACCCATTGATAGAAACACTCTGATTGTTACTAAACAAGAACTAAAGAAAGATCTCTTCTTGTTCTTTTCACAATTTTATGTTTCATGACACACACACACTTTGTCATTTATTGGAACCGATTGTCACTGATTGTGTAAGACAAAGAATCTACATATTTGATTAATGGATCGGTTTGTCTTGCTTAACTTGTTTAAACGGAACCAGTCATGCGGAATTTCCTCAATGTTATATCAAACCTTTGCCTATCTTACATTCTTTTAGACATAATTTAATATTGAATATACGCTACATATTTCACTACTTAATAACAAATTTACTTGAAATGATGAAGTTCCATTGAAAAAGATGATGTCTCTTCACCACAAAACTTAATTTTTTTTTGTTTGTAATAATTAACAAAGAGAATGTTTATACTTGTAGAACAAAATCAAATGTGACATCTGACATCTACATTCTTTATTGGACTAAGCCAACTGATATGTTTATAAAAAATACATTGTATAACTTTAATAAAGTAATGTACTATATTCATTTGAAAGGATTTAAAAAAGACTCAGAACCTAATTTTCAGTCGATAATACTAAATAGAATTACGAATTTCTAAAATTAAACTGTCAAAACACTTTCCGTATTAATTTTTACATATGCATATTTGCTCATTCGGTCAGTCTTTTATATATTTTGATATTAGAATTATTTGTTTAGGGACTTGTTCTTGGAAGCCTGGTGCAAGGTGCTTTCCCGGTTCTTGTACAGGCAACATGATACTGGAAAATGACTGTCAGTGTGCCAGAGGGTTTTCGTCGAAGTACAGTGATTGTTCGACCGGTATGTATACGCTCTTTATATCAAAAGTAAATTTTTCTTTCTTCTACCTGGGTATCTAAATATTGAGCGAAACGTTCATGTTCTTTATTTTCAAACTTACGCAGATTAAAGCGACATTCAGCTTTACTAAAGGTTAAATATATTATATTTGAATAAATTGTTTCGATTGATTGTAAAATCTCAAGAATTAAGGCTGAAAATTAAATTTGCCAACGAAAAAATACAAAAACAATAAGGAAAATCCTTGCCAGATTTAGATTAGTAAAGCAAACGATTCTTTCCCCGATTGTCCAGGACACCGGCGCATTATAAATACAGTAGCTATCAGGAAGCTTAACAGTGATAAGATAAAATTACTGTTATACTTAGTTAGAAACAACACAAAATTGGTTTTTCAGGCAGATAATATAAGCAAAAAGGGGCTTTAAAAAAATTCATATGTTTTAGTAGATGGATTTCAAAGCATTTGTTTAAACAAATGCATTTTATTCTTTTGAAACTGGAAAACTTTATGTAAATGTTCGTGAAATCATAAAAATTCCCTTAAGACATTAAAGATATTTGGTTTTATTTTAGAATGAAAAATCCTACCATATCTTTTTAATTTCAGCGACATCTGAGAAAAAACCAACGATAAAACAGTTGTACTTTAAGCTTCATGGCCCCTTAAACAGCATAAAGATAGTCGACAAGGCGCTTAATACAACAATATTTTGGACAAAGGACGTCATGTGGTCAATTATTTCTTTTGAGGCTTCTTCAAACTACGTACCAGAGATTGACAGTTCGAAAAAACCAAATTATATTACTGGATATCATATTGGAATCGCAGAACTTAAGATTCATTTAACTTTATCAAGAGGTAAATAGCTGCAGTATTGGTATGCATAATGTGTAGGTTAAATAATGATGTTTTTGATTCAGCAAACTTTACTTTTAATTTTCACTGGACATTTCTGATAAATAATTATTCTTATTCTCATTAATCACAACGTCTCTGAATTATCGAATGCCTGAAAATGATCAAGAAATACTTTAGTGACAGTAACAGATAAAATTTTGGTAATAGGCTTCTATATTGTTAATTCAAAATGATCCAAATTTCCTTGAAATCGATTCAATTCAATGGATATGTTATTAATAAAAGAATAATTAAACGCAATAAATAAACATGCTATGGTGCACTATATTTATTAATACTTTTCAGTAAATATATGATTATTCTTGCACATAAAGTGAAATGCGTATCACTATTTGAACTCGAAAAAACTAAAAGGACCTTTTGCGAAAAATATTTTTCAAAAAGGTAATATTAAGTCGTAAAAAGCAAAATGTATTTCGTAAAAGACTAATTATATTTCGTAGCATAGGGTGCAGTAGTGTTTTGCAGCTTTTAACGTCGGTACATTCTGTGTTATTCTATTATCTTACAGATTATTATCACTTATCTAAAGATTTTCAATTTGAACGTTCGTGTCACGGATATCACTTCAGGGCTACCGTGCACATACGTATTTTACATTGATGGTATAGATTGTTAAGGGATAAATACTTCGGATCTTAAGATAGATCATGCTCTATAAAGATTTTTAAAAGTTTCGTTTGTTCTATTCTTTTTTTTTATTAAACTTCATAATTTTATCATAAATGACTATTTATGTCACTTTTGACAAAATTAATGTTACTCAAAACATACATAACGGACAGGTTCTGATTACGGTGAATGGACAATAGATGGAGGTTGTTCGAACTTTGATGAAAATTGCGACAAAACAATTACAGATAAAGTAATAAGTAGCATAAGCAGTTGGAGAAAGATTATGTACAATGGAAACTTTGAACACGGTGATAAGTGAGTTTGAAAAAGAATATTAAATTGATCTTGATTATGAATATTTTCAAACTGATATTAAAAACATGTATATATACAGCTTCGGAGAATTATGTCATGAATTCTCATACCTATTTTATATTTATCATTACCGTCAGACAAGTGCTTTTGAAGTATATATTGTTGTTTTGTCTTAATGCTTTGTTACATCTTTCTAAGTTATGCATTGTCTTCTAATCCTGGCCAATTCTCGTTTATTCAGATCCATTTAAACGCTGGTGTAAATGCTGAACCTTATTAAAACTAATGATCATGAAATATTTTCCTTTTTGCCTTATTGTTGACTGCTGTTAAGTTATAAGTGCTCCTGAGTGATACAATTATTATGTTCATATGTGAAATTACATAAACATTAAGAATAGAAATTGAAATATCAATGAAGTTAATTCTCATTTAAAGGATCAAGTTCAAAGTGTCAGCTAAAAATGGCGGCAAAGTTGAGTATGAGTACAGAAGTACTTTTACATTTCCGTATAGGAAATACCAATATTATCTCAATGGCATAACGGCCAGCAAAGAACTCGAACTCCGTTTCGATACATTTCCACCAACACATTGCTTTGAACAAGACGATAATTGTCTGCAGGATCCTTTACAAGTAAAAGACTTTTTAACTGAGGTAAATAGCAGTTTAATTATAATGTGAAATATTTTTGGAGCTATCTTCAATAATAAATTTTATAAGTAAGTTTTATAAATAAGTTTTACTAACGTCATGATATCTTTTTCTGACCTGAATCATTTTGACAAATTAACTATGCCTTAACATATAAGAATACATATTCAGTACATGTCACTCTACCCGATAAACGGAAATTACAAAAAAAAATAATAATAGAATAATCAAAGTAATAACCGATAGCTGCTATGAGAAATGATCACACTTTTATAAAATATAAATGATATCCTTCATGTTTGTTTGATTAAGTTTCAAGTAATTTGTTTAAATATTTTTAAAGTATTTTGCAGTTGTAATCATACTACAAATTTAATCATACTCTATGTAAACCATAGTTGTTCACTTATAACGTGTGATACAGTAATGATAATTTTAACGTAGCTAGCTAACGAAATGTCATCAATTCTGTTCAGGCACCCACTGACGCTTGAAATAAGGTACTTCGGACACCAAGGTTTCCTCTTCCAGACCTCTATAGCGTTAATGTAGCATACCAATTCTTAAATGAATATTTATGGAGTCAAATCAGCTCTAAATGAGTCATTTCCTAATCATGGTTAGAATTTTTCCACCTTGTTCTTTATATAAAGTCTAGATCGGTTGACGATAAATGTTTTTGACCGTTTCTTTCAGTCCAAATTCACAGCATATTGGGCTGGGTGGACTGATTTGGATTCCGGTATAGACGAATACGAATTCAATATATATTATTTAGAAAATTCACTTGACGATAATCTTCTCAGATATAAATACATGTTAACGCCAACGAGATTATCATCATCTCAGGTATGTTTTAAAGTTAGCAATGATAATCCATAATTTGATAATTATATAATGTTGATTAAACATTTTAAGGTAATTACACATTTGTGTAAATTAATACAAAATATGAGCCTTGTATTGTACAATGATTGTTTCAGAATAACATCGTCCGATTCGATTTTATTTTTTGAAACTTCAAGACAGCATTATAGCTTCTTTTTATTTTTGCTAAATCAAGTCTTACCAGTTCATGTTAAATGTTGTATTCTGCTTAAGCCGGTGCTAGGGGGTGTAGACGGTAGTTTGCACTTGACAGTACCATCCTTGAACAGGCTCAATCAAACACAGCCTGCAACATTTTCAATTTTGCCGCGTTGGGCTTTCTTTAGGGATTCTTATTTCACTCGCCACATCAGCGTTGTTTGTGCCGTGTGGAGGCTGTAAAAAGTCGCTCCGTACATTCAATCAGGAATGTTATATTTCCAATCCTTTAAGATCGTTCAGCACGACATTATGATTGTTCTTGTGGTATTTTAGTTCTATCTATTCGGATCTTTCTTGTTGGTGGTTCCAGTATTTCTCACTTGAATACTGTTAAATCACCCTTAGGATATGAGGCCTGCTTTTTAAATTTGTCTTTTGACGTTATATTTTCATAACCTCAGATCCCCTTTCAAAATACCATTTTATTTAGTTGTGCCCATTGTTTTCCCGTTTAAGGCACACGCATTTTTTTACTTGGGGACCATATGCCGCTTTTCATAGGATGGCACTAATGTGCCACATTGAAGGTACCATGATAACTGCCATATAAACATATTTGCGGATATTTCAAAATTCTAAATTTTACCGGTTCATGTTAAATGTTGAATTCTGCTTAAGCCGGTGCTGGGGGGGACGGTACATTGCACTTGATAGTACCGTCCTTGAACAGGCTCAATCAAACCTAGCCTGCAACATTTTCAATTTCACCGTGTTGGGCTTTCTTTAGGGATTCTTCTTTCACTCTATTTTATCATGTTTTGCGTTCAATATTGTATGTTTTGTACTAAACCTAATGGAGAAAGAAAAGCTTATTTTGAGCGTCTGAGTACAAATTCGAAATACTGTGAGAATCCAATCAACATTTCTGTAAAGTTGTGTCGTTTTCTTCAGTCTTCTGCAACACTGCACCTAGAAGAGCCTGGACCGTATTCAGTAGAGATAATTGTACATGACCGTGCTAAGAATTATAAAGTTGCGAGGAGAATTATTCTCTATGACAACGCGTCTGTTGTTGATCTATACGGTAAACAGGCCAGCATTGTTCAAGCTGATGAATCCGGATGGATAAATAAAAATAGCGAACAGATAGAAATTGAATGGCCAAATAGATTCCGAAATATTAGACATAGTAACGGTGGATGGCTTAATGGAGTACAAGAAAATGGTGACATTATTAAAGATCTCGATGACCGAGAAGGAAGATCAAGTAGAACAGTTGACAGACTAAATAACGTTAACGGTAAAATATAAATTAAAAAGCAAAGTAATGTGTTTCTAACCTTTAATTGATGTTCCCATGTATCTAACATGATTAAATCATCTTCTTGGGTTATTTATCATAATTAGCAAATGTCAAAGCATCAACGATCCAGAATTAATCGCTGGTATCTAACAAAGGTGTCCTATCATAATAATCAATGACACAGATATCTATTATATTACATAACAACTTTTTTCAAACTCAATTCTGTGTTTCGTATTGTTTCAACAACTTATTCAGATCTTTAAGTAAATTTATTTCAGGAATTGTTCGGTTTGATATTGCACGCAATGTTGAGTTTGATGGTAAATCAAATTATAGTGGATTCGAGCGAGTGCCTGAAGAGGTCTTCAAACTAAAAAAGATGGTTTATACTGATGAGGAATTTGTTGATGGAATGAAGCTAACGTATATCATTCGTGGCACAGATGCAGTTGGAGAATTTGCCGAGGATAACGTAACAGCTATGATAGATCTATCTCCACCAATAATACAAAATGTATGGCTCTCAAAGGGATACTGGGGCAATGCTAAAGCGTATAGCATTTTTGGACTTTATGAATTACTGTAAGCTATGACACAATTACTAGTTTGTCCAGTGCTAATGAAAAGTATCAATCAGCCATTGTTTGATACATTTTCTCGAAAGTATTAACAAGAAAAAAAGACAGACTTAAATCAATGTACTTTCTTACTTCTAGAAAACCTTAAGTTTTGTAAATAACTTTTGTTTTAATTTGGTAGAATTGACTGGAAGGCATTTGACTACCACAGTGGAATACACAAACTTTCCTGGAAAATATTTGAAAATATTACCAATACTGAAATCACCTTTGGAGAGTTTAATGAGCCACCAATAGGGGAAACAAAGGTATTTTGACATGAGTCAGCTTCTTTTAAATGTATCCAGCTTTTTAAAAGGAACACTTAATGCACCGTTGCATATGTTTGACAACTATAAGCCTCTGGAAACTAAAAAAAAAGTCATTTTGAATATCCACATCATTGTCTTTGGATTGTCTAATGTGATAATATTTATTGTAACACAATTGTTGTTTATAGTTTTCTTTTTTTTCTGTTAAGAAGCCATTTGTTTGTTTGCGAAACTTATATTATACAGATATTAGATTATTCTTTTTTATTTTACGATTGCAAATTAATTGTATTTACTAAGAATATAAAGATCATAACGTTTTTATTTACGCCAGACAATAGAGGAGTGCAAGATCACAGACACTGTGCATACACGAGGAATAAACTGTTACTGCTCGCCGTATAACGGATGCTATCATAAGCATTTTCAGGTCAAACCACTTATATCAGAAGAGAACAAAAATGGTCTTATCGGTGGATGGAAATCTGGAGACTTTGAATATTTGTTAGAGGTTACTGCTACCAATAATGCTGGTTTAACAACCACAAAACAGGCGAAAGTAAAACTATAAAATATGTATCTTGGACATGGGCCATCTTGGGTTTGACACAGTTCAACTAAAATGAATTAAATACTTTCTGTAAATAGCAGCATATCCTATCATTTTTTAAAGTAATAGTTTTATTGTCTATACTTCTCTTCGTTTTAATACGTAAATATTGCTGTAAAACATGAAGTGTCACAAATGTGATATTTCCATTCATAATTATCCAGAAGATGGGACATTTCAGAAAGTTATTTCGCATTATGTTATAAATATACGTCAAGTACTATTGTTACAGACTTTACTTTTATCAAATGGATTTCATCTTTTTTTTGAAATTTTGCTGTAATCAGACAATCATGGTCAAAATCAAATTTCTTACTTAAAAAGGTTTAAATGTTCGGTTCAGTTGCCAAACGTCTTACCGAAATAAGTGGGTGTTTTCATGTTTGTTTTTTTATTTGTTATATATTGTGCGTCTTGTATCTACACTATTACATATACATTGTAGTTATCATTTTAGCACCTTCGTTGACAGTCACCTATATTTTCAGGGACATAAAGGTCCGAAATGGAAAGAATAAAGGCGAGAAAAAAAAACACATAAAAACAAGCAAACAGAAACACGGTTAAACTTTTATTCTCACAAATCTAATTTTTGATATAATTGGTTTGCTTCAATGCCAACAAATTTGCTTAAAAAGCAAAAGTTTCAATTCCTATCGCAGAATCAGTCATATCAATATTTTGTTTCATTTTTGGGATGGTTTGATTGTCATTTATTTAAGACTAATAGAAAGCGTTTGAGTGTGTATATAATTTAAAACAAAAATAACAGTTGAAGGACAATATTTCGTAACAACTAGAATTACATCTTGCACCCTAATATTGGAAGAAAACATAAATTGAATTATAAAGTATGCATAGACACTTTTATCAAATTTCAAAATAAAAATGAGAGGTTGGTATGTTTGTTAAAAAAAAGAAAGAAAGATAATGAGTTCGATTTTGTTACATGTAAGTGATAGCGGGAAAAGTGACAAATATTTCCATAATAAGTTTGAAGATTTATCGAAATAAACAGTATAATGAACGTGTGTTTAAAGATGCATAATAATTAAATACTTACTGAAAATATTCATTCGTATGTTAAATGTATATGTCAGTTATTAATTAGATTTATCATTATAATTTTGCTGATACATGTACAACGAATGGATGCAGTCGTATTGGCTGTATTTAATTATAAATAGAGTAATCTGATTAATCATCAACCTATTTCAACCATATACACACGTATGCTATTAACGGTTTAATTATTAACATGTACACTCCTCCCGCGGACACCAGGTGGCCGTTGAACAGATGTATATAACATAGAGTGATTATCATGCTAAATTTTACATAATTTACGTTTACATCATGAAATCATTCCGACGCAGCATTTTATTTCATAATAAAAACAATATAATCATTGTATTCTAATATGTTACATACTTGAATGAATAAAGTGCAATTAACAGATATGCTGTTCACATTTTCATTTAACAACAAAACAGAAAGAGGAAGGGAGATCATTTTACAATAATTGTATTATTAGTTTGTTTTAGTTTCTCCCCTTATAATTACGCTTCGCAGAAATACAAAAAACAACATCTAAATTGTCAATGAACCATGGCTAACAAGTGGTTCATTTTTATAACACATGAATGCTTGCTCAAAATATGCAGACACAGACTACAGCACATTCGAGGACGATGTGGGAAGCGAGGAGGTGGGTGAAAAATCAGATAAAAATTATGATACTACAACATGTGTAAAACAGATAATATTTTTAACGACACCTCAAAATGAACATGCGTACAGTTAATATGGTGTCTTATCAAAATGAATAAAATTGTCTTAGCAATTCAAGGTGGGTGACATTTCGATAAACGATGCAAATCGTGTCTGTTTTGTTACTTGCCATAAAAACGACAGAAAACTTGTTATCACTAGTGATTTTAAGTACATGTTATTGACAATACTCATACTAGACATGCGTATTCTTTATACATGCCTTATCAGTGAAATTGTCCTGATAATACAATATACGTGACATTTCAACAAATAAAGATAATAAATCTGATTTTAATGCATTTCTTTTAAGTGTTAATTCATGCCATAAAAACTGATCACAGGTAATTATAAATATGCTTCGTTGACATTTGCTATAAATTCTTTAAAAGACTTTTAAGGACCATGTTTGGAAGCCACTGCAGCTGATTTAAATGAAAGATTAATTCTATTACATCCAGTTAAATGACTATGTCTTTTATATCATACACCATCATTTAATGTAATGAAATAATTCAAAGCTAGCTACAAGATGTATGCATTGACAGCTTCAACTCCAATGATTGCTATGGCCAGGTAGAAATAAAAAATAAAAAAGATCGATTCAGTTAAGTAATATATATTGTTTTTCTTATTTTTCTTTCTTTTTATGAATGTAATTTAAATGACAATACATTATTTTTCTATAGTTTTAGAGAATAAAAATCACAAAAACAGGGATTCATAAGAAATGTCCAAAATAATAGCGGTCAACGCGTCGGACAAGTAATCTTGTCAGGATTTCTGACCGCGTAATATCAAAACCTGTCAGGGGCAAACCGTCGTTTCCTTGAGCAAGAAACTTTACATAAATTGCTTTGCACTGGTTGATTCCAGAAACAGATTCGAGAGTGTTTCAATATGCTTGTAGCATCCAACACATTCGAACTAAAATAAATTTGTATAAACCAAATGCCCAAAACAACACGTAAAGATACTTTATATTACAACAGTTTATTTTCGATCTGACATGTTTTTGCAGCATGAATACATCTACGTTTAAATTAAATTCGGTTAACTTGCCAAGTTTATTGCAGAAACTGCCTATTACATTTCAATTACATTTTATTTTATTGCGATTAATTTTCTTTTAAACCATCATCTATTTTCTTACAAGAATTTCCGTTTTCAGAGATTGGCAGCAAATAGATTAGAAAATCCATATTTGGTAAGAAAATTATCCATCTAACCATGGGTAATCTATTAAAATGTGACAGCAAATTTTAAATGAGAAGTTTTAATTTACATTTTCGTAGAATTTAATTGTAATAATATGTTCCCTCGACGACGATAATGTTTAACAATTTTAATTAAACGCTTCAGTGTTTCAATTTATTGCCAGTTGCACTTCCATGACAGAGATGTGGTAAGAAACTGCGTGTATTTATATGAACGTATGGTTATAAACTTATCAAGGAGAATGTAAAAGATGCTGGAATTTCTTATTAAACATAATTAATGTACCCGTAAAAGAACAAAGATGTTTTATTTGATGAAATAATTCAATCCTTTTTCATTTACAATGACAAAACACGAGAACACTTGGTGACGTATACTTATGATAAATGAACGCGCGAAAATTATTTAATATGAAAATTAACATAAACTTTCTGAAAACTATGTGAACAAGGCATGTCGATTCCTTTTAATTGAGAAATAAATATAAGGAAATTGTGGCACATTAGAAATTTTGGCCACCGATTGTTCATGATTATTCGATTGTTAAGAACAGTTACAATGTAGATGGTTTGGACATGGGTGTAAAAGGTTTAACTTCTCTGACTTGCTACTTAATGCATGTTTTCAATATCTTTTTTTTGTATTTATAGACCTTGTCAAAAATGATAAAAAGGTAAGCAAAAGATTAATAGCATCGATAGTGTCAAGTGTCATACGTTGTAAAGTACTTCATTTTGTAGAAGCAATAAATAAACAAATAATAATGTTTTAGTTTGGTCACGGTTGTGCATACATGTAATACCATATTTTCCCTTTTTGTCTTATCTCATCTAAATCTAATCTTCCGTTTAGAAAGCAAATTATTTATTTAAATGACCATGCACTGATAAATATACATGTCCTAAATTTCAAATTAGAATTGTTGACACTTCATGCCTACAAATTTTGTTATGCACTGACACATCCATTGAGTTGGATATTTCCGTATACACTAAAATAATCTATATACATCAAAAGCCTTTCTACCTACACAATTTAAACATTTACAAATTAGATACGTTTTAATGCATTTCGAAATAAAGCAGTGCATTAAACCTCTTTAGATTTTAATGCTTATGCATGAGACAAAAAAAGTAAAGGGAGAAATAATGGATACAAATAACCATCAGTATTTGATGAATTTACTTCGGTATATGTCGAAATATTTTAATTACATGCAGTCCTATTGTGATTTATAACATTTTAGAACATTAGTTTCTTTCCATGCAAGACTTTTATTATTACCGTATCAGAATAACAAAACACGCTGAATGGATTAATGGTTTAATTAAAGAAAAAATCGGCAATTCAATTAGATGAAGTAATGAAAAGACAACATTGTGTTTAATATAATGGTTGGCGAAGGAATAACAAATTTAAATCTAAAACAGACCTTGACACAAGAATTTGAGATATCTTGTACTGAAAAACTTTAACTTTGAAGAGTTATCTCGATTTGCCGGGAAATCAGAATTTTCTTTAAGGATTTCGGAACAGTGATTCTTTAAATAAAAAAAAATGCGCTATGGAATTAACTGTTCTATGTTACTTATTTTGACTTATCAAATCAAGCACTACAGAAATAACCAGAAATAATTACAAAGAAAGAAAGAAAGAAAGAAAGAAAGAAAGAAAGAAAGAAAGAAAAAAAAAAAAAAAAAAAAAAAAAAAAAAAAAAAAAAAAAAAAAAAAAAAAAAAAAAAAAAAAAAAAAAAGAAAGAAAGAAAGAAAGAAAGAAAGAAAAAAAAGAAAGAAAGAAAGAAAGAAAGAAAGAAAGAAAGAAAGAAAGAAAGAAAGAAAGAAAGAAAGAAAGAAAGAAAGAAAGAAAGAAAGAAAGAAAGAAATTTGGATGTAAAAGATGTAAAGATGTAAATCATTATTTATTTGGTATAATTATAGATCATTATTATAATTTTATACGCATTGTAATCTATTCAAAAGTGATATTCTGTAACACAAACGGCATTTAATATTTAAAATGTGATCAAAATCATAATTCATTCTTCAAATTAGATATAATTTAAAATGTGACCGAAATCATAATTCACTCTTCAAATTATACATAATTAAAACGTTTATATTTTTTCACACCGATTTATGCATGATAATGAATGAAAAATGTAAAAAAAATCGGCGACTCCCCCCCCCCCCATATTTGTCTATTTTGTGATCATGATTTCTGCAAAAGGTACTGCTCCAATCCTGTATTGAGTTAAATCCAAGATATCTTCTAATGGGTGTCTACCAAGTTTGTTCAAAGGGCCCTGGGGGTTAAAATTGGCTCGCCCCGAGCAAAGAGCTAGAGTTTAGATACTAAGCATGAAATATCTTCTAGAGAGTGTCTACCAAGTTTGTTCAAATAAGGGCCCTGGGGTCAAATTGGTCCAATCCAGAGGGGTCATTGTTTTTGCCTTATATGTAATGTATATTGTGAAAACTTAAAAAAATCTTCAAACTAGAGCTTAAATATTTAGCATGAAACATCGTCTAGTCAGTGCCTACTAAGTTTGTTCAAATAAAAGCCCTGGGGTCAAAATTGGCCCCGCCCCGGAGTGTTATTGATTTGCCTTTTTTGTATAAAGTAAAAACTTAAAAATCTTCTTTTGAAAAACCTGACCAGGTAGAGCTTATATATTAAGCATGAAACATCTTCTAATGGGTATCTACCAAGTTTGTTAAAATAAAAGCCCTCGGGTCAAAATTGGCCCTGCCCCAGGGGGTTATTGTTTTCCCTTTATGTATAAAGTAAAAACTTAAAAATCTTCTTTTAAAAACCCAAAGAGCTAGAGCTAAGATATTTAGCATGAAACATCTTCAGATGGGTGTCTACCAAGTTTGTTTCAATAAGGGCCCTTGGGTTAAAATAGGTCCCACCCAGGGTCATTGATTTTCCTAACATGTGTATAGTAAAAACTTAAATAATCTTCTTTTAAAAACCTCATAGAGCTAGAGCTTAGATATTTATCATAAAACATCTTTTAATTGGTGTCTACCAAGTTTGTTCAAATAAAAGCCCATTGGTTAAAATTGGCCCCGCCCCGATGGCCTATATACAGGTGAGCGATTTAAGGGCCATCATGGCCCTCTTGTTAAATTTAAGGCATCTCAACATTTTACATAACTCTCTCTGATGTCGAGAGTAAATTAATTATTTTCTTATCTACTATAGCAAAAACAACATCAAATACCTAGTAATAATGCTTTATATTTGGAAGAAAATTATTACAAATCAATAGAATCAATCAGTATTATATTTATCTGAATCTGTTATGTTCTTGTATAAGGATTCATCAGATCATCAATAGCATTTGTTGCTGTATACTTTTCAAAACGAAACTATAACAGATCTACATTCGTGGTTAAAAAATATTACAAATGGAGTATCATTGTGTAATATGCAGGCATTAATTGACACATAAACTTTTTCTTTGGTTATCCTGTCGGGAAAGAACTTATTAAAATTACTTGCCCTGACCCAAAGCTTGCTTGCCCTGGCCTAAACCAGCAAAGTAATGAAAACCAACAATACATGCATTTGTTTCGCAATCTTTTGAAATTGGGTTAATTTATTTTCAATTCTTGCAAGGGTTACAAATAATTAGCGGCCTATATGCTGTTCAAAGTAATTTTGACATTTTTTGACAAAAATACTCATTACTTCACTAGAAATGGGTTTTAAACAGAGGGAAAAGAAAAGGGGGCTTATTTTGATTATAAAAATGTATCTGCTAGTTAAGTTTTTGGAGGGGTAAGTAATGACAGAAAAAAGTTTTATGCATTTGACATTTGAAATTCACATTTAGTTCTTTCTTCCTCAATATATATAAATAAACATTTGAGTGAACATGATCTTTTTAGGTTTTTTTTCATCCCTACCGCCCATGTCTTAAATATTCCTTAAACTTCTACAAACATGTCTTAATGCATTAAAGATAGGTTGCGAAAATACGTGACAATTTTAATTACGGCAGTAAGTTTCTGCATTATTTTTTCTTTCTAAATTTATATCAAATTCCTTTATGGATATGACTTTGTAACATATTTGCAGAGGAATTGTTTTTATTTTCATAATTATCTTCAAGAGAAACGTTGTTTTTTTTTTCTTTGAGGAAATACGACAATTTTTACTGCAAAAAAGAGCCAGAACTCGGCAAATATTTCAATTAGAGGTGTTGACATATATTAATGTTTATCAAGTCTTGTCAGCCTGTGTCTTGGCTCCTGCTGTGAGCTTTAGCATTGACCGTCTAGACAAATTTCAGCTGTTCTAACACCACACTGGCCATAGCTTTCGCAGAGGCGGTGGGTCCATCGCAGCGGCGGTAGAGTCGCAAAAGCGGTGGATAAAATATGGCCGTTTGCTGTTGTCGGTAAGTATATGACTGAATTTTGTTTTATGTTTTGATGTTTTACTTGAAACATTCAGTGAGACTGGAGCCCACATATGTACTCTTTCAACCTATTACACGGACACGGTGCAATTCATTGCCTTTTATGCAAACACTTCTGTACAGTTTGATGAGGGGACACCACTTTTGCCTAATTTTTGGTAAAAACACATACAAATGTGTGCAAAACGACCCCATAATACAGCGGCATCACATCGAATGAATGATACTTTCACAAATTAACCATAATTTGGAAAATTGGGAAATTATTATTGCCTGTTTATAAAATAAATGACAAAAAAATGTTTTCGTCGCAGACGGCGGTCGATTCGATTACAACGCAGTGCGGTGGGATCGATACCATTTTTGTATATTTTAAGAATATAACTTGACGTAAGGCACTTTTCCATTGAGTACGGTCCTTTTCTTACTTTGACATTTGAGAAACGTGTTTATTTGATGTTTAAAGCGATATTAATTATTATATATACGCTCGTACAAATATATGCCCGAGGTCCGCTTTCATTTTCCTTCATTGAAAATTACTTAAGACATAATTATCATAGAATAATCCACGTTCAACAATTTATTGCGGGTTATTACTAAGTATCAAGTATTTTTGAGTGTGAATGTACCATTCCAGTTAGTTTAAACATATTTATTCCCGAAAGTATATATAATGTACATACATACAAATATATAACAAACAAAACATTTTACACAATGGAAAAGGATGAGAATGAAAGACAAGTCTTATAGAATTCTTCTCCTTTGGCGAACTATATGGTTTGTCTTAAATAAGTTTATAATTAGTATATACTAGACAAGGGAATAAGTATTAATTATACACACATAAAAATATATATTTATATATAAACTTTTATAGAATAGATTAACTACAAGTAGATGTCTAAAATGTAAGAATATATATAAAAGAAGAAAACAAAATAGTGGAAAAGAGAAGAAAAAGGGTGAGAGAGGATTATAGTCTCAATTAGAATGGATCTAAGTAAATCTTTTCGTTTTTTCTATATAATTTTGTACATTTGTAAATATAATAACGTTGTCCTGGTATGTAAGAGATGGGTCACCATAGAGAAGTTTATGAAGGTTTATGCTGAAGTCTTGCAAGTTAAGGAGGAGTGTTCTGCGGACGGCATCGTATGCACAGCACTCGAAAAAGAAATGTTGGGTAGTTTCGATTTGCCCACAATTACACAAAGGGGTAAGAGAAATGTTTTTCAAAAACAGGTGGTGATTTAATGCGCTGCAGTTCGTTCGAAGCCGAGTGTGAAGGACCTGCAGTTTACGACTACCTGTATAAAAGTATGTTGGTGTATATTTTCTGTCCTTGTTTAAGAAAGTTTTAAATGAAGATATTGTAGGGCTGTTTCGTATTATAACAGGCAAGTTGTTCCAATCACGAATAACTGATGGCAAGAAAGAATTGTGGTACAGAGTAGTCCTTGATGTAATTCCTCTGATATCTTCAGAGTTTCGTAAGCTGTAACGGATTGATCTGGATTTGGTATTAATGATGAGAGATAATCTGGAGTTTTGTTCGACTGCATATTGTGAAACATAATTAGTTTGTGTTTATATCTTCTTTCGGATAACGATTCCCAATTAATTTCTTTCTGCAAAGTTTCTAGTGAGATAAGCTTGGTTGCACCAGTTGCAATGCGTGCACATTCATTTTGAATCTTATCAAGCTGTTCGAGTTCATATTGGGTACAATTGCACCAAATTACATCACCGTATTCCAAAATAGGTCTAATGAATGCTATATAAATGATTTCCAAAGATTTACGATCCAGAGAGAATTTCAGTTTACGCATTATATTAACCCTTTTCCAAGCTTTATCAGTTATGTATTCAATATGTTTGTGCCATGTGCAGTCAGAAGAAAGAAAGATGCCTAAATGTTTGTGTTCAGAAACTTCTGGAATTTGTTGGTTAAACATATGCAATGAAGGGTGATGCTGACGATTTCGCTTTCTGGTTACAAGTAGGGATTCCGATTTGGATTGAAGGTGACTAACCACCTTTCTGCCCATAAAGAGATTTTTTGGATGTCAGACTGAAGAAGTGTGGCTGCTGTGTTAGGATGTTCAACTATAACATAAAGACTGGTATCATCAGCAAAAAGGTTTATAAAAGATTCAATTTCATTAACAATATCATTTATAAAGATCAAAAATAATAGGGGACCAAGTATAGAGCCTTGAGGGACTCCTGCTTTCACAAAAGCCCATGATGAGTAGGCGCCAGGTAGTATGACCCTTTGTTTTCTATCAGTAAGGTAACTATTGAACCAAGATAACAAAGATCCACATATACCTGCGTGCTTTAGTTTCGAAAGTAGGCCTTTATGCCAAACCTTGTCAAACGCTTTACTGATATCAAAGAAAACCACACGAACTTCGAGGCCATTGTCAAGTGATCTACAAAGGGTATCATAAATGAAGGCAAGCTGATTAACAGTAGAATCACCCGGGATAAAACCAGACTGAGCAGTAGACAGAAAATTATTTACTTTGAGAAAGTTAAAGATGTGTTTAAATACAAGACGTTCAAAAACTTTTTCTGTAGTGTTCAAAAGTGATATGGGTCTATAGTTATTTGGGAGAGATGTATCGCCCTTTTTGTGAACTGCAGTGACATTCGCCTCTTTCCATGTGATTGGAACTTCACAACATCGTAGAGAAGCATTGAATAAGTCACACAAGGGGGAAGATAGTTCATGAGAAGCCTCGCGTAAAATTCTATTACTTATACCATCTGGACCTACTGCTTTGTCAACTTGTAACGAAAGAAGAACATCTTTTACTTCATGAGGGCTAAGCACAATATCGTTGAGACAGGAAAGTGGTGAACTAAGGTAAGGTGGATCTCTGTTCTCATCGTTAATAGACATTTGTTCTACGAAGAAGTTATTTAGAAGATTTGCCTTATCGTTATTTGAGTAAACAATATTTCTGTTTAAGGGGTCTGTCAGTGGTGGAATGCTACTATTATTTGTTGATGAAATAAAAGATTTCAGAGTCTTCCACCAGTCTTTAGACGAAAGTGATTCATTTTTCAATTTATTAGAGAGTTTACAAAAATAGTTTGACTTGGCTTCCCGTATCAATAATATTGTTTCATTACGAATAGATTTGAATCTTTGCCAGTAATATTGTGAATTTGTCATTCTAGCTTTTTTATACAGACGTTTTCGTTTACGGATATTAACTCTGATTGAGTTTGTCATCCATGGAACATCTAATGGTCTTACTTTAATCAATTTGTTAGGGATGTTATTTTTAGCAATTGTTTGTATCTGATTGATTACGTTATTCGCATATATCATGTATATGTTAACATCTGCATCAAAGCAGTTTTCCCATGTAAAGGTATTTATATCTTCACGTAATGCTTCGTAGTCAGCATGTTCATATTCCCAAACAATGCGATCAAAACACATTTGTCGCGGTTTACGGAATTTCAGAAAACCAAATATAGGAACGTGATACCTTAGTTCTTGTTCTAGAAAGTGATCACCAACACCAGAATGAATAACATTGCTTTTGTTTGAAACTAATATAAGGTCGATCAAAGAATTTGAATGTTCAGTGTAATGTGTTGGTTCATCTATTAGTTGTTCTAGATTGAACTGTTGAGTGATGGATGTAATTTTGCGGTTAGATGAATAACAGTTTACATTTAGATTGAAATCACCCGTAATGATGATGTCAGGTATATTAGTGTCAATGGCTAGACCAATAGAATCTTCAATTAGATTGTTGTATATGACATCTGAGTTAGGCGGGCGATAGAAAATACTAAATAGAATATGACGATTGTTACAAAGAATCAACTCGATCCAAATACATTCTAACCTGTTTAATTCTAGATCTATTCTACGTTTATAGTGTATATTGTCTTTAATGTACAAAATAACACCACCGTGAGCATCCCCAATGCGATCTTTGCGTTCAGGGGAATGATACAAGGAAAGTAATAAGTCTTCTGTTGATATAGAACTTTTTAGCCAAGTTTCGGAGAAAGCAAGAATATCAAAATCGCAGAGTTCTGAAAAAAGGATATCGAGTTTATGTTCAATACTCTGAACATTTAAATGTACGAAAGAAAGATGATTTTGAATATGATTAATTTCCGATGGAGTAGAGGTCATGGATGAGACTGAGGAAGTAGCTGAGATTGGACCAGGATTTGGATGAATGTCTCCAGATACATGCAAGAGAACTGCTAGCCAGGAATAGTACACCAATACAAATAGCAAAGTTAAAGTATTACTGGTAAATTGTATGTTATTATAAACTCTTGTGGTGAATGTCATTACCTTTTTTGAAGAGAATCTGACGATTAACAGTTTATTTGAGGATAGCCAATAATGCATCGAAAACACAAACAATGGGATACTACAAATAAATACCAAAAGCAAAATATGAAAAGTGATTGGAAAATGAAGTGACCTATATATTTTGTATGATTTAATGAAGGCTTCGCAAGTGTTTCGTTTCATATAAGACTTATGAGATGGCTATTATGGCGAGTAAGAACTTTTGCAAAGCCAACATTGACAACTTGTATGTACAATGGACAGAAAAGCATACGTATGCAGAGTGATGGACAACTAAAAAGAAATGTGGATATGAGACTGATAAGAAACATAGAGTTAGGAAAACAAAAGAAAAAGAAAGTACTAGTATCATTAGTAAGTAATTAGTAGGAGGGATTTTAAGGGACATTAAAATGTAGGTAGAAAGTTATTTGTTGTTTAAAGCGGAAGTCCGATAGGACAAGTCTGTAAAATATTGAGCTGGATAGATTTAGGTAAGTATGAATGTATTATTTATTTTGATCTGAAACGAGGATTGGATGAGGTAGGTTTGATAAGATAAGTGTGTAAGTTTATTATGATGGTCTATTCTAGGTAAGTAAAAAATTTGGTTGAAGCTGATTCGGAATAAGGTCAGTTGAAGTATGTATGCAAGACAAGAATGATAATAGACTATTATTTAATCAAGTTTATCTTAGTCTAAAATGATAATCTAATGAGGTGAGTATATATGTTTGTCAGAATGTATGCATGCAAGACAAAATGATATTAAACTATTATTTAATCCAGTTTATCTTAGTCTAAAATGATAATCTAATGAGGTGAGTATATATGTTTGTCAGAATGTATGCATGCAAGACAAAATGATATTAAACTATTATTTAATCCAGTTTATCTTAGTCTAAAATGATAATCTAATGAGGTGAGTATATAAGTTTGTCATTATTTGGGAATGTCTGTAGTTATGATGATCGTATATAATAAGTTATATCAAATATATTGAGGTAGTTTTTATAAGAAATTTTGATTCATAAAAATGATAATAAATAATGTTGTTATTCAGATGAGGTAAATAATATCGTCAAAGAAAAGTAAAAAAAAAAAAAAAAAAAAACGTAAATGATAAATTCAAATAAACATTAGTATAGATAAAAGAAATAGGAAAATAAGATAAATTGATAAACAATAGAGAAGAATTCTATTAGCCTTTTAAGATGAACATGTATGAGGTAATTTTTTACAAATAAACTATGCAATAGAAATTTACAAAATGTACAAGACGCATACGCAAATACTTGTCATGAAAAAAAAACGGACAGCAAACTTTCATACTGGCAAATAAAATGTCAAAATCATTATTATTTCGAAGAAAAATCAATACATAAATCAAATATTGAAGTATGCATGCAAAACAATAGTGGTTATTGATATATTGAAATATTATAAATTCAAGGTTATCTTAATCTAAGATGATAATCAAATGAGGTAAATATGTAAATTGTCTGATCTAAAAATGTATCTTTGGGGTTTGTAAATAGTTATGTTGTATGTAAAATATAATAAGTTATTTAGGTATATTGAAGTAGTCATACATGTATAAGTAAGTTTTAATTCATGTATGGTAAAAGTAGATGAAAGCATATTTAACATGTATACGTTTTCTGATGCAATTAACTAATAAAGTTAACTTTAGATGATGAGAGATTAAATAAACTAAACAATAGAAGTTAACAAAATGTAAAAGACGCATATAAAGTACCCAAGTACAAAAAGGGGAGAACACTCATACTATCCTACTTGCAAATAAAATATCGAAATAATTATAAATTCAAAGAAAGATCAATACGCTTGAGCAATCATCTGATGCCTATCCAAACATGGCTCGTATACAATTAAATAACGAATTAAGAAAAAAATGTTAAATATATAACGAAAAAAGAAAAAAAAATGTTTTTAAATTAATCACATCAAAGGGAAAATATGGTTAACCAATTAATGTAGAAAATATTTGCGATGCTAGTTCATACAAATGATTACACAAGTACGTTACATACATATGGTTAAAAAAAACGAAAAGAAATATGTCACAAAATAACAGAGTTTAAAATATTTAGATTTTGTGCATCAAGTAACACTTAGTCTAAGCGATTATCGGTAGATTTCATTTAGCACGAAAAAGACGAGATTTTGTGTGTCTCTGACCTGTGTCGTCTGCAATCGATGAAAATTAACGTAAAGAAATACAACCCGTTAGATTACCAGACATACAGGTATGTTTGTTTACTTATCTAGGACGTTTATTTTTAACTAGTGTTGTGAATAGGATTTATACATATCATACAACTATAATAAACAAAAATATATACAAAATATTTAGTAGCACGATAATAATAAAAATCAAGAAACTAGTTCGGCACAAGTTCAAAATGATTATCAATTAATTATGAAGAAAACGAGAAAAGAATATCTGAATATAGGTCAAGTGTGATTTGTTTGAAATTAATGTAGTTACGTACTTTGTAAATTCAATGCATCAAAATATTTTAAGTTAAGTTTAAAACAGCAATTTTGAATACATCAAGTAATTTTTGTAAATTTTACTTTTATTCAAAACAAGATAGCTAGTTGACTTAAATCTAAATCAAAAAATGCATGCTTTTAGACTAGAAATATCTAAAAGCTAAAGTAGATTTGATTTTTTGTTTACAAAAGTTATGCACATTAAGAGACTTAATAGAAAATTTACAATAATTAGTCAAAAAAGAAAATAAAATACACGTAGATAGGTTATTGTTTAGGCAATACTAACAGTATATGTAATATAGCTTTAATCAGCATAAATGGTAGCCACTCCGCTACATAAAATACCTGTGATTTCACGAGAAATAAGTGCAAGGTAAGGAAAAATGTAAATGTAGCGTTATAAAATTATTTGGGTTTAACAATGAGCTTTGACATACATACACAAAGAAGTACAATTATATACAAGCTACATATAAAGGCAAGTATGATCATGTACATGTTTAAACAGGACAAATGCTTAAAATTGTATAAGATTTATAAATATATAAAGATTGCAAAGCAATAATTCAATATTTTGCAAGTAAGTTAATAAATCGGTTATAACAATTAGTGGTAGCTGAAAAACTGAAAATAGGTAATACATGGTTATAAACCATTACCACTGCAGAATGTCTATTACCGAGTCAATAAACAGGGTAGGTCATGAACTGTTCCAAGTCACGCTTACAGAATATCCTGTGAATACTGGTTTTATTATCTTTCAGGGCTTTGACAAGAACTATTCCATCAGAAGACCAGGCTCCAGCAATTTTCTTTGAGTTAACCATTTGTCTTGCGTTAAACAGTAACTCAGCTCTATATTTGGTGAGATCCTCATTAACATAGATTCCAGAATGACCAGACGATTTTAGCGCACTTCTCTTTTTGTAGAAAGAATCACGTGAGCGGCGAGAAACAAACTTCACTATAATATCACGGGGTTTACTATTAGGCTTCTTCTTACCTACCCGGTGTGAAATAGAAATGTCATTGGTGGATAATGTAAGGCCAACAGATTTCGCTATTGAAATGACTTCATCATCGGTATGTTCACCTTCCTTTTCGACAAGACCAGAAATCCTCACATTGTCACGCCTACTATACTGCTCAGCAGCATCAGAACGGAACTCGAGGATATCAACTCGATACATAAGATCGTTGTTTTCTGAGCGAAGAGCTTCATTTTGAGTTTTGAGTGAGCTTATCTGAGTGTGCAGTTCGTCAAGTACCCCTTTTACTACTGACTCAACGGTAGACTTCAACATTGACATAAGTTCATCATGTATAGAGTCTTTCAAAGCAAGAGCAATAGATTTAATGGCGGCATCATCAAGACTTATATGAGTTGGTGGTTCAGACGATGGCGAAGAATCCATTGTGAATTTAGTGCAAGTGTTCAAATCTGGGGAAAATTGAATTGTACGATTCTTTTTTGCATTTAATTGATCGTCAGGTGAAGAGAGATCTCGTTTTTTACTTGATAATAATACAGGCGTAGAAATAGAGGTTGAGTCACACATAATAATATGGCATAACGGTAGATAACAGTTATAATAACATGAACTATACACCAAACAAAGTACTGGCACTTGGTATCTGTTGATCAATACAAAATTCAACGAATTTTCGTGCGTAGTGATACATGTATCAACAAAAATGTTCAAGAATGTTTTACCACGATCATCTTATGAAATCCAGCATTCTAATAATTCATTGAAATAACTTTAAATCCATGAATTTGAAGTATAATTGTCCCTTTTAATCCGATTGAAACTATAGAAACATATTATTTATCTCAGCACAGAAAACTAAACAAATGTCCGCCATTTTACCATTCCAGTTGAAAAGCCAAAGTTCTTTTGGAATTCACTTCCCCTGACCAAATTTTAGTTCTCCAGGGCAGTTGGTCATCATTTATTGTCGAGTCGTGATTATATTATCTGTAAATTATTTGATAACAATTTATGCTCAGTAAAGCAAAACAAAAAAGAAAATTCATTGAATTATGCAACTTAAGAAAAATATATTTCAAATGACAATTCTGTGTGTGATGTGCAGAACAATGTACAAAGCCTCAATATTAAGCAAGTATGTGTATAAAAATATTTTTTTACAAAAATGTATTTAAAGCAAGAACTTGGTATATTACTTGAAAACGCCGAGCCGAGTGAAGAAAAACGCGTACACACTATAAATTTATATTCCTTCAACTCATGAGATGCATGTTCACAGTTCAAATTAAATATTTAAGGCATCACACCATATTGGATGTAATTTACAGGTACAGAAACCATAAACACACATTCAGACTTAATCCGATACGAGAGTATCATTTTGTCATAGAATGTTAATGTATTTTGTTTAATGTTTTATTTGTTTGTTTGTTTCATTGTACGCCTTTTTCCAACAGTATTTCAGTCATTTAGGCGGGTAGT